ATTGAGAAGTGAAATAATAAAGAGAACCGGTTGTTCACCGTTGCCATGGAGTTGAGCCTTTTTCTGGTTAAATAACAAGCCCAACCCTTTTGCCTTTTATAACCCTTTTTGGTGTCGAGCTTGAATGATGATAAAGTTAGTAAACAAGAGCGAGTAAAATGGCGCAAAGTCAGTCTCGACTTTGATATTGATGATAATATCGATTGATGATGTTACTGTTTGTTGCTCGCCAAAGATATGGAAACTTGATGAAGATGTGAATATTAATGGATCCTTTGCAAAGGGTTCATTTGTTTCTGCCTTTGCTTACAAAAAAAATACATGAATATATCTCAGAATTTGTTCAATTTTTCGTCTTCTTCTTTCCAAACAAACTTTTTCATCACAATTCATCCTTTTGCATCAAACATTTTCTTTGCTCTTGTTAACTCAACAGATTATTGTTTTTCTTCATCTTTATTCTCATCATTTTTTTCCAGCTTTATCTTCTTCTTTTTTTTATATAACAAACTGATTATCTGATGATAATAATTCTTGTTCATTCTTATTATCATATTGAACCTTTGTTATCATTATCGTTATCATCATATAAATTGCTTTTCCAGAGTTTATAGACAATTCTCAATTTTCCAACATCATTTTCATCTTCATCTTCCGAGTAAATATAAACTCAGTAAACATGACAACTCTTATTATTCAACAGTAACATGTCATTACTTTATCATCATCATATTATAGAACGCAAAGTTTACTCTTCATCTTCTTCTTCCATCTTCTTCTTCTTTTTTATCCTCTTGTTCATCTTTTCTCATTGCGATCATCGACCAATAGAATGGAGTAAATTTTATCGATTTGGTATTATTTATCATTGAAGTGAACTTCATTTCAATTCTAATATCTTTTAAGCTTTACTTTAAATTCACAAAAAGATGAATTTCCTCCAATTCCAGTTTCATCAGTTTCATTACTTTTCTCATTTCAATTTACTTTGATTTTCCAGCAAATCTCACATTTCAATCTTTTCTTGTTCTTTAATCGTTTTCATTCCAATTTTACTTTGATTTTCAATTCTCAGAACATTTCAATTCTTATTTTGGTTCAATTTTGTTTAGTTTTAATCGTTTTAACCATTTTCATTATTTATTGGAAGGGAAATACGAAAAGAAAATGATAACTTGAAGAATTGATTGAAAGTTATTGTACATTATCATGTTTTATAGTAAAATATGGTTGGCAGAACATTATGATTACACAAATATGCATAAATTGAATTGATAATCAATGATCCTTTACCATGTTATCATGTTTACCAAACATTCTATAACAATATTTTCCTTTTTTTCTGGGGAGTTTCTTCCCATCGCCATCATCATCATCCTTCTTCTTCTTCCTCCTTTCATCCCATTTCTTCCCTTCAATAGTTCATTCCACTGAACAAATGTTCAACTGTTTAATGTTGTTATGATGTTTGAATGATGAGCAAAACTGAAACATCCGTTAACATCAAGATGAATAATCAATAAGTTTTCCTTTCATCTTCTGTGACCATATTTATTGAAGTTGAATCTCATTTCTGGCAAGATTCCAGTCAATCCTTTATCTTCCCTTTTCATCTCAAGAGACTCAAGGAAGAAGATGATCATCTCAACCATTTTCATCTCTTTCCATCAAAAGTTATAGATCTTGTTCCTCATCTCATTTTTGTTATCAACATACAAAAAGAACCCAAAAAATTGGACCTTTCCACATTTCGCCTGACAGAATTGACTTTAATTAAATGTCAAAATTGAAACATTAACTGATTACAATGTTAATTGTGTTAATGGAGCGGTTACTGAAAAGGTAACAATTACTTGTCACTTGTTAAACAGTGGAAACAATAAAAGTAAATGAAGTTTGAAATATTAAAAGGTTAATAATGCACATTAAAAAAAAGGAGAAAAAAAGAAAAATGAAAAAAATTCTGAAACAAGGTTTGTTAACATGGTAATGATTGTGGTTTAGTGTAATGTTTAAATTATGATGAAGATGATTATGCAGTTTGATTGCCATGTAATTGGCTGTTTCAAGATGAGGATGAAGGAGGATGCAATAGTGAGAATTGAAAGAATAGGCTTTACATGTAAATAATTATGACACAGGCAATCAAGGAAAGAATGAGAGAAAAGAGAGAAATTCAGTGAACAATGAAATCTCTAGGCTCTAATATTAGGAAAGGGAAAAGATGATGAAAATGATGATAATGATGATGAGGAATGAAAAAAGAGTTGTTAATGTTGTTATGAATGAGATGAATCGCGTTTCTTTGTCTATGTTTATTATGAATAAAAATGAGTTTATTGGAGTAAAGCAAGAAAAAAAACTGGTTAAATTAATCGACCTTTTTTTTCTTGTGCTTCTTGTTCAACTTAATTCATGTTAATAGAATCACATTAACATTGAATACTTTTCTTCATCTTCTTCTCACTAAACCTTCCTCACTCCTTTCCTCACCCAATTTCAATTATCTTGTTCAAGATGAGTTGATTAATTTGTTCATTAAGTCAACTTTCAGCTTTTTTTTACTCTTCACTTTACACACTTTTGTTACTTTGTTAACTTTGGATTAACTATTAAACTGTAATTGAGACAGACAAAGCAAATTATCATTATAACAATGTAATCAAACAAGTCAATCTTTTCACTCAATTAAACTTTAATCAATTAACAATGAGCAAACAGTTAATTTGTGGTTTCATTCAATTCAATCATTTAACTCCTTCTTCTCATGTTTAACATTTTTAATTGAAACCCAATTTAACCCAAAAAGTTTTATCGATTAAATTGCAATTATTCATTTCATCTGTTGATTAATTAATTGCGTTTAATAATTTCTCCAGAATCTCGATTTTATTTTCATGTTTTTATTGTAATTTTACAGATTTTAATTGCGATTTTGGTTAACTTTGAGTTTACGATTTAAATTGGAACTCGATTTTATTGCTATTTTTGATTATCGATTCAATTGCATTTATTGTTGCATCTGATTAATGATGATTTTTTAGCCAATTTGAATCTTGATTGTTAATTTTTCTTTTGATATTTTGGATATTTGATTGCGATTTGGATTCTTTGCTTTGGATTGTTTCATTTTTCAACTTTAATGTTGGGAGTGGGTTCAAATGGGTTTGGGGTTTTCATTGAATTAAGTTTTGATTGTCTTCTGTTGTTTAATTGAAATTTGATGAACAATTTAAATTGTAACTTGAATTGTTTGCTTGGCTGTTCAACTTGTCTATACTTGCTTTCCAGGCAACTTATAGGCTCAGAATAGGAACCAAAATTTTGTGTGTAAACTTGCGTGAACAGTTTATCTTAATCATGATTGGAAACTCATAACATCAATATTATTATGGAAAAGGAAAAATGTTATTAGAATAAATTTTTTCTTCTCTTTTCATCCTTTTCTTCCAACTCTTTCTGTCTTATTATTTTCAATTTAAAGTTAGATTTTAATGTCAATCTGATAAAATGAAATTCAATTTTGTCTTTTTGCTGTTCATTATTTTATAAATAAATGTATTTTTTGTTTGATTGCTCCGAGCATTTCATTTTGTTTTAAACTTCCGATTTTAATGTAATAACCTTTTTTTTACTTTTTTCAACTTTTTTTGCTTTAACTTTGTTTTGTTATTAAATATAAATGAAGTTTTGCTCATTTCCAGGGTTTTAAGGAATATATTTGATCGTTTAATTGATCTTTCAAAGGAATTGAAATCTGAATTTAAGTTAACCAATTGGGTTTTGCCTTTAGCATTGGAAATGTAATGATCGTAGGAAAGAATTGAAATGAACTTTACATGGAATTCAATTTTCTTTCTTATCTTCCTCATCTTCATCATTCTTTGTCTACAGATTTTCAACTTCTTCAAGATCATTCATCAGACTTTCGAATCATTTTAATGTCAATTCCATGAAACTTATTCTCCTTTTTTTCTACTCATTTTATCTTCTTTTTGTCATTGGCTTTACCAATGCTGATGATGATGATAAGGAGGAGGATGATGTGGATTGAATAGGAATATGTATAAAGAATGGATAAAAGGAATAAGAATGAGAATGAAATTTGGTGAAAGCAAACTCTGTTGTTTGAGCTTTTCCTTTTTACTTTTTTTTCATTTCATGAAAACTCTGACTTGAATTGTGAATCAGCACATTCAATCCATAAAATAATCTTTTCTTTAACATTTTGCTTCTTATTACACTCTATTCTCATATTCATCATCATTATCATTATCATCTGACTAACTATTTTACTTTCTTGCAAATAGCTTCTCATTTTATAGACCAATCGAATGAACAAGAAAAGCCTTCAATATATTAATGATACTTGCTGATGGACATGAGAGAAACGATTATTTACATTCTTTGGTTCGATTGTCTGAAGATGCTTCGATTTCTTTGATTTGATTATCTAGGCTTAAAATTTGGATTCAATTGCTGAATATTTCTGCTTGGCCTGTTTAGTTTTTTCAATGATAACTAAAGTCTCAGCATCGTATTCAGGAAGAGGTGCATCTGTTAGACATCATTATCGCAGTCAGATTAATAGTCAGGATTTAGATTAGCATATTAAAAGTCGTGAATTCGTCAAGACTCATTTCTTCTTTCATGTGTAAGAAAAACTATGATAAAACGAGAAAACAAATTTAAGTAAATTAAGCTAAAATTATAGTGAATAGAACACACCTTAGCCTCATCGGGATCAACTACTCCATCATTATTTTGGTCAAATTTAATAAATTGTTGGACTTCTTGGTAACTTAAAATTCCATCGCTATTCTTATCTAATTCCTTGAATGCAGCTTCAGCCATTAACTTTTCTTTCTCTTCAATTTTAATCATCTCAGCTTCTTCCTGAGCTTTTCTCTGAGCATAACCTAAATTCATAAATTCCTCTTCATTCAAATTTTGCGGGTTATTTAAACCAGTTTAGCTGAACCACCGACAGGAGCCGCTTTTTGCGCCAAGTTTCTGTTATTAAAGTCAGCCTTGCAATTTTGTTTAATTTGATCTTGTTTTCTTAATTTTTGTTTTGTTAAAATGGACCAGGAAATGTTTTATCACGTTTTTGACTACCTACACACATTATCTGGACACGGATCCTCTCATGTAAAAGATAAATCCGATCGTGCTACTGTTGAAAAAGTGTTGGATAAAAAAACAAGATTAATTATATTCAAATTATTAAACTCAAAAATTTTCGAGTTCTTCAATGGGTGTATTTCCACTGGAAAAGAAGCAAATGTTTACCATGCCACTTGCTGTAATGGTAGTGAAAAGGCGATTAAAGTTTTCAAAACCTCCATATTAGATTTCGGAAATAGAGAAAAATACGTCTCTGGTGAATTCAGATTTCGTCATGGATATTGTGGCTCCAACAGGAGAAAAATGGTTGCTACTTGGGCAGAAAAAGAGATGAGAAATTTGACCAGAATGTATCATGCTGGAATCAATTGTCCCCAGCCATTTATATTGAAAAGTAATATTATCGTGATGAGTTTTATTGGGGAAAACGGTATACCAGCTCCACTTCTTAAAGATGCCCATATCGGTTCAACTGCTCGACAACTCTATTTGGATTGCATCTTAATAATGCAAAATATTTTTAGGAAATGTAAATTAATCCACGCAGATTTGAGTGAATTTAACCTCATGGTTTTCAACAAAAAACTAGTTCTTATTGATGTTTCACAAGCTGTTGAATCTAATCATCCCATGGCTTTTGAATTTCTTAGAAACGCCATTTCTAATGTAAATGCTTTTTTTAGAAAAAAAGGAGTTACAACTTTCACCATTCGTGAAATTTTTGATTTTGTTATCAATCCTGATCCTGATAGTGATGATATTGAAGAAAATCTAAACCGCTCACTAAAAACTATTGAAAATCTTACTACAGATCAACTTGTGGAAAGAGAAAAATCTAACGATGTTTTTAAGGAATCTTTTATTCCACAAAGATTAGATCAAGTCTATGACCCAGAAAGAGATGTTTTTAATCCAGAAGCAAATGTGGAAGCTCAGCTGTATAAAGAAATTAAAATAAATATACATCAGGCTGACTCCGAATCCGATTCTGATTCTGGACCTAACTCATCCTCCGAAAATGAAATGTACAATAGGGATTGTAAAAAAATGAAAAAGGTTTCTCAAGCAAGACCTCGTGATGAATCACCTGCTAGTAGAAAGGTAAATATAATTTTCTTCGAAATATTCTTGAATTCTTGATATTTAATTCATATTTATTTTCTTGTATTCAGCTACGTAAACGTATCGCAAAACTGGCTAAACAGGAGAAACGGGAAAATAAAGTTCCTAAATGTCTAAAAAAACAGAAGACAAAAAAAGGTCCAAAGAAAAAATGATAATGAGAATCATGAAATTAAATCAAAGCGAGAAATATTGTTGGAAATAACGATTTATCAAATTGTTAAAAATGATTTAATATATTTTTCCACATGGTACTATTTTACTTTCTCTACCGTTTCACAATTTATAACAAATGTAATAATTATATAACATTTTTAATTTGTTTTATTTTATTACAGAACTTGGGGTGATTGGACAGGAGGAGATTCAGATCGTTATTCAAGAATGCGATATGAGAATGGTGTACAGTGTTGGAATGGTCCTGCTCGATCAGTTGAAGTTTACCTTAAATGTGGCCTTAACAATGCTCTGTTATCGACAAGTGAGCCTTCGAGATGTGAATATCGCTTTGAATTCGAAACTCCTGCTCTTTGCAGACCAGAAAATCAAAGTAATTCTCATGAGCATACTGAGCTTTAAAATTTGAGCATTGAAAATTTAATGATGATAAACCATCATTCCGAACAAACAAACGATGTCATTTTTACATCAAGTCCTTTTAATGTGATGGTTTTTTCCTTTTTTTCAATGCACATTCCTTCGAATTGTTAATAATTCATTTATTTATATTCCTTTAATTGTAAATTTATTTCCGGTATTGATTTGTCACTGGTTTGCTTCTGTTAGCTTATTAGATATTTGATTACATAGCAAACTCAAAGAGAGGAAATATTCTCATGAATTTTCATATTCATTTTGGGCATTTTGAATAATGCGTTTTCGGCTTTTCAAAAATAGTTCTGAAATAATTTCTCTATACTTCAAGGTGTCTGTGAGATGAATTGGCTATCAAATTATACTTTTCGTGCATATTTAATCACAAGTTTACCAAGCTCAATCATATTCGGTTTATAACAATACAATAACAATACATAATGATCTGGATAGCATTACAATCACAGCAATAGCCAGTAAAGATTAGTCACAAAAATTAAGTAAAGTAATTAATCAATAAATTCCTCTTAATACTTATTATACTTAATATTTAACTTCATTCAAATTCAAATTCAAATTTTGCGCACTATTCAAACTAGTTTGCTGAGTCACCGACAGGAGCTTCTCTTTGAGCAAAGTCCTATGGAAAGCTAAACGTGCAATTTTGCAGTTTAATAATCATGTGAAATTTAAGGTCTAAATCGTGAAAGTTTCTGCTATTAAAGTCAACCTTAAAATTTTGTTTGCGTGATCTCTCTTGTTTTATTAACATTTGGTAGTTATCTTTAAAATGGACCAGGAAATCAAGTTTGATCACCTTTTTGATCACCTACACACAGCATCAGGACACGGATCCTCTCATGTAAAAGATAAGTCCGATCGTGCTACTTGTGAAAAAGTGCTGGACCCAAAAACAAGATTGATTATATTTAAATTATTAAACTCAAAAATTTTCGAAAGTTTCAATGGGTGTATCTCTACTGGAAAAGAAGCAAATGTTTACCATGCCACTTGTTACAATGGTAGTGAAAAAGCCATTAAAGTTTTCAAAACATCTATTTTAGATTTCGGAAATAGAGAAAAATACGTCTCTGGTGAATTCAGATTTCGTCATGGATATTGTGGCTCCAACAGGAGAAAAATGGTTGCTACTTGGGCAGAAAAAGAAATGCGAAATTTAACCAGACTATATCATGCTGGAATCAATTGTCCCCAGCCATTTATATTGAAAAGTAATGTTATTGTAATGAGTTTTATTGGAGAAAACGGTTTACCAGCTCCACTTCTTAAAGATGCCCATATCGGTTCAACTGCTCGACAACTTTATTTGGATTGCATCTTTATAATGCGAAATATTTTTAGGAAATGTAAATTAATCCACGCAGATTTGAGTGAATTTAACCTCATGGTTTTCTACAAAAAACTAGTTCTTATTGATGTTTCACAAGCTGTTGAATCTAATCATCCCATGGCTTTTGAATTTCTTAGAAACGACATTTCTAATGTAAATGCTTTTTTTAGAAAAAAAGGAGTTACAACTTTCACCATTCGTGAAATTTTTGATTTTGTTATCAATCCTGATCCTGATAGTGATGATATTGAAGAAAATCTAAACCGCTCCTTAAAAACTATTGAAAATCTCACCACAGATCAACTTGTGGAAAGAGAAAAATCTGACGAAGTTTTCAAGGAATCTTTTATTCCACAAAGATTAGATCAAGTCTTTGACCCAGAAAGAGATGTTTTTAATCCAGAAGAAAATGTAGAAGCTCAGCTATACAAAGACATTAAAATAAATAAACATCAGGCTGACTCCGATTCCGACTCTGATTCTGACATGGATTCTGAATCTGGATCCAACTTATCCTCCGAAAATGAAATGGACAATAGGGATTGTAAAAAGATGAAAAAGGTTTCTCAAGCAAGACCTCGTGATGAATCACCTGCTAGTAGAAAGGTAAATATAATTTTCTTCGAAATATTGTTGAATTCTTGATATTTAATCCGTGTTTATTTTCTTGTATTCAGCTACGTAAACGAATTGCAAAACTGGCTAAACAGGAGAAACGGGAAAATAAAGTTCCTAAACACATAAAAAAACAGAAAACAAAGAAAGGTACAAAGAAAAAATGATTATGAAAACCATGGAATTATATCAAATCAAGAAATATTGTTGGTACGATATGTTAAATTGTTAAAAATGATTTACCATATAATTTCACATAATACTATTTTTCTTAAAATCATTGAATTATGTTGGTAAAATTAAATCAAAGATTAATGTAATAAAATATGTAAAGGTTTAATTTGTGTTTCATTTATTGATCTGAACCTGATGAAGTTATTAATTTATGAACTATACTGATATCATTCATGAAAACGGACAATCAATAGTTGAAATTTAATTTGGAGGATTTAAATGATTGCGCTTAGTTGTCATAGAAACAAGCTCTCCGCTGTGATCCAAAGGTTTCTTTGGTGATTTGTCTTTTCTTTAGAGCATCAACGTTTGTAAGATTAATTAAAGTTTTGATAGACTTTTTTCATATTTATTGTTTCGCTCATTTAGAAGCTTTAATCATGTTATTAACTGGTTATTTGGTGAGTTTATTATGTTACACCGTAACCTGGAATTGGTCAAGTGCAACTCAGGTATTGCGACCAAGAGGAGTTGCTTTGCAAAGTAAGTTAACATTGATGATTCCTAATTTTGATAATTTTCTCTGAGGTGTCTTAGATAAATGATGTCAAACAACAAATTTCGATTAATCATACGATTGATAACTTTTTCAATGTGCATTTATTGATTAATTATTCTGCTTTTCTTTTCAATTTTCACCATTCTAGAAAAAATATTTTATGATCCAAGTAAAGACTTCAATTGTCTTGACGGTTCTCTCAAAATTCCTTTTGTATTTGTCAATGATGATTACTGTGATTGTGCCGATGGATCTGATGAACCAGGTACGCCAGCATGTCCAAATGGTGTATTTCATTGTTCAAATTTAGGTTATCAAACTTGGGATATCCCATCATCACGTGTTAACGATGGAATCTGCGGTATGTTACATAAATAATCGGGTTCTTTGTCTTCTCTAAAATTCAAGTAATTAATCTAATATTTTTTACTATTTTTGCTTTTTAAATTCATACAGATTGCTGTGATGGAAGTGATGAATATAATAGTACCATTAATTGTGTTGACAACTGTAGTGAACTGGGAAAAGAAGCTTTGGAAGCTGCCCGACGATTAAAAGAACTTTTCAGTGAAGGGTCAAAAATTAGATTAAACCTAATCAAAGATGCGAAAAGCAAAGCAGAAGAAGATGAGAGGAGACTAGAAGAGTTCAGAAAAGAAATGGAAAAAGTTGAAAATACGAAGAAAGAGAAAGAAGCAATTAAAAAACAAGCAGAAGAAGAAGAGAAAGCAGCTCTGGATAAATTTCGTGCAGAAGCCGATGCTCAAAGAAAAGCTCAGGAAGAAGCTGAGATGATTAAAATTGAAGAGAAAGAAAAGTTAATGGCTGAAGCTGCATTCAAGGAATTAGATAAGAATAGCGATGGAATTTTAAGTTACCAAGAAGTCCAACAATTTATTAAATTTGACCAAAATAATGATGGAGTAGTTGATCCCGATGAGGCTAAGGTGTGTTTGATTCACTATAATTTTAGCTTAATTTACTTAAATTTGTTTTCTCGTTTTATCATAGTTTTTCTTACACATGAAAGAAGAAATGAGTCTTGACGAATTCACCACGACTGGTTGGATTATTATGAAGCCTTTCTACTTAAAAGATAAAACGGTAAGTCAATTTGTCATTTTGCGAATGATATCAGAAGACTTGAATATGTTTCTTCTATTACCAATTCTTCCTTTCCGACAACTTCACATTAAACTAACACAATATTTTCGAGTTTAATATTCCTTTTTCGCACCATTCTGCCTGAAAAGAAATGATGTTGTATTATGTAATGTTTCTGATTCTATCAACTAATGTTTTTTCCTAATAATTTTAATATGCAACTCTGACTCCTGACTACTAATCTGCTTGCAATAATGATGTCAAACATATAGCCTGAACCACTCCAGAATGATCAAGCTCCATCTGAACAAGATGCAGATGGTGATGTAGAAGTAGAACATCCCTCATACGAATCTGATGGTGAAACCGAAGATGATGTTGAAGATTCTAGTAATAATGCGGTGAGAAATTTATTTTCTCTTTGAATTTCGAGTGAAAAATTCTCATTATTTTAAATTTTTTTAGGAAGGAGAAGGAGAAGGAGAAGATGAGGATCATGGTCCTCCTTATCATTCACCTAAAAGACCTCGACCTGATACAACTGTAACAGAAGCACCTCTTCCTGAATATGATGCTGAAACTTTAGCAATCATTGAAAAAGCTAAACAAGCCAAGCAGGAATATTCTGACGCTGAATCCAAGTTTTTGAGCCTAAATAATCAAATCAGAGAAATCGAAGCATCTTTGGAAATGGATTACGGTCCTGAAAGAGAGTTTGCCACTCTTCACGGTCAATGTTTTGAATTCAGTGATAGAGAATATATTTATAAATTCTGTCCATTTAATACAGCCACTCAAAGATCGAAATCGGGTGGAGGTGAAACCAATCTTGGGTTAGTTATTTTACTTTTCCTGCCATTTCACAATTTATAACAAATGTAATAATTATATAACATTTTTAATTTGTTTTATTTTATTACAGAACTTGGGGTGACTGGACAGGAGGAGATTCAGATCGTTATTCAAGAATGCGATATGAGAATGGTGTACAGTGTTGGAATGGTCCTGCTCGATCAGTTGAAGTTTACCTTAAATGTGGCCTTAACAATGCTCTGTTATCGACAAGTGAGCCTTCGAGATGTGAATATCGCTTTGAATTCGAAACTCCTGCTCTTTGCAGACCAGAAAATCAAAGTAATTCTCATGAGCATACCGAGCTTTAAAATTTGAGCATTGAAAATTTAATGATGATAAACCATCATTCCGAACAAACAAACGATGTCATTTTTACATCAAGTCCTTTTAATGTGATGGTTTTTTCCTTTTTTCAATGCACATTCCTTCGAATTGTTAATAATTCATTTATTTATATTCCTTTAATTGTAAATTTATTTCCGGTATTGATTTGTCACTGGTTTGCTTCTGTTAGCTTATTAGATATTTGATTACATAGCAAACTCAAAGAGAGGAAATATTCTCATGATTTTTCATATTCATTTTGGGCATTTTGAATAATGCGTTTTCGGCTTTTCAAAAATAGTTCTGAAATAATTTCTCTATACTTTAAGATGTCTGTGAGATGAATTGGCTATCAAATTATACTTTTCGTGCATACTTAATCACCAGTTTACCAAGCTCGATCATATTCGGTTTATAACAATACATATTGATCTGGATAGTTTTACTAGCACAGCAATAGCCAGTAAAGAATAGGCACGAAAATTATAAAAAACCACTTATAATAAAATGAAGAGTTTTCTAATCTTTCTAATCAAGTGCCACACTGAAGAAAAGTCGGCTAATTATATTATAAGAATGAAAAAGTAATCAATAAATTCCTCTTTATACTTATTTAACTTCATTCAAATTCAAATTTAAATTTTGCGCACTATTCAAACTAGTTTGCTGAGTCACCGACAGGAGCTCCTCTTTGGGCAAAGTCCTATGGAAAGCTAAACGTGCAAGTTTCCGTTTCCAAAGTCAATTTCGCTCGCTCTTTTTTATAATTATTTAATTAGTTTACGATATTTAAGTTTAGTAATCATGTACAATTTGAGGTCTAAATCGCGAAACGCCAAGCCCAAAAACGCAAATCCTCCAAAACCTCAGCCTGCTAAGCCAAAAGGTAAGGCAACACGTGATCGTGTTCGTGATAAACCCAAACAGATTACTGAAGACCATGATGTTGATCTCGATGAGACATTACCAATTGAAGAGTTCATGGAAAACTACAAAAGGAAAGCTGAACAGGATAGTGAAAGCAAAACAAAGAAAGCTAAAATAGAAGAAACACCTGTTGTTACGAGTGGTTTAGTAATGACTTTTGGTGATGACTTTTGTGGTGAACTCGGATTAAAAAAGACTGGCTTCAGCAAAAAACGCCCGGTTTTAGTTGAAGGCATTAAACAAAAAGTGACGCAAATAGTGTGTGGAGGAATGCACAATGTTTGCATAACCACCAATGGTGAAATCTACTCTTGGGGTTGTAACGATGAAGGAGCTCTTGGGCGCAAAACAGATAACCCTCCAAAAGGACGTAATCTAGAAGCTGAACCTAACAAAGTGCCTTTTTTATCCAAAGCTAAAAAAGTGACAGCCGGTGATTCTCATTCTGCAGCTTTAACTTCGCATGGAGAAATTTATATTTGGGGTAACTTCAAGGTGAGTTCTGTTTATTTCATCTTTATACCAATGTCTTAACCGTTTTTTACTTTTGCTTCAGGACTCCACTGGAAACATAGGTATTAAACCTGATTCTGATTCGTTGGATGGACAATTTCAACCACTTCGAATTGAATTACCAGATACAAATTTTGTGGACCTTGCATCAGGCATTGATCATATTTTATTATTAACTGACACTGGTGTTGTGTATTCTATTGGATCAGGTGAACAAGGACAATTAGGAAGACTTGAAAAGAATGAATGGAAAGAGATCAAAAACAAAAGAGACATTTATCTTAAGCCTGCAATTGTAAAATTTGATGATGAATCAATTAGATGTGATCAAATCTGGGCTGGACAGTATTCTTCGTTTGCCCGTGCCAAGAATGGTGATATTTATGCATGGGGTCTCAACAACTATTCCCAGCTTGGAATACCGCAAACAAATACTCATCAAGATGATTTAGTAGTCCCTTTTCCAATTCAAATTTCTTCCTTATCTAAATTAAATGGTCAAGTAGAACAAATATGCCAAGGACAACATTTTATGTTGGTAAGAGATTCTACTGGAAAAGTTTATTCGTGCGGCCGGCATGAATATGGAAGATTAGGACATGGAGAAATAGATAATTCTTTAGAAGAACCTAAACTTATAGAGAAACTCGACACAGAAAACATTAAATGTATAGCGACTGGATCAATCAATTCATTTGCAGTCAACGAAAAAGGTCATCTTTATTCTTGGGGAATGAGTGGCACTTCATTAGGTCTAGGAGATGATGACGTTTGGGAACCAACTCTAGTTGAATCAAAAAATCTTTCTACGCATCATGTAATATCTGTTTCTGCTGGTTCTCAACACACAGTTATCATCGTTACACCTAAAAGTGATTAGTCTAATAAAGTAGACAAAGCTCAAATCCTTCACATAAATTGTCATTATAAATAAATTTATCACCAACAACTATTCAGTTAAACATTAAATCAACAGTGAACATACACTTTATTTACAAAGAAATCAAATTTATTGAATCTACACCTATTTTTATTCTGCTACATAGAAATATCATGTTTTTACACCAAATTGTATTTATTTACCTTATCAATTACCTAATCCGTTAGATGGCACTACATTAGTCCTGTTGTTCTTACTTCGCAACAGCGCTATCTTGTATCATTTATACGTATACTCGGTCAAATATTAAAGCTTTACTTTATAGAGAGAGCTTAAATTAAAGATGTTAAACTGAATTTGTTGAATCGTTTATTTTAAATCTCGTTTTCTTGTTTTGTTGATTTTTTTACTCAACGTTACATCTGTCATCTGTTTTACCGTTAACTGGATACAGTTTTAACCGATGATCATCAGAACATCATAACCAGGTTAGTTTTATGTGAAAGTTAAAATTGATGTTATGTCATAAGCTCTTGCTCTTTTTCCCTCTTTATCCCTTTTCATCTTTTCCTGCATCTCTTTATTTTCTTAGATTTTTCTGTGTTTTGTTTAAATTGAAATAATTGTTGGATTGAACAATTTTTCTTTCACTTTTCTTTTTTCCTAGCTCCTAATTTTTCCTTTTTTTTCCTTAGTCTGTAAGTCTGACCATTGTTTGTTTCTATATGAATGTTCGACCTTTTAATTTAGTCTTCATTCAATTTTCTAGTGCTTCAACTACTCAATCAATTCTTCATCTTTATGCCTCTACTACACTTCTGTACCTTACTCACTCTCTGTTTATCCTTTCTTTTGCTTTCATTCGACTCAATTCTTCTCTTTTCTTTCTATTCATCACTTGAACGAACAGTGTTTGTTGATGCCTGAAATGCGCTTGTTTAACTGTTCGCATATCCTTCGTATATTTTGTGAGTTTATCTCATGACTTATTGGATTCCTTATTCATTTTTGGCTTAGCCAAAGGTGAAACTTTCATCTGTGTGTGATCTTCGTCTACTGTTCTTGTTCCCATTTTATCATCGTATTTCATTTAAAATTAAAATTGGTGGTACACTTAAATTCACAACAATTTTCTATCTTTTTTTTCTCACTCTCCTTAGAGAAAGACATGAAAAGATTTATTGATGCACCTTGAAAACAAAACAAATAAGGTGAAATTAACAGAAACACCTGTCATAGGTTTAGTAATGACTTTTGGTGATGACTTTTACGGTGAACCTGGATTAAAAAAGACTGGCTTCAACATAAATCGTCCGGTTGTCGTCTAACTATCGTTATCCAACAATGTTATCCAATGTAATTTTGTGATCTCGTCCAATATCATGTTTATCTGCTTGTTAACTTAATGATGTGTATTTATCTCTATATCGTTTCACAACTAAATTGTGATTGTTTGTTCTTCAAATTTTCTCCGTTAAAATTAATCTAGTTAGTTATTTGTTGACCTTTTTCGTTTACCTTCCTCGACCGGCTTCATACCGGGTCATCAGGAAGGTTTATTCTGGAACGAGGCTGATATTCTTCTTCGGTCAACTTGTGTCAACTATAGTTGACCTACCTTCAAGGCATCATGGATCTTGAAGATCCATCAAGAATGGAATATGAAATTGTTGTACCGGTAAAACCATTACCATCTTCTGACAAACCTTTGAAAGGTTTGTTGAAAAGGAATAAATGTGAATCCAATTCATCATCAAGTGAGGATAAAAAATCAAAGAAAAGAGTTAAATTTGCTGAAACCATGATGGTCTTCTGTGATGATTGGCCAGAAGAAATTATGCCTCAGATAATTGCTCTTAAATCACCTACAGATTTCAATTTAATTGAAATTGTCGCCTCCGGCTTCATGTTCGAGCCGCCCGTTGAATATCAAGATTTGTTGCCATTTGACCCTCCACCAGATTATCAAGATTGTGTTTCATCAAATAAGCAACCTTCCATAATTCCAATGTCTTCGTATGAAAAAGATTCATCAATTGGTTACATTGATGAAGATATTGATCAATATGAATCAAATGAGTTTGCCAATGATTACCATAATCAGCTCAATTCAGCTTTACACTGGGAAAATATTTTGAATGAAAGTGAGATACTTGAAGAGGATATTATTGGTGTTCTTAAAGAAGATGAAATACTTCAAGCCATTGGCTCTCAAACGGCTGATATTGATACAGTCTTCCATCCCTTGGAATCTGAGGATGAAAATTATAATGAAGCTGATTTTCCAATTCACTATCATAATGGTCAATATCATCATCAACATGTTCCAAACCATTCTAACAATGGAGTGTCTTCAAGTGATGGTTCTAATTCAACATCTGATGAAGGACATCATGCCGTTGATGGTTACTGTGACAAAATTAGTCAAAGCACCGAGACATCTGAAACTTTTTCAGAAACAGAAGAGCTTTCATCTGATCTCGCAAGTGATTCCAGTTTTACCTCACAAGATACAATTATTTTAACAACACCTCTTTCCAACGATCCTAATGCAGTGTGTCGCAATGATTTTCTTTCTTCCTCATCATCATCAGCCGATAACTTGCTATCACCTGGAAAAACTGTTGTTGCTTATGTTGACCATTATTCAACCGAATATTCACAAATTGGTGTAAATCTCGAATTCGAACCCAAACCGGTTAAACCCATTTTAGAGACTATCAATGACGAAGAAGAAGAAGTTCGAAGTGACGCTGATATTGGAAGCATTAGTGAGGATCGAAGTTCGCTCAATGAATCTGTTCTAGAAGATGTAAATAAGGTTAATAATGATAATTATTCGAAAGACTCTAGACTGTCAGATGTAGGTGATGGTTCTGCCTCACTCGAAGTAGATGATGCCAACACTGAAACTGATGGCAGTTTGGGTTCAACTGAAGTTAAAAATAATTATGAAGTATTGGAAAGTGAGATTAAAAAGGATGGCGAACAAGAAAAGGAATCAAAAGAATCTTCTGAAATAAATGGAGTTTACACTTGTTTACCTGCTGTTGTTAATGAACCAACAATTTCTAAAGTCAACAATAGCAATAATGATCATTCAAATAATTTAGATAATAATGCTGTTAACAAATCAAACGAACCAAGTGGAATCAATGAAAATTTCTCAAAACCGTTAGTCAATGTAACAAGAACAACCGACCCCAAATTAGACTGTCCCGAGGCCTTATTTAAAACAATGTCACTATCAAAACCAGTTAGTGTTACTCCTTCATCATCTCCAACCTCATCAACCTCATCATCTTGTGCAACAAACATGAGTCCTTCTTCAGCTTCCTCGGTCTTTGTACCTACAGCAACGTTTCTACCCGCTCAAACAGCAGTTGTTAACGCTTGTGGATCCAATTTAGTTGTCATCGGTCTAGTTGATTGTGATGGAGTCAACAAATCTCAACATAACTCACAACAATTATTAACCACTGTCCCAATGAATACCTCTGTATCCGTTTCAGCGATCCGTAAAGCATTTGAATCTAAACAAGAGATAGAAGCACCAATTTATGAAAACACAACCGAAATGAGAAATAAGGTGAAAAATGCTTCTCAACCAGGTATGGCCTTTTATTTACATTCAACGATTATTGACTATAAATAGTTTGATGTTGCTTTAGTTGACATTTACTCTTGCGAGTTGTATCCTTACTCTTTGATTGAATACTAATTGACTGATGATCCTCATGAGACAAGTAAAATCATTTAGCACTAAATCTCACAGCTTGTAGGTAGAAATACCAGTTTTCATAACCCATGTATCATACCTTTTGCTCAGTTTAATCTCATCTTATGAAGTATGCTTTCCGTGAATTAGACTCAGCTATCCTAAACCAATTTCATTCAATTACAAGGTTTACTCATGTATTTATATACTTGCACCTTCTAATTTCCTTGGAGTAAAGAGAGTGAGAAAGGTTCTTTTCTCCTTATTTTTTTTTGCTCAAATAATATTATATCATCAGATACAAACAATACAAACAAAGTAAATTGTTTTCGCTTTACAATCATCTATTTGTACACCGCACATCACATGAGAATGAAAATCTTAATTATTACTGCCTATGAAAGGTCATTAAAAGTGATCAACAAAAATTTTTCCACTCAATTTTATGTTCACTTTTAGGTTCACTTTTCCCTTGGCTTGGTATTTCATTTTTTCATTGCCTTTTCCCAACCCTTGAAAAGCATCGAGTTACTTTGATGGATTACCTTTCAAAACGTTAGATGTGTTATAAAATGATGAAGAAAATTTCTAAATAGTTAGATCCGGTGATTATTCTGTTGATGAATACTTACCGTACTATGCTTATTGGGAACGATTCAATAACTGATTTTGGCTAACAACAGCAAATGATAATGATGATGATAATAGAGATGATGTTTTTTATGGTAATTTATCTGTACATTGATGCTTATAATGATGTGAATATTGAGAAAAGGAAAAGGCAAAAGCATTAGAAGGTTCTAAAAAAAACTAAAAATTGTGAGTAAAAATTGATTTTATATCATGACGAGAGATTGTTGACATTTCTGATTGTATGCTTCAGAAACAGGAACGAGAAAAGAAAATTATTATTTCAGGATAAAATGAAATAAGAATCATGAAAAATAAGTGATAGGAAATGAAAAGCAAGAATACAAGAGAAAACGAAGAAAGTAAAACAGAGGGTCAAAAGTAAACTTACCATGGACTTGAATACAAATCAATTGGAATTATTTCAACCTTTCCTTTTTCATCATCTTCATCATTCTCTTCCAAGTCTCGCTTTTCCGCCAACCCGAATTTATTCCAATTTATTCATCTCAACAAGTTTACTCTTCAGCTTGAAATGTTAGATTAACTCACTCTGTATACCTTTGTACTTTGACCATTGACTTGGTTCGTTATCAAACTTAAAAATATTTTACAACTGATGCAATTTAATTTTCAAGAATTGAATGCTCCTAAAATCTCGCTCTTCTTTTCACTAGATTTGGTGAAACTATTCCATACTTGACCCATTGCAGAATAATTTCAGAATAATATCAAAAATTATACAATCCACTGAATTTAGTATATAAATATATCTAAATATTTCATGAAAATATTTTCCATTAATATTATCATCTCGTCCTTTACTTTGCTTACAAAAACAAAACTCCTTTTATGTCTCGTACAATACAAAAATGAATTGTTCAGAAAAAAAACATTCAATAGAACTGTTTTTGTTATTGTTGTTGTTTTTGATGCTGATGAAAATGGAAACATGTTAACTGTTAGCCATGGTAAAAGTGAAAGGGAAATGAATTGCTGTTTACAGGAAATTTGTTGCTACCAAATTGAAACTCAATTGTTTCTTCATCAACTTGTGTATAAAGCAAAATAGTCAGGTAAATGACAAAAGACGGCAACTCCTATTCATCATCATCATTATCATGTTTATCCTTTTTTTCACTAATCTTTTTCTCTTCATTTTACTCTTTCATTTTTTTCCTCCTCTTTGTATCAATTTATCTAATATTGATTATCAAAAGCATTCCTGGTCAAGTTACATTTAACCAGCCTTTTTACAGCCTCAGGCTCTTAGTCTCATGTCTATTTATCATTTTCATTTTCACTTTTTTTTCGTCTCCACTAAATGGATGCATTATTTCAATTGTAAATCTAATATGTTTCTTGTGTCAATGTTTTTACTCAAACAAGAGTTTTCAATGAAATACTATGTTACCATTTACTTTGTTGATGATTCACTTTTATCATTCCCTTTGATCATTATTATCATCCTTTCAAATCCATCTTGCATGTTTTCCTTCTTTCCTCATCCTTGGAGAATCATGTTGATCAAAACCGGTGAATAGAAAGAGATGAAAGAGAGAAAGACAAAGATTCCTGTGCCATGAATAACCCATGCTCTATCGATCAACCATCAATCCAAGCTTTACTCTAAAAGATGATCTTCCCCATCGTCCATATACAACCATCAATACTGACCATAATCTTGCAACCTGATTCTTCCAACAATCACCAAACTCTTTATTTTTTCTCTCTCTCTCTCCCTGAATCATGATCATCATTAATATCATCCTTTTCTTCCTCTTCCCTTATATTCATCTTTCAGTTCCTTTAACCTTACATCATCTCATTGTTTCTATTACGTATTTTCCCTTCAATCTACTCCATTGTAAATCTACTGTTTCATATAATCATCAGCAAAATTCTTTGCTCATTTTATTATCTCATCTTCAGATTTTTCTTCTTTTCTCCATCTTATATTGTTCGATAAAGTTAAACATGTTAATCAGTATCGACCCGTTCAATGTAAAAGGGTAAAATTAAATTGCCATAGTTTGTCATTTCTTGGCTATTTTCAATCTCACAGGAATCTTACTTCACCCAAAGGAATAACTGAGAAAGTTCATGGAAGAGAGAAAAAAGAAAGAAAAAAAGAAGAAGAAAAAAGATGGTAAAAGTATCTCTTGCATTCATCCAATTTACATCGATTGCTTCTTTTCTCCAAAAAGAGGAATTATATCTGAAATCTTGCTGTAAACGAATCAAGAACTGAAGTAAAATCCATCTGAACATTCAGAATCCTTTTCTTATTTTTCCAGATTTATGTCTAAAATTATAACATTTTCCTTGATCATTTACTTCATCTCTACATTAGTTAATTACAACTAAATCTTTTCCCTTCTAATCGTTGCCTTCATTATTCATTTAAATCTTCAATCAACTTACAAACTTGATTGCTCAGTTCAAATTAATACCAGAAACATATTGATTGATCCAATTAAAGCACACATTCAAATAATTCAATCTTTTACAGTTAAATGCTTCCTTTCATCATATTTTTTCAATACAATATTCAAAATAATAGCATCCAAGATGAAAAATTTGATTATATTCAAAATTTCCATAATAATGTTATTCGCCATTTTTAAGAAAACACATTTGTAAAGAGAAATTCCGAGAAAAATGAACTTACAAGAGACTGATGTTAATGGGTTAAGGATCAATTATAAATAATATAACCTAGTTTCTTTAAAATCATTATCAGGTTAAAACTTTTTACCTTTATTCGGTTTCAGTCAATTATCAATGGAAACCTTTTTTTCACCAAAATTCAAAAAACATTTTATAAACTGATTCTCTTGAAAATCCTTTTAATCTCCAATTTTCTTGATAAACTCAACCAGAAAACGAGCAAAAAACTTACAGTGACTCACTAACAAGACATTTAAAGATTACTGTGAGAATAAGAAAAGGTTATCTAATTGTGATAACCTTCACTGATAATTACCATTTGTACACTATTATTCAGTTTTTTTCATAATTATCATTTGGCGTGCAAAAAGTGCTTCAGTTGACTCTTTTTTTGTCGCTCTTTACTCAAAATCATCCAAAGGATGACCAGTAATGAAACAAGTTTATGAGACAAAAAGATTCATCTCAAGATACAATCTTCACGCTATAAAACTTAAACTTAACAATCTTCAGAAACTCATCTTCTCACATTGAGTTATAACTGATACTGATCTTGAAATTAATCAATTTTCAGGTTGGACTATTGATTAAACCTGTTTACTTCTTACGACAATTAATCATTTGACTCCATTTCATCTAATTCCATCAATGATCAACCCATTATTTTATCATCACCATTGATCTATTAATGAAACTTTTGATTTGTATCCCTAATTGAAGTCGATTATTACCATTGAAAGTTGAAAAAAAGACATCAACAGCAAAAGCGAAAAAGAAGTTTTGAAAATCCTTTTCGCTTACTTGAAATGACTTTTAATTGTGCACATAAGGCTCACCTTGTAAACATTTTAACACTTGAATTGATATTTCTTTGTGTGATTCTTGTCCTCCGTAAAGTTCATTGAAACTACATTCATTGTTACCTAGAAAAAAAAAAGTTACAAACAAACGTTGTTTTTTTCAATGAGCAAACCTTTCCTTGTTTGAGAATCACTTTTTTAACGTTTATGTCTCAATGGACTCAAGAAGTCTCAAACAATAACAGCAACTACAAAAAAAAGATCTTGTCAACCTAGAGCAACTCAACTAATTAAAATTTCACTTTCGCATTTTACTTTATCATATTCATTAACTGATTCTTTGAAACAATTGTTATTCTAATTAACTTCCTCTTGTCATCTTAATTACAGTTCCGCAACGTCCTAAATCATTTCCATTCTCTAATTTTAAACTTGGTAAAAGCATGGAGCCAAGTAAAAATAGCAGCTCGGTCAACAGTACAACGGCAAATAATGGAAACAGTAATAATAGTGGAAACAATAATAGCCTGGCCAACAGTGGGTCAAGTTTAATCAAAGAGGCAACCAATGTGATGACCGAGAAGCTTAAACGGTTGAAACTGCACGGTGACAGCTCAAAACAATTGTCGACTGATGAGTCTGGTAAAGCTGTTCAACAAGCATCTTCAACAGGAACATCATCATCATCATCATCATCCTCGTCAAGCAATGATAACAAGCCAAAACAGTCACAACAACAACCACAAAATCAACAGCAACAAGCTCAATCACAACGACGCAAAGAAGATCTCATTATAGAGTACACTTCAGAACCTCGAGGTGCTCAGCAAGTTAAACGTGTCTCATTACCTGAAACATCGTTAAAAAATGTGGCAACTTTCAGTAAGCATTTTTTCGTCACTTATTCCTATTATAATCATCTTCATTAACTTACCTTTTTAAAGGTTTTATCCTAAAAAAAGGTTTCAACTTAAATGGCATTTAACCAATTCTGAGAGTTTACTTGTTAACTCAAGATTCATCTCAAATCATTATCCTTTTCTTGCTTTTTTGGTAATGATTAGGTTCTCTAGAGACTTTATTAATCTGATTTACCTTTAGATTAAAATGGAGATTGAACGTTTATCAATTTGTGCCATTTATCAAACCGATTGCCAGAAGAATAATTTCATTCTCATTTCCAAGATTTCATTGAGAAATGAATAAATGAAGAAATCATTTTCATTTCCGTAAAACATTTGTAAAGTTAAATTTTCCATCTACTGTTAGTATGCTCTGTCACCTTAAATCACCTCAAATTATACAAGATAATAATCTTGTAATTGAGCTATCATTTACTTCTGAACATTTCATCTTCACTCTTAATCATGCTCAATGAAAATTGATCTTGAAAAGAGATAGTTTCTCCTCATTTCAGAAAACATTCATTGAATTTTCAAATGAATCAAACTGGTAATGAATGGAGTGAAAAAACTGTCTTCAGTTGAATTATATTTTTCATATTACATGATTAACCTTTATCCTACAGAAAAAAAACACAATCTCAATGTTCATCTTTTTTCATCTTCTTATACCAAAATCTGGAGTAACCTTTCATAAAAAAGGCAACTCTTTATCAACTCAAATCTCACCTCAACTCAAACTATCCTTGACTTGAAAAAAAGAAGCATTTTGTGCTAATAACTTTGACCTTTATAATTTCAAAGTCAATCTTGAACCCTTTTTAAAATATACTTTCACTGTTGATATTTTTTAGGTTACTTTATAGTGCCAAGCAAGACAAAACTAATGCATCTCAACTCAGAATTAGTCTTTTTTTATATATTATTTTGTTCCTTATCATTTGTAACCCTTTTCAACATGTCAACATATTTCTTTTTATACATTTTCTCACCAAAAAAACACATGAAATGATTTGCCTGTTATACTCTTGCAGTCCCTTTATTTACCTCATTTAGGTTTACAAAATATCTCTTTGTATCTTCATCTTTTCACCTCTCTTACCCATTACCCAGATTATTATGATAATGTTATTATTAATATTATCATCTTTTTCAATAACATTTTCAAATCAAGTTGATTTCAATTCACATTATAATTTGAAAAGACATTCCCGCTCACCTTAACTGCTAGTATTTTCCTCATTTTCATCCTCTAAAAAAATCCTCCAATAGTTTGAATAATGACAAAAAGATGAAGTTGCCTTACATTTAAGTTATGAGAGAGTTGCTCTCTTATCCTCATGGGAAGTATAACCTGCTCAGACAATTACGAATAAAAGTTATTCTCATGTTCTAATTATTTTTCCCACCGAGTCTTTATCTCTCCTCATCCCCACCATATTTCCCTCTTTACATCCTCATTTCTTAGCTCACTTTTCACTGTCGCCATCATCTTTCTTTTCACTCCATTTTTACCAGTTTTCATCTTTTGTTGACATTTTGTCTGTTTTGTCTCTTCTCCTTTAATCTTCTCTTCCCTTCTTCTTCTTCTTTCCACAAACATCATCATCGTCATCACCATCAAACTTCATCATTCCCTGGGAAACAAAATGTATTTATTGTGTAAAAAACGCTGAATTATTCTTGATGAAAGTGGACATAATTTACAGCTCAGCCTGAAGCTTTGTAATCACATGAGTTGCCCAAGCCATCAGTCTTGTGATAACATGCAGATAATGTTGGTTGAACAAAAATAACCTCAAATAATGTTTCATTTTTTGCTCATTTTTTGTTTGACAATATCGATTACCAAACCATAATGAAAACCTAAATCACATCAACACGCCTTGATGTCTTGTTTACCTGTTTTTCAACCGATATTTTAAAATTTGGTTAACAATGACTTTACGTTTCTTTTTTCATTCAAATTGTGAATGAAAGTAAAGCTTCTTAGTTACTCTACACTTGATCACAGCTACATTTCAAGGTAACCTCTGCTACTTGATAATGTTAGTCATGATGATATTGAATTATTTTTACCCTCCCTTTGAAGGACTACACATGTAACCTTAAATATGCATATAAAATCAGCAAAAATTATTCATCCGACTTCAGTAGCTGATATCTTGTCAGCATAGTGAATCACAAGTTTTCAAAGTAAAAATATTTTCACCGTCAATTCCATTTTATTTCATGCTTTCTCGGCCTTTTCAATTTGAAATTATCATTTCTTGAAACTCTACTAATCGATTTGAAGAGGTTGTCTATGAAACCCATGATAAAACTGATTAAAATTTCATCAATATCTTGTTGATCGTTTACATCTTTTTTATTATTCTCTTTTCATTCTTTCCATTCTCTCCAGTTTTTTTACACTTTTGGCTTCTTTGCAAATACTCAATGATCATTGAATGTCATGCAGTTTCAAAAGCTGAAAATGGCAAACCTTTTCTTTCATCTTTTCAGTTTGATTGGTGCTGAAAGGCCCATTCGCTTCATTCCATCAAACAGATTACAGATGAAAATGATTCAAAATCAAAGCAGAAAAATAACATTTTTACAGGCATGAATATTGAAACTTTGGTGGGAAGATGAAAAAATACTTCTAAGGCCTCTACTCTGTTGATGTTTTGTCTGAATTTCAACACAAAAAAAACATCAAAATCAACTACAGTAATCATATAATAATAGACACAAAAAAATGGAATGAAGTAAGCAACGAAAAAGTGAAAAAACTTACAAGGCTTGGTTCTTTTGTGAGATAATCAAGCAAGAATTTTCAGTTTTTAGAAACTTTTAATGACGACTGTTCTCTGTCTCTATTACAATCGGTTGAAAAAAAACTTGTAATCTCTTGTTAGAGCAGAATTTACATGAAATGTTGGAAAAAAGAGTTAAATTAGTCAAAAAGAAAAGATCTCTTCATCATTACCCTCATCATTTTCATCATTTCTTGTTCTCTTTTTGTTTCAACATTCGTATTCATTTAAAGATATAATCAGATAAATTCATTAGAAATGAAAAGAGAAACAAAAGCCGACTCATCCCCATAAATTCAATATTGATGGTTAAACAATGTAGGCTGTAATGTTTGTCAAAAAAGCAAACTGAAAAAAAGCATTTCTTCTGTTTCAATAGCGTCCAGGTCAGTTATCAAATTTCAATCTCTTTCTCATTCTTCCCTGGTCTTTCCACCCTTCTCCACCTCATCTTTCTTTTCATGTTGCTTCTCATTCCTAAATGGAATTGTCTAAAACTGACAACTCTAATTTCAACTGAACCATCTAATTTCTCTTGACAATTGTGAAGGAAAAGGAAGATGATGATTTTGTGACGATGATGATGAGCTTGAAAAGAGGCAGAAAAGACAAAAAATCGTAACAATATCAGGAATAATATATACGTAAACAAGGAAAGGCTTTAAGGTTACATCAATACATCCTTTCAAGTTTCAAATTTCTGTCAACGTTAACCTTTTTTCATTTGCTTGTCTCTTTATTCACCCATTTTTTTTTGCTCAAAGTAAATGATCTTCAGGATTTATGCGCATTTTTCATGTTTCTTGTGTATATTTGCTCTGTAAATCAATTGATTGATTGTTTACTCGCCATTTCTTACCATCAATTTCATTTTTAATCAGTTGAATCAACTTTTAACATTTAACTCATCCTTTTAATTCAATTTTTGGCTCATCTATTAACTTGATTCAAGACTCTTATTATACCAAAATAATGTGTAACACTTTGTTGATAAACTCTTAGAAATCAATTTACTGGTCAACCAAATAACGTTACATAATAATCTGGTTGGTAATAAGATTTTTGGGTAATTTTGGGTTAGAAAAAAAACTAAACAATGAAACTGAATCATGCATGAAGCCTCATGAAATGATGAGATTTCAAGTCTTTCCATTTAATGAAACGGTTAATCATTTTGCAATTGTTGAACTCACTTCTAGCTGTTCATCAATCTCACAATTTCGTGAATCAATATCGGAACTACATTTCAATAAATTGGAGTTAAACAGTAGATTAGATCAACATTTAAACTCTATTGATCAACTTATCATTTGTTATGCGCTCGATATTAATACATAAACCTTTTTATCACTTGAGAAATGATAATATCAATCAAGAAGAAATACAATTTGTATCTAAAAGCGATTATTGCTTTTCGTGATTCTGTGATTGAAGTAAATAACATTTATCTGTTGCACGATTTTGTCACTCATTTCAAATTGCCGTTATTTCAATTTTTTGCCTGCAACTCTTTTTTTTATTGCTGAATATACTTTTCTCAGCCATTATTATTGTCAAATCATGGTTTTGCCAAACCATGAAGTTCACTGTCTGGAATATTTGCATCATTATTTGCATCATAATTTTCATTTTTAATGCCAAATATTCAGTTGTATCAATTTCCTTCTACTATTTCAACCAGAAATCAATTTTCCAATCTCAGGCAATCGTATTGAAAAAAGCAAGAATGCAGAAAAATTTGTCTTCTCCATGTTACGCCAAAAGGATTTATTTTCTGATGAAAGTTTACTAATGATTAATTTTTCTTTTCATTGATTTTTGTCTATACAGAAGACTCCAAAGGGGTGATTACTCTTCAAGGAACACCATTGTTGCCAGGATCAGCTCAAATAGTTAATCATCATTATCATCATGTTCACCACCAACATGGCCAGTCAACGGCACCCACTCACCAACTACATTCATACTCACATCAACAACCTCTCACAGTCCCTGTTAGCCATTTTCAATGTTTCCCACCGGGAACAACTATTCCAATATCTTCCATGGGAGCTTCTCAGGCAACCCATCAAATTGTCCAAAATCCCAATTCAACTGCTCAACAACAACAGGTTCAACCTCAAAAATTATCTTCAACACCAGTTACATCATCATCCACACAATTCATTGCCCCATCAACACCACAACCACAACTTAGTCCAAACCAACCACAATCCCAACCTCAACAACAACCTCAGCAATATCACATTTATCCAGTCACAAAATGTAGAGCAGCATCACCACAATTTATTAATCAATATTATGCTACCACAGCTAGCGGTCAAAGGCAATTAGTATACGTTTCTCATGTTTCACCTGGTCAACATCAACCCTTCATTCAGAGTCAAACAATTCATCATCACCATCATCCACATGCACACCATTATGTGCACCAACAAACTCAGGCACAAACAGGTCAACCTCAACACGGCCAACCATCTCAACCCGGAATGATTACAATGGTCTCAGGGACACCACAGGCCTCTAGAGATTCCCCGTCTCCATCAATAATTCAACTTCATTGTAGACCAGCTACTTCATTGTCTAATCAGCAGATTGTAGGTCCAAGAATATATGCTCAACCCTTGCAACACGGGTTTGTTGCGATTCCCAAAGATTCGTCTTTTCCCAATCCCAGTGAGATACGACGTCGTGATGGTTTAAATGCATACCCGGTGGTAAAAGAGGATCCACTTAAAGTAGTCAATACACAACCTGCTGGTTCAACCGGTGGAAACACAAATAGTGGAAACAGTCCATCAGCATCTTCATTATCTTCTACCCTGTCTTCGGCGTCTTCATCTTCATCTTCATCTTCTTCATCCGTATCACCCTCATCGACCACCTTGACCTCTTCAACTGTTCCTAATACCATAAATAGTAGTAAAAATAGCGATTCCTCTAATTTATCTTCAAGTGATACCAAAGATGAATTGGAACAGTTTGTTGAAAATGACATTCAACGAATTGAACGAATTAAACGCCGTTACTCACTGACCGAAGAAGGCGATGATCCAACCTTCGGTTTCGGTCGACGTCCTTCGGTTCGAGGTATTAAACCTAAATTTGGCCCTAATGAAATAATACGCCACATGCAAATGCAATTAAGACCACCAATTCAGTCAATTTCATCTCAAACCCTTCCAAAGCAGGCTAAAGTTATTAATACACAAATTGTCAAGTAAGTGTTAATAACTGCCATTAACTAATCAATCAGTTGAATTTGATCATTGATTATAATTCAAGGCATATTTTCAGTTTAACCAGAAACAGGGTTAAGCAAGTAAATAATAAAATAATTGAAAGAGGATTGAAAATAGAGGCTTTTCCATGAAAAGCTGAAAGAAATTAGTTCACTTCATGATAATATCGCAACTGATTTAACCTTTTGTATTCTTTAAACTTTTTCATGATTGATGTAACACAAAAGAAAATTTTATTTCTATTTATCAATTTTCTTTACTTTTTTACGCTTTTCTCCATAAACAGTCAATTAAATAAATTCAGCCAAACCTGTAAAAGGTTTATGAGTCTTTAAGTGTGTGTTTATAAATTGAATTGTTTATATATTAAAAAGGCTTCAATTTAAGTTTTCAATCCTCTAATTTTATTTTCAGGCTTATCCTATTTATCCCTATTTCCTACTTTTGAATATAATCAAATCGATTCTGCTTGATATTCAATTGAAGTTCTTACTCTAATTTTTTTCCTTTTATACTCTTCTTTCACAGTGAATCTCCTAATCCGGTTTCTTCAACTTATTCTCCTGGCTTAACTGCATCATTATCTACATCTACAATAACAACAACAACAACCACACCGGTTGTATTAGCAACGAGCTCGATTTCATCTCAACCATCTTCTCAAGTTCCAAGAACCGCACAAATTCATCTGATTGCTCGTCATTCTCATCCTCATTGTCACCCTCATCTTATTTCTGCCAATCAAATTGGCTCGGTACCCAATTTAAGGCAACAATTGGTCTCGTCTTCGGCATCAGTTTCACCTTCATCAACCTCTTCGTCTCCTTCACCATCCATTGCAGGTCACAATACTTTGGGTCATCGGCATGTTTACCTAATTCCTCACATTCAAGGAGGACCTCAATATCAAAGGATTGTCCAAGCAGGTGCCACTCTTCCTAGACAACATCCAATGCAACAAAAGGTTGGCCAAGCAGCTTCACAATCACAGCTATCACCTCAACAAGCAGCCATGTTAATGATGAAAGGAATGGGAGGTCGAGTTAAAATAATTAATGGATCTCAATCAGCCAGTTCAATTGGATTTGTTAGCAATCAACCTCCTTTGTCTCGTCCAGCATCATCTTTGGGTCACATTATTCAACGATCCGGACCTGGTGGAGATGAGCTACGAATTATTCAACCTGGTCCATCACCTTCACCCTCAGATGTTACTTGTAGACAATGTCCAATGAGAGTTACAAGCGCAGTTGATCCACAAACAGGGCAACCTCAATCGATCTCAATTATTGGTAATAAGGTTGGACCTTGTTTGTTGCAGCATAAAACAATTTCAATGCCTAATGTTTCCTTAATCAAGTCACTTCCTCAAACATTAACCGTTATTCCGATCAAAGACCTAAAAGATGAAAGAGGTACTCCTGAAGGAGCCAGTTCATCGCCAACTCACTCGTCTGATCCCATATTTGTTGATAACAAGGGTAAATCACCTGATGTTTTAAACGGCGATACAATGTCAACTGGAAGTACAAGCAGTTGTAGCAGCTCAACTAGTAGTAATAACACGGCAACTTCATCCAGTAATAGCATCAATAACCAAACCCTTAACAATAAAAATAATGAAATGAACAATGATATGAGTAAAGCCAAAAATACAAACAATAGCACTGACCCTGATGAGGTTATTATCAACAACAATTCCACTCTCAACACTACCAACAGCAACAATAACAACAATAACAATAATCTCGCCAATAGTAATAATATTAACAATAATATTATTAATAACAATAATAATAGTATCAATAATATCAACAATAATCCTGATCTAGTCAAAGATGCAACTACTTCGGCCCTGAAAGCAAAAAAAAGTATTGTTACCGGTTCTGGTCTTAAGGATGGTAAAACAAAATCAGTGCCCAGTAAAGAAGGTGTTATTTACTACTCGATGAATGTTTAATCCAAGATGATGTTTGATTGGCAATCAAATCTAATATAAAAAGCTTAATTTAAAATTGCTGCTGTTTCCGAGGTTGCAAATCGCTACAAAAATAACGAGAAAAAGTGCCACTCGGTGTTACAATAAACGCATTTAAGTCACTTTACAGCTTTTGCTTTTCTTTTCTTCATCCATGATTCCAAATTTATGTATACACTTAACACCAAAGTATTTCTGTAAAAAAGACATTTTTATCATGTGAATCAAGGTTTTTTCAAAGAGGATGAAGGAAGGACAAAAGGTCAAGGAGAGAACCTTGCAAATAATTCGAGAATTGATGGAACAAAAACTGAACAAAATAGATGCGTTTGTAAAGAGAATACAAATATCTGATGGATTTTCAAATGACGAATCAAGAAAACGATGGAATCTCACTGTCCCATGAAATTTTGGTTAACAAATCAATTATCTTTTTAGTCCTTATTGGCAACTCTAAATTAATCCAATTACTTGTTCATAATCTCAGTTGATTTTCCTGTTGATTTAGTACTCAAAGACTTCATCGTTTTGGACTTGCACCATTGAATCACGTTAACGACATATTTTGTAAAATTGGACTGATTTCACCAAAGCAATCGAATGATTTCTTTCATCCCAAACTGGTTGAATGCGAACAGAAATCATAAAGAAACTATTTAAATTGACTCTCTAGGAACAAGTTGATCATTTACTTGATAATTGTTAGGTTTATTTGCATTTAAAACACACGTTAGCTTGAGTTTTATTTATGATGAATTGTTACGTTAACATTATAAATCAAGCTTAGACAAATTGTTAATTCTTTTTCTTGAATATTGAGAATTGTCACTCAATTTGAAATCACACTCGCAATTTTTCACCCTTGTACCTATTAATATTTTGAAACGAAACAAGTGTTGGTTTATTGAAATGTTATGAAATTGTTCAAATCTGGAAAGACCATAAAATTGGATTATTAATATTGCAGCATCGTCAGATAATAATCATCTAGTTAATTGCTTTATCTTCCGATCAACCTTCGATTAATTTGTACATTTATAATTATTTCATTTGTATTATTTCAACCTTTTTTTGCGTCTCAGTTGCTGTGTTGAGTTGAACCTCTATAACATTTCAACCGGTAAACTCAATTATTTAACATGTAATATCCTTTGTTAATCATCTGCTGTCATCAACTCACAGCAACTCATTTTTTAATTTAAATTGTCTTTATTTAAATGACTTTCTCTCTTCTCATTTTCATTGTAAACAATCAATTCCAAATGATCTGTATTCCTTTGACATTATTTCAAGATTAGATTATTAATATTATTATTGTAAAACTTACTGAAACAAAAAGCAACAAACAAATAATAAAAATTGCCAAAGCTGTTGTATCAATTGTTAACGTTAATTTATTGTATTTTTACGCTTCTTTCTATCACCAACAACAGGACTAATTGTCGAGGTTTAATAAGCCACAAATTTTTGTCCACAAAATGAGTTTAAAAAATTTGGCAAAAATATTTGCATTTATTAATAATAAAATTACTCTGTTAATGAACCTGAATGTTAATATGGCAATCTAATTGAAATCAAATTAACGTCAGAAATTTGTCTCTAATTTAAGGTAAATGATAGATCACTGAGCGTTAATTAGTTGTGCCAAGTAACATTGTATTATTAATATCATCAAATCAACTAGATTGTTGAGTACAAAATTGACATTCAAAGGCTGTCTGCCAAAATCAACTATTTGGCATTAAATTGTCTGGTTTATGATTTTGAAAAATTCATTAAAATACTCGACTCTACAATTTTTCTGAATATTCTTGAGGTTATCAAAGAGTTGATCAACAAGTCTGACTTTTTTTGATGATTTTGGTGATCAAGAGTTAGGAAGGAAAGTCAATCAAAGTATCAAATATGGATCGAGTCATAGATAACAAAAAAGTAAATGTTATGCATAAAAAAGTCTTTGCCAACAATTGATTTCTGATTAGTTTACCATCATGAGAGGAACTTTAAGCATGATAATGACGAAGATATTTTCAAAGTTAAAGGGTGACATCCGTTGATGAGCAGGAAAAACGTCTAGGAAAGCCAAGATTAAGATAGACTCGTGATAAAATGGCTTTTTCCGTGGCTTTGACTAAATATCATGCATTGAGTGGAGTGACATTACAATGCATTTAAAAGACATAAAATGTTTGTTTTTTGCCAAGAGTAAGGGTTAACTGAAGTCGGAAAATGTAGGAAAGTAAAAAACTGTAAATAGAAACATGGATAAAATGATATTCTTGGCCTTAGTCGTACTCTTGAATCTTTGCTTTGTTGAGACTTGCTATTAATCATAATATGAGTCAAATGGTCAGGATTTGTCCAGCAATTTTGGTGCAAATTTGATAAGTTTCCGTCTGTGTAAAAAGTGAAAATCATGTTTTAATCAATCGTCGTCAAATTAATGTATTCCTTGTTAGTCTAGCAATTGGATGACACAAATTATTGCTTCGCCTAATCCACTGAAAAGTTTTTTAAAAGGTGAATGAGATTTGCGAGCGACTACAACGCGAAGGTTCGCATTATCAACTCCATCAGTAATTTGTTTGACTTCAGTTTCCATGGTTGACAGATTATGATTAGGTTGGCCGTTAATTTGTTTGGAAACGTGAAACCTTTGTTTAGCCAGTGGATAGAGTTGCAAATGGTTTGGAAGAGGAACTAATGGATTATCCAATGTTGCTTTGAGAGCTTGCTTGTCTTGATCAGACAATAAATCACTTAAATAAGGTCCATGTTGAAAGGCTTCCAGTGAAAGTGTAAGGTAACGAGCAAGATAAATATTGGTTCCAAGAAGATTAATCTTATTCTCAATGGTCACTTCCTTCCTTCTCCTAACACACTGAATTGTGGACCAACGATCGAGACACTCAAAAACAGCCATTTCATTGGTTATATTCAATGAATCTCGATGTAAAATTGAACGAAGGAGGCTCTCATTGATAGAAAGAATTCCTTCAGATGTTAATATCAATTCTGCATTTTCATCAATCAATGAATAACATTGATAAATGCAGCTATTCAAATGGCTTTCCAATTTTATCAAATCCTCGTTTACTATTGAGTGCTTGTCTTCTTCGGTGTTGATTGATTCCTTTGGTCCTGTGTCATAATTTGTGCCTCTCTCGTAAGGATGTAAAGTAGTCAGTATTTCAATTACATTGGAAACCATTAAATTTGATTGCAGGAATGTTAAAGATAAAACTGACAGGTCAGTCAATCCAAATTTGATCGAGCTTTCAAAAAGAGCCAAACACTTTGATATGCAGTCTAATTTAACTTCTTTCTTGTAAATATAGCTGATAGTTGAAGAGAAAAGGAAAAAATTATTAGTTAAAAGTTCTTATTCTGAATCAATCAAATTTTGATAAAAATTATTGACGTTCAAATATCCTTACCTCATCACTGAATGAAATATCTCCGGTTGACATTGTATGTTAACAATCGGCTTTACTTCTGGCAACTTCCAATTTTTATTGCTGTCCAATTGTTTAACCAGTGATTGAAAAAATGGACTTGACTCTCGAATGATAAATGAATGAGCAGGAAATCGCCATTTATCTTGAAAACTACTGAACCCACCAACAGGATCCAGAGTAACGATGAAAACTAAATCACTTTGATCCTCACTATTAAACAAAATCAACCCGGGACTTGGAGCTGATGGTAATTCACTATCAATCCCATTATTTCCCATAATTTTAGCTTAAATAGTTCACTATTTGATCCTATTTTCAATGAGAAGCTGAAACTTGTTGGGTGAAGATTCTTTAACCAGCTTAGGTTTGAATACGGATCACTTGAATCGATGTTCCCAATCCTTTGTTTGGAAGTAATTACCATGCTTTAAAGAACACAGGCAGAATTGTTGGACAAAATATTAAGCGATATGATTTTATTAGTAACTCGCTAACCCTGGGAGTCCAATCAGCTGAATTCAATTTAACCTCTAAAAGCATGGAAAATAAAAAATACATGAGATTAGAATCGACATAAGTATACAAAAATACTGAAGTATGGCGAAAATTATTCAGGCAATATTAATATATCTTCCAGTCTTATTAAATCAGAATATAAACAACTAATGTAACAATTTTCATTCGCAATATTTTTATAACACAAAATTACTGATGAACATATTTGCAAAGAACAAACATTGCGTTGACAAAGTATAAAACTAGAAGATGGATAAGTTAATAGAAGTTCAATCGTTTCATTTTCAAAAAATTCAATCACAGTTAGTATTCAAATAATTAATTATATACAAGATCTAAATATTCAAAAAAATACTCAATAAACTATCAAGCCAAAGCATATAATAACTGCGAAAGTAGTTGAAGGCGCAACATAACAGTTATCACTACAGACACAGCTACCAATCTAGTTTGTATTCAACTTTTTGTCGATTAAATATTATTCTATTTAATTTATTAAATAAAATAACTAGTAGATATAGAAAGTACAGCTGACATAATTGACTAATGATAATTAATAATAAAAACGACTGTTTGTACAGTCAACATACCTTTTTGAATTTATTGGTGTATGTAAAGTTTTAGATGATGGCGTCCAAGTCATAAGTAAAAAGTACCGACAATTGTTGTGGCATAATTTGATGTTTTCTCACAATAACTAAATTATTGGTTAATCTCGATAAGTTAAAATTTCTTAATTATAGTTGAAAATAAAAACAATGAAATATATCAGTTAAAACACAAAGACAACAATGAAATGATGATTTGGTAAGCAAGTGGGTAAATGATCGTTTGGAAATACAAACTGTAATTTTGGGTAAACAGCTTGCGCAGTAGCTGACAATGAGTTAATTTATTTTCTGATATTTTTTAAAAAATATGTCACAGAGTCAAAATTGGTCTAATCAATTGAAATGAATGTCTATTTTTAACAAACAATAAAATTATAGACTGGTTACAATATTACTAGAGGCTGCTGCGATCATGACCAATCGTAAATTTCCACTGACAATGTGAGTTCTATACAGTTGATCCAGTCTGAAAATACCAGAATTCTTAATGAAGAACCCATCATCAGAATAAGAAATCCGAAAGTTGGAATCTTTAGCCTATGTCACTTTGATAAAATTCATTTCTGGATTGAAAAGCTTTTTTTAAGCACAGGTAAAATTTTTGTTTGAATTGAGAGTTGATACTTTGTTGGTTGTAAGGTCATAAAATTGATTCCATTTGTTGAATTAAAAAGTTTCTCTGATGGATAATCATAGAGAAAATTGAGTTCAAAATCAAAATTCGATATCCTTTTGTACAGTCGAGGTACCAGATTTTTCACCAAACTACTCTTTACTCGAAAGACAGTTTTACATATACTCTTAATCCAAAAAAGCAACCTGAATAACCAGAACAGTTTGTTTAAACGTGAATTTCAAAAGTAACCTGAATTCTGATTAGGCTCTCAATATTTTCGGACAAATAGCTCAATCATGGCTTTCAGTCCGATTAAAATATCCTTAGGATCCTTGGTTTTGGCCAAAATTTTGATAAATTTTCCTAATATATTGTATAGATTAAATATCTCATCATAATTGACATAAACAGCAAATTAAAACATTTTCAAGTATTACTTTGAAAAATATACTTGTGCTTGTTTAGCCATTGAGCTTCCCATTAGTATTAAGTTCATGTCAGATTCATTTTCAGTTTACTATTCAATAGTTTGTTATTGTTTACTGAACAGCAGTTACAATTATAATCCACTGATATAACAGCGAATTATTTAAACAATGTTAGTCAAGTTTGTTCATCTCAGTTATTAAGGTCTATGAACTTTAACCTACAATTTATATTCTCTCTGTAAATTGATTTCAAACCTATTTCTAGTAAATTTTAGTTTTTACAAAAATATTGAATGAAAAGAAAAATTATTTTCGATTTGTTTTCAGTTGACTTTTCATCGGGATCTGTTGATATTCATTTTAAATGTGGCCTTAAAAAGCTCTGTAATCAATAAGTTAGCCTTTGAGAAATGAATATGACTTTGAATTCTAATTTCAATTCTATTCCTATGACTTATTCTTATGACTTTCAACTCCTACTCTCTGCAGATCAGAACTGAAAGCAGATCTCAGGAGCATAACGAAGCTTTAAAATGTTTTCTCATTCATATTCCTTTACTTTCAGGTGATTGAATTAACATACAATTTTTTATTCTTTACGTATGATCACAAGATCATCTTATCATCTACGTTGAATACAATACTCCATTAATGCGAATGTATTGTTAAATGTCTACTATTATCCACACGTAGCTTATCAAATGTATTTTTTGTAATAATATTGAAGATTGAAAGAAAGATTGAAATAATTGAACAGTTTGAATAGAAGCCGAATGATTTATGATAAATTTGACTGAATCTGGTCACAAAAAGGTTGGTTGAACTAAATCTCTTTGGAAGATTTCATTTTGATTTAGCAACATTGTCATGTCAAAAATGAGCGATTTCTCAAAATTAAGTGGAACTGAAGCTGTCTGAACAGCTTGGAAATCAAAATGTTTGATTAGATTACCTACGCTTTCTCTTGAGTTATTATCTATCTTTATCCATTAAAAACATTGTTTATTTATTGATGTGAATTTATTTCAGTTTAGATGTTTCCATGATCACAAATTATCTTCAATCCATTGTTAATTGTTGCTATGATGATAACTAAGAGGAAGAGTGATTCCATTCAGGTGATAGATCTAATGACCAAGAGGATCGAAAGCAGCAACTGTTCAATTGCCAGTAATTTTCGAGTCAACTTGGTATAACAGTTTATTTTTTTTTTCGATTACCATTGAGATAACCAGATAGCAGCAGTGACAACAATGTTTACTCTTTTTGTTCTTTCGTCTGTCTTAAGCTTTTCATTGGTTAATTGTTCACCTGATTTTGGACAATTCAACATTTCTTGTGACAATGATAGACCCGTTATTGGTGTGCTGTCCTTACCTTCTTGGGATGAGATCAAACAAGTTGAAGATAACCGTTCATCATACATTGTGGCCAGTTATGTTAAATTTCTAGAATCCGCTGGAGCTCGAGTTATCCCTGTGCTTCCTGGTCATGATGAGGCCTATTACCAAGAAATGGTCAATTTAACTAATGGATTTCTGTTCACTGGCGGTGGACTTTGGCTCAGCACTTCAATGTATACAACTGCTGCTTCTTACATATGGAAACATGCCTTGAAACTAAATTCAGAAGGAGATTTCTATCCCATTTGGGGAACATGTCTTGGATTAGAGTTGATAGCATATTTAGCAAATGATTTAGTCTGGCCTTTGACTAATTGCTCTTCCTGGGATGCTCCATTGAAACTCAATTTCAGTATGAACTCTCAAGAACTTAAATCAACCAGCCTATTCAGTGGATCAGATGAATCTATTATTGAGGTAATTATACTCTATTTACAGTCTTTTGCTCGAGATTTCAAATTATTCGACTGATGACTGTGAAATCAAATGAGAAATACTTTATTTCCTCTTTTTTATATCTTCTAATCGCATATTTAAATTGTAATTTATTATTTTCTTGGTTCTTTTTCAGATCTTGAGTAAAGAAAATGTTACGATCAACTACCATCATCAATGTTTAACTCCTGAAACAGTAGAATCAAGCAAATTGGCTCAAAGTTTTCGCATTTTATCAACAAATAAAGATAAAAGAGGAATTGAATTCGTGTCCATCATGGAGGGAAAAACTTTACCTGTATATCTTGTCCAATTTCACCCTGAACGAGTTTTGTTCGAGCCCAACTATATAAAATCTTTCAAGAGAACACCCCATTCAGCCAATGCAGTCAAAGTCTCTCAATATTTTGCTAATTTCTTCGTAAATCAAGCTAGAAAAAATTGTCACATCTATCCCAACACCGATGAATATCATGCGAAATTGATTTATAATTATTGCCCACAATTCAGTGGCCTTGAAGGTGGGCATGAGCAAACCTATTACTTCAAATGGTGAAATCTAAAGAGTGTCAACCAGTCATGTGTTAGTCAATTTAAAAATGAATTAATTAGCCAATTTGATAATTAATAAAGACCTTGATCATCGTTCATCATAAAATTTTCAATTCCCGGATAAATAAACATAAACCAGTAAAATCAACATTAGATGGCGCTCGCAGCAGCTGTTACATAAACTATTGACTAGTTGAGACGCGCTTCATTCAAATTAAACAATTGACAACTGAAACAAATTGGAACAATTCTAACCTCAACAACGCATTCGCCGAAAATTTTAATTCACTGACATCCGACCATCAAGCTCTACCTTAAGCTGATCAGTATAAAAGTATTTCCAACCAAAATTACATCGGATTTAGAGACAAATTTACCGAAAGATTTTGAGATTGCTCGAGAAATAGCGTCTATTCCGGTTTTATCCCAATGACTACAAATTTTGTAGGCTTCTGAGATTTTATTTAAAGATCTACTGATTTGGATTGTCGATTGAATCACAAGATAATTTATTTGAGCAAAAAGAAACTTGAAGACATTTAAATGGTGAAAGTGTCAAAAATGGTTACTGTAACTAGAAACTATCAAGATTCATGACAATATTGAATTAGCACGAGATGAGGTATAATTGACAAGATATTAATGTTAATGTTAATAATACCAAAATAAATCAGCTGCTAATCAGCATTAAGCATCACCGTAAACGATGTTTAAATTTATCTGTAGAATCTATTAAAAACAAATTAACAAAATTTAGTAATACGGAAAAAAGTTGAAAAATGAAGCAACTGATGGCAAATCTGAAGAATCTAAAGAATCACAGTAAAAACAAACGAATCAAGTGAAAGTGATCATTTAATAGGAATCAGTGTGCAAAGTAAAACTAAACCAGAATCTGGTTAACCTCGAACCTTGGCACACTCAAGGATTAATCTAATAACCCGGAGGCTTTAATGTTCATTACACAAGCAATAGAAATGATCAACCAAGAAAAAAAAGTACAGAAAATGCAAGAAAAACAAAACTTCTGACCGTTTCTCTATTTACCCAAAAAACCAGTTCGATAAGATTCTGATAATCATCCTGCCAGTTTCACTTCTCTTCTTGCCTTCATCATCATCATTACCATCATCTTCACTCACTATCATTGAATTTAAAAGTTTCAGTTTAACAGCAAAAAAATGAAATTGATGTTCATTCAGCCTGGAGCAATGTTGTTTTCCCGAGCAAAAACATTTAACTAATCATAATACCATTTAAACCAACTAAAGTCAAGCTTTGATCATGATTATTAAGACTTGATTTCCAGTCAGTCAGCATGAACAATCAAGTTTTGCAAAAAAATGTCTCTGCATAATTACATTGAATCTCAATTTGGATGTAACCAAAGTATCACATCTAATCAACTCAAATCATCATTTTACCACAAAAGACCAAAAAGACTTAAATTGTTTCATTGATCAACAATATTGGAAAACAATTAGACTGTAAACCCATCCAATAACTGCAACAATTAAAATTGAATTATGCGATTTTATTGTTTACCCAAAATTGATTTCATTTTTTGTTTTTAGCTAACAGTTTACCTTGAGTTTTGGTTTGTTTATTACATTTTCATGTTTCTTTTAAATATTACATTTAGCTATTAATAATATTACCTTGAGTAGTAATCATTTGATATTTAAACCTCTAATTAAATGTCAGTTATTAAATTAAAACTGATCCATCATTAAATCAGAAGCTTCAACATTATCTATTGAATAATGAAAAGCGATTGCGTTTATAAATATACTTTTGACCATTTCAATTGACTCTTGACAATTGAACGATCAGTCTTTCATTACAACAGTTATCTTTGAATTACCTTTGATTGTTCAGACATTGATAATTGATTAAACTGTTTAATAAGTAAAAAATGGAAACCTTGAAATATTTGGTTCCATTCATTGTCAATTGAAAGTGAATAAAATAATCAAAATATTGATCCATTTAGATTGATCAATTTTTTTAGGTAAAGTTTAATATTGAAATATTTTCCTGTTAATGAACTACAATTGAATGAGCAAATATTAATTGTTATCAACTAATTGTGATTTGCTTTTCCTCTTTAATTCTCAATCTACTTAAAACACAATAATATTGAATCTAATCAAGTGTGATCGATAAACAATAGTTAATATTAGTAATTACTAGAAACATTAGCTTAATGTTGTCTTCAAAGGATTGCTTAGTTAAGTGACTTTTCATTGATTTTTCATCGAAATGGACATTTTCATGATTCATTGGGAATCAACTTGAATCTGTTCAATTAATCAAGTCTGTCAACAATGGAGACAAAAATAATGCCTTTTAACAATTGTAATCAAATTTTAATGAACATTCAATTGCAACTATTAATATTGTTGGAAGATGAAATTATGGTTGAATCACATTTTTGTAATTACAATGGTCAAGGTAATCATTTGGATGGAACCAATTTAATGACAATCAAATGAAAACTAAAGTCTATTAAGCGATCGTGAATAAGAAAACCAGTGAAATGCAATTAAATGAGTGATGATTAGAAGATGACAATTTAGCTTAAAGCAAACATTTCTGGATGAATAACAATTTGATTGAGTCAAGCTTTTATTTTTGGTCAAAAAAACTAAAAATTAAAACATCATTCCAAGGATTGTTTTCAATGAATTAAAAGTGTTGAGGAAAATGGTGAAAGTTAAATGTTTATCATGTAAAATTGGCTTATCAGTAAACATGAAAATAACTCCATGGTTTAGTTGAGAATCGAGACAATCATGAATATTATACTCATTATTGAAACATAATCAGTAAAAATTGTTTTAGCATTTTCATCTGTGATCACATCTGAGCACATCGAGAATCATCAGGTTATTGAAAATTCAGGAAAGATGTTCGTTAACAGTAAAAATTTTTGCAATAGTTTTAATTCGAGTTATTGTTGGTTAGCTCAATGAATGATCTGAATTACTTCAAATGGTGAACTCATTATCGAGTCTTGATAGTCATAACTTTTTCCTTATTATTTTTTCCAAATTGATTTTATCTTTTCTTGCATTTATGAGCACATTTTATTGATTTCAAGGTAACTTATATTGTCAAACATGATCTACTTTTAGTGCTAAACATTATTCCAATAATCTAAAGGTGTTCGAGCCTTGAAAACTCATTTTATACTTTCTTTTTTACATTCAAGACTACAAGATGCCAGAATAAATAATTTCAAAGTTTCCTTTCTCGAAATTAAAGGCAATGAAGATACTCTCCTTAGTATTTCACATCAATATCTCTTTCGCTTCGAACGTGTTTCATGCAAATTTGAATATGATTTAGGTTATCCTGGTTAATGTTTGGGATGGTTGATTTATGATATTTAGTTACAATTATTACAAGCAAGTCGGAATGGCCAAAGAGCTACTCAAGCTTTCTCTGAATCGTCTGCTGGAAAATGTTCAAATGTCTATTTTATTGATTCGTAAAGCGAATTGCAAAATTTGCCCTTTCAATTGATTTTCAAATTTCGCTTGGAAGTGAAGTGAAAGAATAACCTCGAGTGAATTAGTGACGTGGAATCAATGATTTCTCAATTTCCAAAAGCTTCGATGTATGAGTATTCTAGCTCCTTCGGTTCATGAGATATTGAGCCGAATATGAATTTCGGAATGAGCCAGTTCGGAATAATGAACATCTCAAAATGGTAACAAGATATAGCATTGAGCTTAATCTTCAGAAAATAATCTGTAAAATGAAATTATGATCATTTAGTAATTTTTCATTTTACAGCTAAACGTAGCTTTCAACTTTAATGTAATAAGCTTTAATTGTTTCCCAGGTGCTCTTTGCCTAGTTGTTAAATCTACCAAAACTAAAAATTCAGACAAAGTCTCTGTAGCTCTGAAATCTATAAGGCGATAACACAGTAAATCGCAATATATAATCTATTCCTTTTCTTGTAGACATCGAAATCTCTAGCTAATATATTTTATCAGATATCAATAAATTTTTCAATCGAAGATTTGGTCATTTTCCCTGTTCTTCTTGACATCTTCGGCTCAATTTCAAGCTGAAACCCAAAAAGTTGAAAACTGAGTTAACAGAGTTTTAAAACCCAATTTTCGGCATTTCAGTTTCACCCAAGTACTTGTAGACAAATGATACCAATTAAGGGCAAAAGTATGTTCAAACTTGTCAATAAAAGTTGAAATAATACTTTCAAGAGGTCCAATTTTCGGGTTCAATGTTATAATAAATCCATAAAACTGCATTCTTCTTGAGTTTTGATCAGTTGGCTCAAATGGTTTGGAAAAATTCCTGGAAGGAAAAGTTTCCTCATCAGTTTCTTATAACTTCACAGAAGCAATCTTGCAAGGCTATTTAATTATCATTATTATGATTGTTGGGACGAACAGCGAAAATCAAGGTTATTGATGAAACAGCGAATCATAACTTGCTATTAAATTGTTCACATTTAAAGACAGTGTTTAACTTTGGTATTTTAATATTAACAAGTTTCATTGATTTTCTAGTTTTCACTTTTTCTTCTCGACAATCACCATTAATCAAGAGAAACAATTGCAATTAGCCATTCAAAACAAATCAATTGTAAATGGACAATAATTTCGAACCCAATTTTCGGTTCATCCATTTTCAGGTTTCAACCAAACCCATTGTTGGTTATTTCCTGAATCTTTTTTGGTCAATCAGTAGTTGAGTGTCGTTGAAAGCAATAGTTATCATCTTTTGATCATCACCTCTTCAAGGGTGAATCCAAGGTAATCAGATGTTAAATTTTCAATATTTTTCTCGTTCTCTCGCTTACTCATGTTAACCTTGTTAGTCAAGTTGATGACGGTAAATGTCCAATCATTAATCTTGCCAATCTAATCAATGATTAAGATTATCTGTTAGACCGAGTCTTCCTCTTGTTGTTTCCTTGAGGTTAAATGAATCAAAATATTATTGATCATCACAAAAGGAAACCAGGAAAGCCGCAAGTAAAGGCCGAAAACCAAGGTTTACATTGACACTTGAAAGAGCCTTTAATTGACCAAATTTTTTATTAACTTTGATTGTAGGTTAACAGTTGAAAATCCATCGTCAATTTGAAGCTGTTCCTGAATCCAATTCCGAGCAAATTGTACAATCCAAAGAAATGCCGGAAAAGTTGAACAGCAAAAGCTTGAACCATTTTCCAACTAAACTGAAAGAGTTTTGGTTCCTTGAAATTTACAGAGGAAATAATTGAAGATAAAATGAAATGCGGAATCAAATGAAACATTAAATTTGCTTTTGTCAACTTTGATTAGCCAAATGATTCAATTCGGATTCAGTGTTAAAGATGTTTTAACGAACCTTTTGTGCCTTTAGTTTTCTTCTTTCAAATTCAATGTTATCTTAAGGACGAGAATCGCAATCAAAGTAAGTATCATTTGATCAAACCTTTCTGTTTATTAACCTTTTCTCAAATCAATGACTTTGACTAGTTGAACTATCAATTGAACCCTCAATTGATATCAATTAACAAATTTTTGAGAAATTTTTGGTAAAATTTCAATATTCCTTTGCAAGTTAAATAACCTTTACACTTGACCATTTGAAAGCATTTCATTTTGTTTCACTTTTAATCTCATCTTTGGTTGTTTATTGTCATTGTGATTGTATAAATTGTATTGGCACGAGAAGAGTTATTGAACGGAACAATGTTCTGTTAAGATTCAGTCAATCACCTGAAGATTCAACAGATTTGAATGTAAAGTCCGTTTACATCAATTTAACCAACCATTGTATTACCATATTTAATTTTGGTTCAAGTGTAAGTTGATTGAACTGGTTTAACGGAAAGCAAACCAGAAATTATGAAAACAGTAATAATCTTTTCAACACTAAACTTGTTTATTAAAATCTCAAGTTCACTGTCCAAACCAAAAGTGAAATCAATCAGAGAATCTCAAGAATATGAAAATTCATGATAAAGTGCCATTCAATACTAAAAATATCAAAAATTAAAGATCAAAAAATCAAATTAAAAGATTGAATAAATCGTAAAAAGTCAAAGCTACACACTGGAGACAATAAATGCTTTATAACCACAAAATGATAAAAACTTTTTCATGTTATTTTCAAATTAAATATTGATTATTGTTCAATCAGTTCAATGTTAAGTCAATGTGAGACAAGTTTGGTCAATGTCTTGACCGAACAGTAAAGAGGTGAAGAAGATGATTGAATTTGGATAAAAGGTTAAAATAGACAGAGAAGAAGAAGAAGATGAGGAAGATGGAGTAAAGTGGGAAAAGGCAGAAAAAGAGAGTAAAGAAAAAGGGAAAAAGAAAGGCAAAGTAAAAGTTAACAGAACCGGTTAGTTTCTTACGATTAGCACTCAACCTGTTCTTACCTGTCCCAAATTTTATTTCTTACTTTCTTTTTTTCTTTCTTTCAAATTTGTCTTCTTCTTCTTTCTCTCAACTTCTTTAGCCAGGTAAACTTATAAAAACTTTTCTCTTCTCTCTTCTTGCTTTACTTTCTCTCTTTTGCTCTTAAACTTTTATCATCCTCATCGTTCTCATCAGCCAGTGCTCACTTCTCATTTCACTTTTGTCAAAACTTTTTCTTATTCTCATTCCCAATCAACACGAATGATGTACTGAAAAGACGAAGAGTGAGTGAGGAAGAGAAGAAGAGAGAGAGAGAGGAAGATAGAAAGAGAAAAAAAAGAAGAGAAGAAAAAGTTTTCTTTCCATCTTCTTCATCACCATTTCTTTTTCTTCGTCGCCAGGTAAATCTCATCTTTTTTTACCTTCGATTGCCCCTAAAGGGATTATACTTTGACTAGTTTTACCTGAACAGCAAAGGGACACAACACACCTTAGGTCAGTTCACTAGACCAGTGTTGATTTGTTTGTGTCTTTTTCTTACAGTAAATTTCTTTCAGTTGAATATTTGTTTTCACTCTTGTTTCACCATAAAATTATGTTTCACCAACAATCAAATTAATCATCTTTTCTCTTTCATTTCCATGTTTAATCCAAGGAATTTTGTTTCAAAGTTAATTGTTGCTTCTCCAAAGGATTGATATTAACCCAAATGATTCTCATGTTAACTTTTTGAACAACATTTTTCGGTTTACTTGCAACCAACTTCTGGTTGAACCCAAACATCGTCTGTGCTTTTCTTAAATAACCTTTGGTTTTGTTTTTTTTTAATATTTTGTGTCTTTGTGTCAACCTTTTTTAATCACAATGAGATTAAGGTTAAGCCATTATTTAACTCTAAACGGCTGTTTATTGTTCATCTGTGTGTTTAATTGTGCCTCGTCCACTTCATTGCCTGTTAATAAATTAGTTAAGGAAGCTCTTCGTCGTCAACAACGAGAAGCTCTTGCTGAAGCAGCAGCCGAGTCAACATCAACTGAGGCCAATGAAGATATTGATTCAGATTCGACCAACAAAGTAACTACAGTTAAACCTTTAACCAACTCGAGTCACAATCACAACAAGATTGACTGGGATGAAATTGAGTCAACCTGGTATCAGTTTAAAGACGATGAAGAAGTGACCAAAAAGTGGAATGACATGGAAAATGGTTTGAAAAAAGGTAACAAAAAGTGTCAATTTTGCTTCTCTTTGCAACCAAAAGAAGAGAAAAGGTTAATGTTTACTAATTTTTACCAATTTTTCTGTCCACCGATTGTCCATTATCAGGAGTGAAAGCTGTTCTTCGGTCAATTTTCCCTCGAATAGTTTCAATGTCTTCAGATACTAAAGTATCCGGAAACTGTTCAGCTGGAATATTGAAGTGGCTAATATCATTAAGAAGTCTTAAAGATTGGTCAATAAAAAGTAAGTTCATCTTGGCTATTAGCAATTTAACCTTTTTTTACCAATTGACAATCAGACATGAAAACCTTTTTAAAATGCAATTCATTACAAGATGAAAATTTAAATTTTTGTCTGCTTTTCAACTTTCATCAATCAATTTCTTCTCTTATTTTTTATTCTCAAATTAATAACTTAAATTTATTTCCAATTTGATTGATTATCAAAGCTGATTCTTCCTACACAAGACTAAATTGCTCTTTTTGCATGTTAATTGTCAATTTCAAGTTGAATTTGTAACCTTAACCAGAAGCTTGCAGTAAACGAGTGAAAAGTCTCTGGTCTTGATCTTATTCCGAGTAAAATTCAGAGTATTAATCGGTTCTTCTTCCGGATTAACTTGTAAACCTGAAATTGCAATTGAAATACAATCTAATGAGCCAAAACCAATAAAATGCTCTACTTTCGTTTAAATTTATCGTTAATTAACTTGTGAGAGTTGAAATGATAGTGTTTTGGGTGATCAACAGTAAGACAAGTAACAGTAACAGCAAGAGTAGCAATTTAACTTGAATTTTTAACAATTGATTCTTACCAATTATTTTATTCACATTTTTTTCTGTCTACCAAACCAAATTGACAATTCAACATGTTAACAGTTTTCTGATCAAATTTTTAATTAACCAACAACACTCGCTATTAACTAACAATATTTTTGTTTCCCAATCAAAAGTAGAGTTGTGTATGCATTTAACTGTACCGATAATGATTACAATACAAATCACATTCAGATGATTCCAAGTGATTAACTTGACTGACCTTTCGTCAAAAAAGTGTATAATGTTCAACTGACCTTCCTGAAAGGACAACAATCAGCTTCCCATAACTTTAATGGTCAATTGAAATGATCTTTAATAATCTTTTCAACTTGACATACAACAGTTTCTCAGATTGGTTCCTACAGTCAAAAGAGCTTGTAATCTTTCATCGCTTGAAAAATATTTTGACTCTTGATTAACGGTAAATCATGTTTAATCATAATTACCCTTAAATCAAGCTGTAACAGAAACTTGCAACTCAGTTGACTAAATTTACTTTGAATGGTGAGAAACAAAACTAAGCTTCCGAGAATCAATATTGATCAGAAAATACAATTTTTTGATTCTTTTCAAAGCTCAACCTTTTAGTTATCAATTAATCGTATTACAATTAATGGTTAAAATTGTTTTGGATAGAGTTAATAATAAGCCGAACCTTTCAGCTTCTGATCAACACACATCTGTTATTGATCAGAATCAACACTTGCAATTGTCGATCAACAGATTTCATGTTTGGAAGTGTTTTGTATTTCATGTTGATATTTTGTCCTGAATTATAGCTGATTATTATTACTGTATTAACCTTAATGTCAGTTGCTAATGAAAGTGATGACAAACTTGATATTCAAGATCAAATTGGACCATTTAGAATGGCCAAACAAGACTTAATCCTTTTGTCAAATTGTAATACATTGATTGCTATTGAATGGATCAAGTGTTTACAATTTGATTGGATAAAAAATTTGGTTAACTCGTTTAATTTCCACTTACAATCTCATAAAAATAATAATACATCAAATTCGGGAATTTGAAATAAAATGAAAGAATGATGAGGAAAATTTAAAATCATGCTTATTGTTGTTGAGGCTATTACTTGAGTTTTACCTGAGGTGTAAATAAGGTTTCATGTTGAGTTTAAATTAAATTGACCTGCAAATAAATATCGAGCCTGGCCTTGATTTTTTAGTGATACCCTTTCGTTTGATAAGCTACAATAATGATTATAATAATAATAATAATAATACAATTAACGATTTACAGCAATTTATCTGTTCGATTTTTACTATTTTTTGTTCAACAATTTCACTTGTTCAGTCAGCTTGTAATCTGTAATTTGTTGATCAAACACAACTGTCAACAAAACTGTTTTCAGTTTTTTTCCGATCCGTATATTTCATAATGATAGTAAAAACTAACGATGATGAAAAATAATGATCAACATAATGATAATAATAGTGCGATCACAGTCTTTGAATGTGGTAATGGACGACGCAATGAGAACCTTAATTGTTACAAGGTTGTGTTTAGGCCTTAAAGCTTTTTGTCTTGATTAATTGCTTGGTCAATCTAGTTTCAATATTAACTTTCACTTAATCACTTGACTTTGCGTGCATGTTGTACCAGCGTTGTTAATGCCTACAATTCTGGCTTGGGAATCTGAAAATTAAAAGAAATGATCATTATTATTCAATTCAAATGATATATGATTGTATTAATAAAATGAGCAATTACCATTACTTGAATTGACAAGAATTTTGAACCTAAAGAGTAAGACAATGAAAAGACAAGTGATTCTCAAGTGATGAATACACATTCAATCATTTGTTTTTTTGTGCGTTACTTGAAGTTATTGTTTTCATCCGTGAAAGATTCTTATAAGGCAAAAATTGAGTTGTTGATATTTCCATTGGCTCTTGAAATGTTCTGTGCCTCAAGGGATTGAATAAACATAAGGTAAGATGTTTTAATGCGATGCTTGAGTCAAAATACCCAACGACGGCGTCACGATGAAATCTTTGGTAAAAACAACACTTTGTCTGCAGAAATGGTTAAAACATTTTTTCTTTGCCTTTCTGTAAATAGTTGGTGACAGAAATTGTTTACTTTTTGGATATTTGTTTTACTGAGTCGTCAAAACGGCCTGTTTAGCTGTTGAAAGATCACATGAAAGGTAATCTATTGGATTAGTTATGATTAGTGTTTGCGGGTAGGTGGAGCAAGCAAAATAAGGTTGATTGGAAGCTAATAATACAGTAAATAGCTGCACATATATTGCCTTTTGGTGGCCACCAGTTTTATAACACTCAATTTGACCATCAAATCAGGCTAATGGCAAAAATGAGATCAAAGTGCGTAGTGACCAGAACAAATGATCCAAACCACCGCATAGAAATCAGTTGAGTGACAAAACGTCGATAAAAATCAACAGGTACGAGATTATAATGAAGGTGTCACAAAGTGGTAGCCAAAAATGTCGATCTGATAAGAGCTTTTGTTAGACAATTAAACAGGCGACGATAAAAACATTAGGGTGACTTGTCAGTAAATAACAATCAATGATATCCACCAATATGCGATTTGTCAACTAAATTAAGATCAATCATGTTTTGAAGTTGATAAAGTCGTCGTGAGAAACTAAATTACTTTCCATACTCAGCTTGATCTACCAGCACTTGTTTTTGAGGGTTTTGGACTGAGGGCGAGAACATTGTTGGTGTTCAAACGGGTAAAGTTGAAAGTACAAATATTGAAATATTGAAGGTTAATAAGAGTCATTTCATGGGTGCCTCAAGATATTGAATGAACTTTACAAGTAGAACGAAATATAAATCAAACAAAAATTGCATTAATCAGATAAACAAATTAAAAACAAACATTAAGAAGCAAGAAAAAAGCGCAAACTAAAGACGCTATTTTCAGGTAAGGCCTATTCGTACAAAAAAATATCCGATAAGATTCTAGTCCTTAGATATGTACTAGACTTTTATTTGCCTTAAGAGTACGGCGCGTTTGTTTAAACTCGATGGAATAGTGTCAAAAACTTTATTTTTCAGGTTAAGATTTGAGATTTTGGGGATTTTAGTGACTTAATTATCGCATTTATGCACAAATTGACAAAAATGAACAAAAACGGGTAAAAATTAATTTCTTTCAAATTTAGACTCTATTGGGCTGTGGAGACATATAAAATTACTTAGCTAGCATTGATCTCGACTTAATTTTGATAAATTAATTTAACCTACTCTTTAACCACTGGACTGACAGTCATTATTTAATTGTTTCTTAATTAAATCATATGAATTCTTATTTTCAAAATGAAAAGAAGTATGAGCATGAATAAGCGTCAAATGAAATTAAGAAAATGTCATAGAATGTACAAGGTTAAAATGCAAATCGATCTGATCTGATGTCCAGAATCAGAAAATTTAGCCTTTTTAATTAAGTTAAATGTTTGAATTTCGCAAGAGATGGCGTCGAAATTCACATTTGTACGAATAGTCAAAAAGCCTATTCGTACAAGTTTTTTGTACGAATAGGCTTTTCCCTATTTTCACGACTTCCAAATTGGAGGCTAATTGTTTAGCAATGGCGCATTTTTCAAATCCATTTTCTCTTGAATAAAAAATGAAAAAAATAGTCAACAATTAAATCTATTCATGAAATTGGTTGAAATTCAGACAGAATTTTCATTAAAATGTTACATTTTTATTACTTTCCAGTCAGATACATTTTTGCATTCGATTTTTGCTCACATATCCAGGTCATTTTCTGGTTAACTTCTGGTTACTTTTGGGTTATTTTCTGGTCAAGCAGAGTAAGCGCATTTTCGTTGCTAAGCTTTGCCAATTGAATCATTTAATGTAACAAATTTAGCTAATTGCTTCCTTAAACAGCAAACTAAGTTATTACATTAATATATTCAATGTCATCGCTAATTTAAACTTGAAAACGAAACAATAAAGCAACTCATAAGCACTATTGACTTTGAATAAAGGCTAACATGAAGTCAATAAGGAAATTAGGATTAGCTTTTCGAGCAATATTTTTTTGGCTTAATTAGCAGTCAACAATTCATTGATTGAATACAATCAACTAACCAAATATACTTAATTGTCAAACAATTGAATGAAGCAACTTTAATGAGCCTTAAAGATGTTTCAAACTGATTGTTAATCCAATAGTTATAGTTGGTTGAAATATAAGTTTACATTTCCTGAATCCTTCTGAATCAATTTTTCAAGATTGGATCAAAATTGAAGAATAATTGGTTGAATCGAGAAAAAAACAAATTAATAAGAAGCATTGAAAATTGTTAAATATTAAAAGGAAGAAAATGTAAATTGTTGTAATCAAAAGAAATGTAATCATCAACTCTGAGTCTATTGTTACATCTCATTTGCTGTCAATAACTGGTCAACTTTCAAGTTCAGCGAAACACTTTTCATGACTAATATTATTATTATTTCCTTATAAATAGCATTTCAATTTTTCATTGTTATTATTAATTTATTATTCACAGTCTTTTGATCTTTTTTATCCGGGAATTCCTTAGGATCGGGTAATTCCCCGGTAAACATTACCGAAATTGCTATCCAAGGATAAACACATTGATTTTGTTGTTTTGTTTAAGCTTTTCACATCATTAACTGATCATCATTTATTAATTAATTCAACTTGTGTATCAAATCATGATCCAATCTATTTTTTCCCTCCTTTATATTGTTAACCTTTCAAGTCTATGTTGGTTCCAATCTTTTTAGCTTATATTTTCTGGTTACAAGATTCAGTGTTATAACTGCTAAATCTTAAATATCTTAACACATTTTGGATAAAAAAAGTCAGTTAAAAGCAATTATGAGATTGATTATGGTCTTTCCTTGTAGACAGTTGGTTTTATCTCTAGTAGATTTTAGTGACAACTGTCCGGTATTTTTGAGGCTCATTATGCTTTACGATTCATACCTTTAGGAAATCTTATTAAGGTGAAATCATTGCTCATTTCAATGCATTGAATAATGCAAATCTGAATACCAAAAAATATTGAAGTGAATACAAGAAATTGAATCAACAAAACTGGCTCTTTAGGTTAACCGATTGTAATTAAACCGGACAATCTTGGCTTTGACTCTTGGTTTATTAGCCTTAATATGTGTATCTGTTCAACATTGGGTTATTAAGACACTTTACCGGTTACACTGGTTAACTTTTTGTTTACCTTTTATCAAATATATTTTAGCCATTTCATGTTTTATCTAACTGCTCATCTAATTCTGTGTGATCTTTCCAAGTCAGATGACAATTTTCATAAATCTTTTGATTTTTTCTCTGACATTAATCAGTTGAAATGCAACTGGTTTTAAAATGGTTTCCAATCATTACGATGCTAACTAGTGTTCATCTTAACTGATAATTCGTGGATCCATAATTTTAGTATTAATGGATTAACATTGAAAGTTTTAATGACTATCCGAACTGGTTAGGGTTAACTATTGATGTTTTTCACAATTGACTGTAACTATCTGAATGGATGGGAAAGAAACGAGGAAATCGATTGCGATATTCTGATTCATTGGAAGCGTAATCAAGTTTCTTGAAAGATAAGGAAAAATCGGTTTTCTTTTCCCTAAAATAAGGTAAAACAAGTTACAATATAGAATGGTTAAGATGTATTTCAGTGATTAACTCATAGCTTTATGCAAATTGAGTCATTCCAGGCAATGTTATAATCATTGTTAGACAATAATACATTGTTTGACTAATAGATGTTCAGATTGATGGGCAATTACCGAACTGATTGACAGAAATCATTAAAGAAATGATCGAACCTAAACGAGGAAAATTTCTAGGTGTTTTTACCCTTACATCATAATAACATTGCTCCTCTCGATACAATGTAATTTTGAATATACTGAGAAATTGATTAATTTGAAAATGAAACATTTCGAAGCGAAAAATGAATTTCATTTTTTGCCAAATTGATAGATACATTAAATTAAATCAAACCAATATTTCCTTCAACACTTTGTCAATTTAATGTCACTGTTATCCTTAAAGCATCTTTAATTGCCATTTTTAGCCTTAAACCAGAAATAAATGTGCTATATTATCTAATAATTAAAATAATGTCAACAGTTTTAACTGTAACATTAAAGTAGCTTAGCAGTTTATGCAAATGTAATGATACTTGTTGGTTAAATGTGAAATTAACTTGTAAATGTTGTTTCTTTAATGTGTCAAGTGCTACTTAAATCGGTTAATTTCAAACAATTCTTGGTTAAAATTAGGGAACACAAAAGAACTATTGAGCTAAACTGTGAATTTTTAATCTGAGTTGTTAATCAATCGATCAAGAGAAATATGAATAAACTTGATTTCCATTGATAGTCAAATTGTTCATCAGATAAACCAGAATTTGGTACCAATCTACATGAATGGTTAATATTCACTGTCTCTTCTTAATGAAAGCAGAATCATTATTGAAATATTTGTATTTTGATTTAGTGCATTTTGATAAATTATTTAGACCTTAGTTTATAGTTAAAATTGCAAATACTATTTCAATTTAATGATCACTGATTATATTTTGAAATGTTCAAGATGTAAGGTAATACGAAGTTGACAATTATGCATTCAACTAACAAGTTGGATATTATAACATGTAATATTATTGTTGCATTACTTTCGATGCACTCAATGAACCTTGAAAGTATTAGATTGTGAGAGTGAAAATGAATGTAAAATGAATTAGTGTTGACTTGATTATGATGATTTTTATGTTAATAAATTGTTCGAGTTTAACTAGTCTTGTTATTGGGTTGATTGGTTTTAAATATTGAATAACAATTGAAGCCTAACATAACACACTCACACGTCCGTCTAATCACTTAGAATAATTAATTAGTTGTTGTGACCCAAAAGTTAGTAACTTAAATAATACAACCAGTAATCATTAAAATAGTAATAGCTATCATCAGCATCATGATAATTGTTTACTGTCAATTGGTAGAAGGTTAAAACCACCAAAACACTTTCAACCAAACACTGCACAATCATCTTGTTTATACATGATTATTTCCGGATCATGTATGGAACTTGCATGGTTAAAAATAAATGGAAAAAATCCATTTGCCTTTCAACTATGGATGATGATTGCCAATGATTTAAACCATCACAATTTCAAAAAAATGATTAACTAATTTCCAATTTTCTATCGTCTTCACCCATTTCTTTGCATGGCAGTGTTGGACGCAATTGGTAAGCCTTCAGCCGGTCTATTGGAAGGACAAGTCAGCATGTTTGGTAATTATCATGAATGCCTCGGAGTCCGAGTTATGGAAGAGGACGATGAAGACGTATTCGAAGATGAGGAAGAAGAAGGTGAAGAAGGGTCAGCCGATGCTTCCCAAAATAAAGAGTTTTTCCGTGGTAAATATTGTATACTTGAGTTTAAGCCTTGGTTACCTAAGAAGCCACCATTTTACGGAATGAAGACTAAATTGAAGGCCCTAGAAAGACCCAAGAAAGATGACACAGTAAGTTAATTCTGTAATTGTTAAGGAATAAGGGTTGTTAGATAAATTACTCACCCTAATTAATAATCGTGGTCCAACCAATACATTAAATGAACGATAATCACAATTATAATACATAATTGCCACTTGAACAAAAAGTAAACAATATCTCAGCAAAAACGCGGGATTATGTTAATAACTTTACGTGTCTAGTGATGGCACCACAACTGCCAGTGGCAATTTTGAAAACAATTGAACACAAATGTTTTTAATTTTAAATCAAAACAAAATGCTAATTTTGTGTTTTCAAAATTAAATTTTTTATTTATTTCTAATTTAGGTAATGAAAGATGTCGCCGACCTTGCAGTGTTTCTTAATTTCGTCTCCATGCGATTCGACCTTTGTGTTCCTTCCTTATGTTCACGCAATGATATTCAAAAAGTTGTTGGTTTAAGTAAGTATTGAATGCTGAGAATTTTTGTCCATTCATTTAACTTTATGATTTACTGATTGTTCCTTATTTTCTCCATTTCTATTTCCAGTTAGCAGGCTTATTGATGTTCGTGGTAAAGTGGTTCGCTGTGAAATTGATGAGGATCCATTAACTAATATAACAAATCCTCAAGTTACCGCATTGTAAGTAATTTGTTAATCAATTCTTGAATACAAGAACATAAAGAATACAGTTCTTGACACTAATGATTCTCAAAATTTACCAGCCAAGGTTGATCCGTTACAGAACAATAGATGTTAGATTAAAATGAGTTTTAAATTTTCGTTCATCATTCGCTTTTGCATTGATAAACATTATTTGCAGTTGGTTCAGACAATTGTTTTGAACTTTCATTAGGTCTAGAGAAATGTTTGTAAGCATAAATCAAAAATCCGTGCAGCTGATAGAGAAATGCTCAACAATCTTGAACTGAATTTTTCTATTTTACAAATAAAAGTAAAAACACATAAAAATTTGAAGAGAAATGTTATATTGTGATGATCTACCTCAACTAATGCCACAGGAATAAATCTTTAGGAGACTTACTTGACGAAGGTTAACAATTAAACTTGAAGATTATATCATCATTTTTAATGAGCAAACAATTTACCTTAAATGATCAAACAAATGTCTAAACTTTTAGTATATGTTTATTTAATAACAGAGTCAGAAATGTTGATTACAATGTTGAAAGTGATTATGATAATTGCATTTTAATAAGATTCATCGTCAATTTTAACAGAAAGTTAATTACATTCAATGCTTGGTGCGATTCAAAATTTTTAATGATCTATCGTCTAAAGACAATAAAGCATAATTAATGACTATTTTTACACTGGAAATCATAAATTTATGACGCATTGCAATCAATTTAATATCTTCTGTTTTGTCATTATTTATCCTGCAGGATCATTTTGGTATTATTGTTTTTCCTCTTCGCTACATTGACTGTTGTTGGACTCTGCACTGGTTTATTCAAAAATCACAATTCAATTGTCAACTATTTACGATCATTGACATGGACAACTGCATGGTCTGAATTAATGAGCGAATCAAGTTTTGAATCAAAAAGTCGAACCTCCGTTTTATATGGTCTGCGAACAATTATCATGTTCTGGATTATAATGGTGCATACAGCCATTGAGGTCAACTTTCAATTTTTCCGTGAGTATGAAAAACGTATGAGAGGGATCGGTAGAACGCAAAAAAAAACAAATTTATAAGTCAGCACAATCAGAAATCGGCTCCAATCAGAAACCAATCTGCAAGTGAAAAAGGCCAAAAGGCAGAAAGGAAAGATAAAAAAATCAACTCAGGTCAAGCAGAAAGCATATTAACAGGATAAATATATATAAATTGTTTTTCTCTCATGATACACTTTCAATCAAAAAGAAACCCAGAATTAGATTTAAATTGATATGAAAAAAGTATCAAATCAAGATAATGAATTGACTTGAAAGAAGGGAATGTCACTTGAATTAGCAAGAATACTAATTGCTGTAACTATGCTTGTCTATAACAACAGGTGATGTCCTTTGGATCCGAGATGTTGCCCTTTCCTGGCCTGCTCAATTCTTGACAAAATCGTCCTACAACTTTGACATGTTTATCCTGATATCTGCTTTCACCATGTCCTTTACCATTGGATCACAAAATGGTTCAGGTGCATTGAAATTTATTGCACGTAAATATCTTCGTATCACACCAATTGTAATGATTGCTGTCGGCTGGTTAACCATTTTACCACTGACTAAGAAAATTTATCGCGGTGGCCCGACTTGGGGAGATTTTGTTCCCAAAGCATCAAATAATTGTGCCACCAATGGACTGCTTAATCTGTTGTATGTCCAGAATTTCATACATCCAGCTGAAATGTGTCTCAAAAATACTTGGATATTTGCTGTTGAGATGCAATTGTATGCTGTTTTCATTCCACTTTTACTATTAACTCGTAAAACATCTCGATCAAGTTTAATCATTTTACTGGCCATAGTATCAGCCATAGGATTCCTTTGCAATCTATTAACTGTTTACAAATTTGAATTACCACCTCATTTAATCTGGACATTACCAGATCCACAACAGCGTGATCACTATTATAATGTACATTATTTTAAACCATGGACCCATTTATCGGTTTTCGCTATCGGCATCGGTGCTGGTCATTTGTGTAGCAGTCGAAGTAAGAAAACTTCATCCAATTCATCATCTTCATCTTCATCACCCTATGGTATTGGGGTTACATCGTTCCTCCTCTGGTGTGCCAGTCTTATCACCATTTTTTGTCTCATCTTTCTTTATCACACTTGGGTTTTTGGCGAATTACCTGCTCCACTTGTTTCTGGACTTTATGATGGAACACATCGAATTTTAGTTGCCTTGGCATTCAGTTACATTACTTATTCACTTGTATCACTTGCCGAGGATTCACCTGACTCTTGTTTAGTCCGGTTACTTGGGGGACGTTTCCTCATTACAACTGGACGATTAACTTTAATTGCATATACAATCCATCCAATTATTCAATTTATCTTCCTTGGAACTCAATCTTCTCAATTATTTAGTGGACCCATAGTTGCTCTTTATGTTGTTATGGGCAACATCATGATGACTTATGTCCACTCATTCATAATCTCAGTATTATTTGAAATACCAATTGCAACTGGATTAAGAGCAAGATCCATGTCTTCAAAAGATCCCTCAAATTCATTTGATTTCAACTCTAAAATTGAGAAGCCATCAACTGTTAGTGGAGTTATGAACAATAATAAGTCAAGTACAATCACAATGGTCAGCTCTATTAATGGCGACATTGAATTATCTAAAAGTAACTTTGAACGACATTAGATAAATTGGATCAACAATGGTTTCGTTAACCAACAACCAATATTTTTTTTCTTAAACCGGAAAATACAAATTGTTAATTTTGCTAATGATAATTTGAAAAGACAAATAAATTATCATTTACATCAAAATGGAAAAAACATTTCTACATTTTTTACTCTTCAAATTTCAAGACTCGAGATGTTAGATCCACTTCGATATCTTTAATTTCTAGCTTCAAAGAAAAGAAAATATGAAAGATTAGATTTCGACAATTTTAAGGAAAACGCTTCATAATCAAGATAAATGTACATGTAATTTTTGAGCGTTGCTTCCATACAAAGGATAGCTCATTGGCAAAAATGTTGATGGAAGGCATCTATTATAACTTGCAGCGTTTCTTGATGACTTTGGACAAGTTCCTACAATGTTCAGTCGAATTCTCAAAATGTTTAGACAAAATCTTGTTATTATTATAGAATCAGCTTCAGCGCTATTATGATCACATTTTTCATTCGCATTTATAAACCCATCTCTTCTCATTTGTGCAGAAAGTGTACATTTTTCCCGTTAATTTGTTGAACAAGAATTACTTTATTGTCGTTTTTACATGAGAAGTTGAGATCAAATCAAAAACTTTGACTTTTGAGATAACTTGAGTTATGAGTAGGGACTTATTAAAAACTGAGTGCATTAGTTCTATGAAGAAATTTCCCAGATCGACAGTTTTCAGGAAATCGATGTCAAAGTTGAACTTCGATCGCCTTTTGTACAGTCGTGTGACCAGATTTTTTCATAAATCATTTTTCTGATGTAACTTTTGATGTCCAACCAGAAAATGAATTTATTTTGAGAAATGAAGTTTTTCTGTTGCAGATCACTTCGGTTTACGGATAAGTTTCCCGAGGATCATAGAGAATGAGATTAAACTCATTTTTTACCGATCAGATTCATTGTTAACAAGTTTAATCGAACACTTTTTGCGTTTGATCAACAGTTTTCGTGATTTTGGCCATAAGCTTAAAAACTTTGCGCCTCAATATAACGAGAGTGGAATCACCTAAAATCATCATTCTACAACCAATCATTTGATTTAATATTGGCCCATAACATATCAATAGTATGACTAATTACCTAAGAAAATCTGAGCTAACTCATTTAATAACATAAATCACTCGAATAGAATATTAAATTAAATATTTTCTTCAATAAATAGCTCAAATTGATCTTATTTATTGAAAAATTTGGCCAACCTTTGTAATTCGAAGTAAATTCTCTCCCTACTATGATCAAGATGAAGAACTTTTGTTTTCATTGATAGCATAGAGATGGCATAAGATGAGATGATATTTGAGATGACCAATGAACAAATTCGCTGATTACTTCACGAAAGTTAATAATTAACTTCATATAAAATCATGCGGTATGTAGCAGACGATATTTCCAATGATTTATATTTGCTCGCATAATTTAATGATCACTATTTTAAGAAAATTTTATTCATGGCATTTTGACTACTAATATAATTGTGTACTCATTCTCATACTGTGTTTTTCAAAGTTAAAGTTGATATACCCGATATATGTACTTCTTTTCAAACCCGAAAGATGGCTACAGCAGTATTGATTCATCCAAAGCTAAAACCATTAAAACTTTTGAACTTTGAAAGTTTTAGTGAATTTACAATAAATTATAAATTGGAGAAATCGAATGGTAAAATGAGTCGAAACCAAAGAAACGCATTGAGAAATTTTCATTAAAAATAAATGCTAATTAGACTAAGAGCTGGAATCCAAAGATAGCCAGAGAATACAAAATTAGCGATTAGAAAACTAACGATTTAATCAGAATACAAATGATGCTGTGATATTAATAAATAATGATAACAAAATTATGAGCAAACAAAGTGAAAGTTATTCAAGACTCAACTTATAATTGCTATTTATAATTGGAAAACAAAAATGAAAATGAAAACAACCTTTTCTTCTGGTTGTTTTCCATGCAAACAAATAGGAAAACATGAAATGAACTGAGCCATTGACTCCTCCCTATCTATGTCACTATTACAATCAACTTGTATACATCATCATCGGTAGCATTAGTACCAACAATTGCCTCTGGTTCAACCATTAAACAGGTTTTCCTAAACTCACCAGGTTACTCTCTGTATCTCTCCCTCAATCTCTCAGACTCACTCTCTCTGTATCTCACCCAACATCATGATCAATCAACTACCAATGGTAATTTGAAATAATCAACTTTTCCATTTCAAATGAAACCATCTCATCATGTTTACTCGATTCAGTTTAAACCAGATTAACTTTCAATCTAGTTTCTGAGTTTTTCATCTTTCCAAATAAAATCAACATTTTCTTTAAATAATTGAATCTCTTTTTTGCTTTACTGCTTATTAAACCAAAAAAAACAATCAACTTTTACTCAATATTGTTAAGTTTTTTTAACGCAGTTAGTCGTCAAGTAGTCAAGTTGAAAACATTTAATGTTCCAGTTTTTAAGGGCAAAATTAAAGTACAAATTGTTTTCTAGAGCAACTCTTGATTTACCCGTTTGGCCTGCAAAACCATTGTCCATTTGCAATGTCCTTTGATCAAGCTGATTGTGATTGTGACAACAACAATATCGATACATTTGACACTCTTGGAAGTGATCCATTTGCAATCAAAGGAAATCACGTTCACAGTGAAGATGATATAATCTATGATGGACTCAATGAGAACAACAATGTTGTCCTGATTGATAGTTCATCCAAATTGAATCCAAAAGAAACCTTTTTCGCCGATGTAAGTCAACTTTTCAGTCAATTGGATTCTCACTTGAAATCAATCTCGGTCAATGATAAAGAACTGGAATCTCTTTTAATCTCACTGGAAGTAGGGTTCAATCAAATGTTGTCCATCTCATCTCATTATGAGTTTAAAAATTTACCTGCCAATGGTTATATAACATATTGTGTGCTGGTTAGATCCTGGTTAACCAAATGCATGCGACAACCTAAAGAGGGTCGAGATTCGTACAAAAATGACTACATTGTTGACTTTAAAATAGTGATTAAAGGATTTCTCTTAGTTCGTGATCTTCTCATGCATTTCCACCAAACTCAACTAAACACTAGCCAAAGTAAAGAGGAAAAAAGTACCGACAGCTCAGATGGTGAAACAGTAAACAAAAGTCTTCCAATTTTTTCAGCTGATATCGATGAGACAATCTTTCAACTTGAAAATTTCTTCGACTCAACTCAATTCCAAGAAGCATTGACCCGTTCATTCAACCTATTCTGGTTGTCTCCTCGAACTCGGTCCATTTTGAAACTCTACCAGAAAGGTGCTTCTTGGACTTACGTCAACTTTATCAAGTCGTGGAGAGTTTTGACTAATAAACGTTATCGATCAAAGACATTTATTAAATTTGCCAATCGAGCCAACCTTGGATTCCCAGTCGATATGGCCACCATAATTGATGGACATTTGGCTCGTAAAGTGTTTCGTAATTTATTCTTTCGCCATGCTGATGCAGTTGGAACCAACTTTTGGATTCCTGGTCAGGGTCGTTGGATTATACCCAAGTCAGGACCAGGAATCGACGAACATAATCCACCACTTTGTGAAAGGCCCATGATTCGATGTCGACTGATACGACATCGAGATAAACCATTAAATTCAGATGTTCTTATATTCCATTGTCATGGAAGCGGTTTCATCCTTTCAAGTCCCGATATTCACGATGTAAGTAATGCTAATCTCTCAACCCACAACCCAATAAAAAACCCAAAGAAACCACTAAACTCCAAATGGACATTTTACAACCAGTTTTCAGTTTATGTTCCCAATGACATTTTATTGTTTCGCTTTTCACTTTTTACGCTTTTCATCTTTTACAATACATTTATTGTATTTTTATTTATTAACCATTTTCCTTGATTTTATTGGCTTCCATTCAGCCGCATGTAAATTGCCATTTCGTGTTTTCTCTCTGTTAATTATCATTTAATTGTCGCATTTGCTCACAATTCTGGTCTCACTTCTGTTCTTGCTTCAAAATTTTCAGGTAAAAAAATTCCAGTTAAACTGGCTGCATAAGGAAAAAAAGTCGCCTTTGTTTTCAGAAAATGTAATTGACTTTTCATTTTTGTCTCTTAATTGCCATTTATTATTATCATTATCAAGTGTATGTGACAAATGGATTGCATTTATACTTTTCCAGCATTTAATTAGACTTTAATTGGTTTAACTTGATTGATTGATTGTTGCTCTAAAGTGTTGATCAAAAGGCTTTCCATTAGACTTTGCCTTTTTTAGATTTGAAAACATTTGATTAACAAAATGATCTGATTAGTTGAGCAAAACCTTTCACTGTAATTGAATCAGTTTAGACTGATGATTAAGGTGCATCTTTGCGTATTTGGAAAATTGAATTCTTAATCAATTGATTTGTTACAGCTAATTGAATGAAAACAATCGAAGGGAATTTTTCATTGAAAAAATTCTTATTGCATTTTTGTATCTCAATCAGACTAATGTTTCCAATTTGAATATTGAATTAGAAAAGCTGATTAATGAAAAATATTGAATGTTTAATTTGCACAGTTTGCTGATCAATTAGCAATCAGATGTAATCTCTGTTCTTCATTTGATTGGTTACAGGTAAATCTCTTAATTCAAGGTTAAGAAGAGTTACAATTTATGCTTTCCTTTGCTTGATCAATCATTTTTCAAGTTGATTTAAACAATTGACTTTAAATATGAATCACTGCAAGAAAATATTTTGAGTAAAGAAAGAGTTAAGCATTGAAATGTAACCTTGAGGATCCATTGAAAGAGTCATTGATATCAATGTGATCTTATTGGAAATAAACACGAAAATTGCCTCTCCCAGGGTAAATTAATTGTCTTTTCATTTAATGATTAACTAGATTAACATACCATTGGCTTAATATTCTTTGCGATAAAATTAAGGTCGGGATAAACCAAGAATTTATGTTGAACTCAATGGCATTCAAATGGAAACGAGCAAAAGTCAAATAATTAATGAATTTGCTTCAAGTTTGATTCAAATTTGCTGCATTTCCATTTTTCCATTCGACTTTTCAATTTAAAACGCATTTCTTTAATAATTCGTTGAGTGTTGATTATGAGCCTACAATCCATTAAGATGAATAGATGACTTGAAGCCCAAACTAGTCAATATCAATGGCTAATGCGATTGAATGACTTTTAAAAGTCATAGTTTCATCAATCACATTAGAATTAAATGTGAAAACAAAGTTGAATAATCAGATGGCTTTTGAGTAGGAATCAGAAGCAAAGAAAGAGAGAGACTCTCTTCATTAGCTGGAGATTATTTTGAACAGTTTTCCTTGACGGTGAGGGGAAATGAAAAATTATGTTAAACAGGAATGTATTGTTTCCAAATAAAGTCTAGTTTCTCATGAAAATTACACAGAAATGTTGTAATCGGTTGAATAACTTTTGATAGAAAAATTCAGTTGAATATCTAAAGAGAAGGAACAATGAGATAGATCATTAGTTGTTGAAAAGTAATGTCCAGTTTTTTACTTGTGACTTACCAAGTAAACACAAAATTTCAAGTCAACAGCTTACTTTTGCCAATGATGAAACTTTAGTAATCGATCTGTTCCCATGAAACATTGATTTTTCCTGAAAAGAAATCAAAATCAAAATTTCTCTGAAAAACAATCAAAATCAAAATCTCAATCAGCCAATTTACCCAAAACCAGTCTACAGAGTTAATCTCAAGTTTACCATCGATGAATCCTAATTTGTCAAGTTATAACTCTCAAGTATGGAAACAAAGATCTGAGTCTGTAATAGCAACACGTAGTGACCATGGTTATTAATAGCCATCTATGAGTTCCAGACTATCCTAATGATTATCACGAACACAGAGCCATTAAGATGTATCGTTTGGACTGAATGATAAACATGATGCGAGTTTCCATAATAATAGTTACCTAAAGATAGCCAAGAAATAAATGGTTATAAATAACTTGATAAATGTTTATAAATGGTTAGTTCTTGATATAAAGTGATTAATTCTGTAAAGTAAATGTAATTCATTAGAAGATTATTCAGTTTGAAGATTGGTTTCACTGTTTTGATCAAACAGAAGGAAAATTTACTTACAAAATTAATAAAAACTGGCAACATATTCAATTAAAGTTGGCGCGCTCCAAAAAACCAAATGAACCCAAAAAAAGCAGACGAAACCAAATATCTGGTTGTTGCCAGTATTGAATGACAATTATTAATGATGGATTGTCTATTAAATTAAGAGATACCATTTAGCTTGGACAAGCTTGGAAATTAAATTATAAAATTAATCATCGACAGTTAAAGGTTTAATTTCCTCAATCATTTTCACAATGAATTAACCAAAATAAACAGAAGTAACTTGACTTTAACCCAAACCAATATGATTGGTTATCAATAAAAGTGATTTCAGCTCCATCTTTTATTCAACTTGATAGATGATTGATCAAGCGACTTTACATTATGAATGATTGATAAAAGTTATTACAGAATAATATTAAATTGTAAATTGTATCTTTTTATATTACATTCAATTTCTTTGTAAATTTATCGTCATTGGTTATATATTTTTAACCGTTTATTTCTCAAGCTTTACCAGATTCTTTCACTATTATTACAAGAATTGTCCAAACCAATAATAATTCCTGATTGTGGAATAAATTTGATTCATGAATTCAAGGTTAATCACAGAAATTGCTTTTTTACAACTTTTCTTCAATTTTAAACTCATGCAATAATTGAACATTTCAAACATAATATGAAGTTTCCATTCTTAAACCATTGAAATATTACGATTTTTATGGCGATTAAAGTGCTAAAATTAAGCTTACATATTTTTATTACATGGAAATATCGAGGTGAATTTGCCGATAGATTTGAGTCAAAATTAAATGCAAACAATTAATAATAAAAGCTTTTAATAGTTTCTTTATTTTTAAACCAACCATTCGGTAACATGGAATTATCAGCCTGTTTATAAAAAGAAACTCAATTTGTTTATTAAAAATCTCCTTTTCTCCAGACTAACTCTGATTATTTTGATTCAACAAAACCGGTTTTACCTTTTACTTTATAAACAATTATGAGAATCCTAATTAGACTGCCCTAAGGTTATTCAATCAACCTGTTCACAGTCAGGGACAGAAGAAGTTGAATCGCAAAACACTGTATCTTTGGCATTAATGATTCCAGATCAGAAATGAAGATTTCAGATGGAATTTTTCTTCCATTGAAAATTACCATTTACGGTCAAAATGGACAAAAATTTCATGCACAAATTTCATTGGTGACTTTAGCTGATCTTCAAAACTTCAAATCATCAAACAAACTTCAGAAACTTAAGAATTTTCTGAATTTTAGATATTCTTTCATGTAAAATTGGATTGAAAGTAAAGCAAAGTTGATGAACTGGAAAAGTGAAAAACAGAGAGCAACTTGAGTCTGTTATGAATAACTTGAGTTTTGGTTAATCACCTTAACTGGAGTCATTTGGAATCAGTAAAGTGATGAATGAAAGGTTGATATGCTTGAATCTCGGAGAATAATATTATTCTTGGATTTTTACAGTTACTAACAGGGCATTTATCATGACTGTGAATAAAGGGAAAAGACTCTTGAAGCTCATGTTGACTTAACCTGGTTTCTTTGAAATGTTTCAAGAGACAGAAAAGTAACCAACCATTGAACAAATAAAATTTGGTAAATCAATTCAAGTTGAACAAATAATAACAATAAATACATTGATCATGATGCATTGGATAAACATTAATGTAAATTTTAAATATTGACTGTAACCAACTGTGAGTTGAGCAAAAAGTTGCCAATTTAAATATTCAAATGATATCAATGGGAATCTATTGTGAGATGTTATCAGAAGCCAGAAAACCTGTTAACATGAACAGTGTTTGTATTAGCCATTTGGTAGGGATAAATGTATTGTTACTAGGAATGAATCAAAGTAGAGCGAGAAAGATCACAGAACTGTAAATTCAATTGGAAATTCTCGAGTTTCAAATATAAAAAGATTTTTAATAAATCTGCAAAATAAGAAACAAAATGGGATTGAAATGACTTTCAGAATTTTCCCTTTTAGATTGTTCTATGAATAACATTTAGCATCTTAAATGGACACTCAATTGAATCAACTGCGATTGTTAATCGTTGAAATGGATGACTAAAGAAACGAAAAGATAATCTGGTTTGAATGAAGGAAGAAATCAAGAAAATTGTTGGAAATTCGATCAACTTTGAAACATTGTAATACAATTGCTTCTCGAATAGAGTATAATCGAGTTTAGTAAAATTTAGATTTTTAGACATCTTTTCATTTTCCTTTTGCTTCTTGTATCCGAAAAAGTCTGCTCATGATGGAGTTCATCTTCAATCGTTGAGTCTTGCTAAAGTCTTCAGATTCAGACTAACCATGCAAACAGATAATATTAAAATAAAGTTAAAATAATTGCTATTTCAACTTAAAAAAGTGCTTTAATCGAAAATGATATTCGAATTTCTGCAAATTTGATTATTCTTGCAATCGAGTCATGATAAAGTTTTATTTTTGAGGAAGAAATGAAAATTTATTGGAAAAACTATTTTGTGATACAGAACTTGGATTTGATTATTTTACAAACTCTTTTCATTCCATCTTATTCAGGCTTACCTCAAACCATGGGTTGCTAGACTTGATGGTGTTTCAGTATTGAGTGTTGACTACAGTTTAATGGCTACTTATCCTCGTCAATTTCAAGATGTTTTGGATGCTTACCTTTGGGTTACTTCTGGTGATGAATCGGTTAAGGAAAAGATTGGCTTTCATCCGAAGAAAATAGTTCTCATTGGAGACTCAGCGGGTTCCATGTTGGCCATTGCAGTTCCTCTTTTGTTGAACGTAATTTCAGCTAAAAACGATCCATCAGTGACGATACTTAAGCCAGCTGCATTTGTATCTTTTTATGGTACATTCAATTTAACCGGTGCTTGGGCAAGTTCACGCGTAATGACCCTCTTTGATCCGATTCTTCATTATGGAAATGTGCTGGCCGTTGCTGGCTGTCTAAGTGGTATTCAGGGTCGAATTGATGATCCAAAGGACAGGCCGAAGAACCGTCTCATGAAAATGTCTTCGTTCATTGCTGAGGATATCAGATTAATGAGTAAGGCTGAAATATTTTTTTGTAAAAAAGTCATTCTTTTCGTTTATTTGAATTTTTTACAGTTTTCAAGTTATCTGAAGTACATTTAAAGTGTATTTACAGCTAAATTGAATCTTTTAACTTTGATTTTGACTTTAATCACAATTTGAAACTAACTAATAATCATTTCGTCCAATCATCAGAACGAGCCTTAAAACCTCGTGATATCGAGCCTTGGTATCTTAAAGATGGCAAAATTGATTCAGCGAGATTTCATCAACTTTTCAATATACTTCAATCTCCATATTTGAATGTTCCAACTTTCCATGACTTCGATTACCTGAAAGACATGCCGATTTGTTTGATATCATCCTTTGGTTGCATCTTTCTTGATGATAATATTGCACTTGCACGCGCCTGGAAAGGTAAGTAAATTGCTATTGAATAATTCAATGTTAGTGATTGACTGAACCAACCAGAGAATCTTTCAGTGTTTTCAGTGATTGACCAGAAAATTGAAAAATTGAGACATTTGAGTGCAAATACTTTGTAACTTTATTAGTCAATTTCAGCCATTTATGTTGGCAAAACTCAAATTTCTTGTTCGACTTGTAATGACTGCAAGAGTTACATTAGTGAAACGTATAAACTTATTGGAATCCCCTTTTTAATGCTACTATTTTTTGCTATTTTTTATACTTTTTAAAGATTCTATTAAAATTCAATTTTCATGTTGATTTTTCTGTATAAATATATGTTCAGTTGAGTTTCAAATGAATCAACTTGCTCATTAGCTAAAAGACTTGGATTGGAATCTAATGAAAAAATTGTACTTTAGCGAATTCGTTAAAGTTTTCAATTCTTGTTATGATGTAATCTTTTGATGAAAATCTAGTCAGAATAATAAATTATTATGAATAAATGAACACATTCATCGAGTTGAAGTTAAAACTTACCCAACAGTCTAAAAGTACTAGAAATTATCGCAATTTTTTTACGAAAACGGCATTAGTTTCAAATTATTTCCTTATTGATGCTATTACGTAGTTATATAACTGTAATCAGCGTTATGATCTCGTTCGATAGTTACTTGACAACTTATTTGCTGACTGATTTAATCATAATTACACAGGATAAGCAAAAAACTGAATTGATACTCAATATGGACGGGAATGAAACTAACCTTTTAAACTGGATTTTCCAGGTTTTCACCTTCTTTTGAATCTGTTCCTAGTTTTAGGCCAATCTCTTTTCTGGTTTTTATTTTGATTTAAGATTTCAGTTCATCAACATTTTGATATATTGAGTGGAGTTTTTGAAGATTATTTCACCGATTCAGTGGGAAAATCATGACATCACCAAAAAGATTGGATAATTGCGTTAATAAATAATTAGTATTACAGTATCTACTCATTAATGCATAATTTTTACTGAAATGTAGACCACTTTAGACTGTGTTTTAGCGAAAAATGAAGAAAATGGAAAAGTGAGAATTTCGTTGAAAGTTATTTAACTTTGCCATTATAATTGCGCTCCATCGAAACAATATAGAATAGTTATCGTACCAATACACCCTGAAATTTTCATTATAATTGTTATTCTTCATGAAAAGCATGGCTGTTGCCTTTTGTCTTATTTTATCCCTTTTTGTTCAGTTTAATCAAGTTTTAATTTCGCTTATATCAAGTATTGAAACTAACATTGAAAGGTTCCATCGCCATCTACCATCACTTAATCAAACCATAATAATTTGTTCATTTCTTTTAATTCAGGACCAGTTGAGGTTCACGTATTGGAAGGCCAAGTCCATGGATTCCTGTTCATGTCACACGAAAAGACTGCCATAGAGTTTTCAGCTAACAAAGTGGTTGAAATTGTCAACCGAGTTGTTAAACAAACCAATTGACAAAACACTGAATTTGCTTTTCATAATTTGATCTGATTTTTATTCAACTTCCAAATGTAAATTAACTTTTTTGATGCGGAAATTTCTATTCTTATAATCTTTCACCCAAATAAATTGCTCAAGAATCTTTGTAATCCATCTGTAAATCATTATATAATACACAAGAGCGAATAAACTATTACATCGAATGGCGAATGAATCAAGTGGACACCGAATTTTATGTTTAAATGAAAGTCAAAACTTTTCGAGACTTCAGGTGTAATATAAAAATGGCGCACAAACAGGTTTGAGGGAAAATGCCTATTAGAATTTACGCTTATTGAATATCAAACTCCGCAATCGTAAAATATTGTTTATCGCTAAAAATAGATATTCCATTATCTCGGTATCTCATTCAAAATTCAAATTCTGAGCTAATGTTGACTGAAGTTGTTTTACTCGTAAAGACCAACTTGTTGTTTAATCTCTTGTCTTGAAGTTGCCTTGTCGTGGGTGACTGCAAGGGAAGCTGGACAGCCATTTGATGCCAGTCTCTGAGTTTGACATGGATTCATCTTTTCGTGGTTCAGGATGACAATTGCGCTTCGATATTTCAATGTTACTTTCCATTAGCCACCAAACATAATATTTTCATCTTCTTTTAACACTTGCTCGAACTACGCCGTTCCACGACTAACCTAGTACAATGAAAGTTGATGACGTTGATTATGGGAAAAGGCAAAGACAACTTTTTCTGTCAATCAATCACAATTTACTTTACTGGACTTTGCATTTGCCTTCCCAGTGACATCGATATTAACTCTTGTAACTCAATATTTTTGCCTTTTCTGGTTCTACTTTTACAGATCATCAATTGTCTTTAGTTTGTCAAATGCTTGTTATGCATCAATCAATTAACTGTAATTCAATTCAACTATTTGCTTTGTTATCCAACAAAATCTGTACAATCAACTGTCGTCATTGATTGAACTAACTTTCTTGATGTTCACTTGATTCAGTCATCATTGTAAATAGATTTTCAATTGAACAAGAAAATAAAATGAAGTTTAGTCAATCAACTGAGGCAATTTGAGAAGATAACAATGATTAGATTTTTAATGATTTTTTTCTTCATTTCATTCCATGAAAAACAAAGTTAAACTGAAAACTGAAAAATTATTGTTGATAAAAGTTGATCTTGATTCAGGCAAAGATTGGAATCCAGATTCGGGAATTTATCGGTTGAATAATAACAGGAATTCAATCATTAATCTATTTATTTTAACGGTTATTTGGTTATTGATGCTTATTTATCCAATTCTAAGGGTTAAACTGTTTTCCATTTCTGATTAAGATGAAGCTTAAAATATAATACTTTTTAGAGCCGCAAAGCTTGGATTAAACTGTGATTCCAAATGTGTGTTTGAAGCTTCGAAAGGCTCAGTAATGATGATAATAGAGCGGAAAGTTGAACGAAAATGTGTTTAATCGAAAAGAATTACTGTAATCATTCGATAATCATAATTATTCTGAATATTCTGAGTTCTCTCAATTTTCTGTTTCTTCTGTTTTCCTCACTTGCCAAGTGTAAGGCTTTTTAAAATTGATATAATTTCAAGTAGAAAATTCTAATTTAAAGAAAATGTTTGGTCGATTCATTTGTTCATCAGGTGTTCTCCTTGATTCGCAAATCACTGATTCGTTGATTTCCATCGATTCCAGCGTTCATCATGACCTAAGAAGTTATTCAACATTTGAGGCTTTTGTGTTTGGACACAATATTATACACGTTGAGGTCAATGCTTTGCGAGTAGAAAGTTAATCCAAGTTGAGAAAATTACACCTTCGATCGAACATCCAACGAATCTGACTCGAGTTAAATGCGTTTTTTGGACCAATTAACAGATAATACAATGGCTAGAAGTTGATTCATTTGTTATGTTATTTGCTGTTCTGTCAAAGGCTGTCATGTTAATTGCCATCACTGGATTAGTTGATGATAACTGATTAGTGTTTAATACTCCTGAGGTGAGTGAATATTTGATTGAATCTCGATGATATTCAACTTCACCTAAACTATTGTTGCTAATGTTGTTGGAATTGTTGCTTGGACTGTTGATCGAGTGATCCAAACATTTTGATTGGTTAATCTCAATTAGCCGTAAAATGTCTCGAAAGATTGGAACAATTCGCCAATTGTATTTAGCTGAACACTCGAGGTAATTAAACTTCCATTGTTTCTTAACTAAATTGGCTAATTCTTTAAATGCTGGAGTTAAATCGTCCCAGTGATGGTGATGATGATGATGATGGTGGTGATGGTGATGTCGATGGTTGTGAGATGATGATGATTGGTGTTGAGTTCGGGAAGCAGATACAGTTGATGTTGAAACTTGTGTCGTTGTTGGATGAGCACTGTGATGGTTCCGATGAGATCGTTGAGACAGCCAAGAAGGATTGCGAGAAGTTAACCCAGAAAACCTTAGATGTGAGATTGAGTAGAAAGAGTAACGAGAGTGACTCAAGTGGTGACTGTGACTGCTTCTCATGTTATTTAGGACACTTGAACAAAGGTCAGCCTTGTTACCGACCACGTAAACCGGTATATTTTGCATATTCCGGCTTTCAGATAATTGATCACGAATTACTTTGACGTATTGGAAAGATCCTGAAACGAAAAAAAAGATGTTAATATAAAATCAAAATCCATGTTAATCAAGTCTATTCGATGTGTCCAATCAATACCCTGAAAAGATGTCAGGAAGGGATTTGTATATTTATTGAGTTATTAATTTCAGAATGAACTTCAAACTGTGCAATTTCGTAGATTATTTTGAATTCAGTGACAATTTACTATCAAGCGCACAAAGTAATGTTATTATAGTTATTCAAACTGGGAGTGATTTTTTGATTTTTAAGAATAGAACAAAAGATATCGAAGAAATTCTTCGTGATTTGAGTGCGCATTTTCATGTGAAAATTAGTTTGAAATATTAGGAAAACAGTGTCATGATTAAAGTGTGCTTTGAGGAGATTCATGAGGAATCAGTTTCGATTTCTCTGATAATCTTTAATTGTGATACAGGAGCCCTTTTCCTCGAACCACTTTTTTTCCGTTTTCTGAGTTTCGAAAGGCAACAGCAACAGAAACACCAACCGCAGTTGGACTCTGCGTTCCATTGAGTCCACTTGTCACAGACACTGAAGCCGAACCAAATTCCCAAAATGCTGTAGCATGAATACATTAAACTATCCAACGTCATCTTCAAACTTGTGACAAGAATCCTGTCTGGTGCATTAGGAGTGTCAATCAGTATCTGTCGAGGAGATTGGACAAGAACTTGATCATGAAACACTTGAAATGTGGTATAGTAATCAACATCGTCACATCTCGGTTTAACAATCAACTCAGTGCAGCTTTTAAAGAGATTAAAAAACTGGCCAGTTGGTTCGTCATAAGGATCGATGAATTTCGTGTTTCTTGGTAAAGTACCGAAAGATATGATCGCATCATAAAAAACAAATGGAGATGACGATTGAACCGTAGAATTCAAACATTCAAAAAGAACGTTCATTCGATTATAATTCGAACAACCAAGCAAATCTTGAACACTCTCAACCTGTCGATGAAAGTAGGTAATTATAGTGTAATGTACGTCTGTGGATTTCTTCATGAACTCGTATTTTGCTGTGTGGTGGGAAATGGGATCGTCATGATTACTGAATCGAAAGCCGAATGGTGTGTCAATAGTGTGCTCAAGGTAAATGAGAAAGTTGTTGCCACCTGAACCATGAGAAAAAGCATAGCTTAACGGCTTGGAATCGTTTCGACAAGTAATTCTCATAAAGATTCCACCTGCGTTGAGATGTCGGCTCATATTGCAAACTTTGGTTTCCAAGTAATTTTGTTTCGTATCAAGTGAGTAAATTGCCTTGATAAACGGTCTTGGATCTTCCGTTAGCTCTTCAATATCACCAATCGTCAGAACTTTGGACAAAAAGACATCGCTTGAAAAAATTGCTTCTTTCAACGCCGAACAATGTTCATCAAAATCACTGACTGAATTAATGGTTACATTCTTGGTCCCAAATAATTTCATGCAAAGCGAGGCTATTTCATCTGGATATCGCTTATAAACTGCATTCATGTGAAGCAATGTTCCTAATGGAAAGTAAAAGTCTATTTCAGGGATTAATACGACTTCAGGATAACGGTGAATTGTATCAGTTCGGCTCTCCCATGATATGAAACGATAAGTTAAATTGAAAAGTTGGTAAGAACATCCAGAGAAGCAAATGAACCAAATAAGCGATTTACCGTTCAAAAATCGGGCTATTTTTTCAGTCATTTTACAGAAAATTTAGAGAGAAACTTATAACATATAAGCAGCAATAAATTGATGAACATTAGATTTTTCCCCAGTTTTTGCGTCTCTTATTATCATTGAAATGCAATAAAATAACCGATCAAATGTGCACAATTTATGTTCAAATTGACGTCTTCTTTTGATTGATAATCATGAAAATTGAATGAACTGTCACAAGATTTCAAAATATTCAGTGATGAATGACTCTCATTACTTAAAAAAACATAAAAGGACGGTTAAAAGCCTTGTTTATCAACTAAAATTGACGAAACTTTGCAAACTTAATCGTTACTTAATCATAGTGAAAAAGCATTTGCAGTAATGTAAACAATCTTGATTCATATGTTCATGAGCACAGACCTTCAGATACGACAATAATAAAAAAATAGAAACAAAAATTTATATACATTTCGATCTAACTTCATTCGATCGGAAACTCTGTAATAGGCGAAAAAAGCTTAAACTAAATACTAGCAAAACAAAAGTTAATCGAAATGCTTCCATTGATCGTGAAGGCTAGATCGTTTTAGACAGGCTATTATAGATTTACATCATATTTCACCCAATTAGCAATTTACTCATTGAGATGCTGCAGAATAAAGGTTAGCATTTTGATGTTGACCATAGATAGCGAACAGTTCCGATTCTGTTGGCTACTTGTGCTGTTAGAATAGTTTGCATTACATTTCGTTACGATCAGTATCTTTACAAAATGGGTTGATTTAAACGTTGCAATGCATCATCCATCATTGACGTTACTTTTGCATGCGATTCAATTACTGAGAGACTTTAGGGAAATTGATCAAACTCTTGACAATCAATCAAGCTGCTAGCAAAACAAATCTAAATTTTCCATTCCTCTTCTAATAAATGAATTGTTTTTACAGAAACAGAATTAAAAACTTGATTGAATCTAGAAATTAAACATCTTTTGAAAACGTGTCGCTTGAATTATTGAATGATCTTGATCAATCATGTAAATTGATCATTCATTGAAAATTCAAGTTGAAAATCAAAAAGGTATTTGGACGAAATTTCATATTTGAAAGAAAAGATTGATATTTTGTAAACCTTTATCCATTGAAAGTTTGAAATAAAAGCAGATGTGATTTATGAGCAAATATGAAACAACATTTTACCATGAAAAATATTCAAACTTTATTCTAGAATTTGATTTTTCCTTTTCTTCTCACTAACTTGAGAATCATCTGCAATGTGCAATTCAACTTGAAAAGTAAATAAAATTGTTATCGATTGAAAATTTGCATTGTTCGAGAATCTAATGTTGATCAGTCTTGAGACACTTTCCATGCTCTGAATAGCAACTTGAAACAAACACTTGATCGTTTCCTCAGTTGAAGCATGATTCACCATCATTAACCTTAACAACTTTTAACCATAATTATCATCATCTTATTATTAAACTTGCAAATGGTGTTGTCTTTATTATTAAACTATTAATTTGCATGAAAGGGCAACATCACAAGCTAATGCACATCATCCAAAGACAATGGCAAACAAGAGACAGAAAAGCCTGAAGCAAGTTCAAGTTTTATGCATAATCAATGTAACCAGAATTTTGTTCATCACCTGACTGACACAGTGTTCACTTGGAAGGTTAAGGCAAATGAAACTCATTTCATTTGCAAACATTCGTTGTAACAAGTGTTGTTGCAACGAAACAAGATTAAATTGATCGTAATTGATTATTGAAAAGTGTCTAATTTTGAAAAAAGTTAAGAAAATAGGGAAAATTAGAGAAACGGAAAAACTGTGATAATCAATTATATTGCTTTCTCTTGCCAGCAACATGAATCGGTAATGTAATTTTGCTTTGCCTTTTCATTCAGCATCATTTATCATCTTTCTTTGCGTAAATTACTTTGCAAATGGTAAAGAAGCAAATGAAACAAAAGCAAATTTGGAAAAGCAATTCAGGGCAGAAAAAGCACATTACAAGTTGATTGATGCTAATTGTTGAACAAGAAAGAGTTTAAACACAAACAGAATGCATCTCAATTTGATTTTCCTTGCTTTTTCCTTTTAAACATTTTTTCCAAACTGATTCATGTTCCTATCAACAACCAAAATGCAAAACTTAAACTTGGCAACCAATCCAAATGGTGAACCTTTGTCGAGTCCTTTTTGGCCATCACCTTAAAAGGAAATCTCGTTGGCAATTTTCCGGCAATCAGTCATATTCAATGTCATCAACATCAGATTGCTCAGTGTAAAAGAAACTTCATCATCATTATCATTTATCTTGTGCCTAATGCAGTAAAACTGGGAATCTATATCACAAGTTGAATGGATAACAGAAAAGGCTGGCGAAAAGAAAATGAAGGGAAAATGGAAAGATGAAGTTAAATATGAAGATGGTGAAGAGAATCATCAATAGTCTGTATACAAAGGAAAAGTATAAACACATCTCTTACCAATTCTGTGCCTCTTAACCCTCTAAACTGAGTCTTGTTTTTATTATTACTTTTCTGTACTACAGAGGAGAGAAGCTGGGAAGAAAAAAAAGTTATAAGTAAAAGTATAAGACGTGATAAACATGGGAAAAGAGGTTCGAAATGAACGACTCTAACGATGATTAGTGAATTGGAAGGGAAAAGTTGGAAAGGCAAGAAGCGAAATTGATATTGGTAAAAATGTTATATATTTTCAGTTAAACTATTGACCTAAACACTCTACATGAAAACTACAAGTTATCAGTTGTACAAGGATCGTCAACAATCAATAATCATTTTCTTGGAGTCAACAATGAAGGCACTTTTCCTCTTGTCTATTGTAATATTGCAATATCAAACAAACAAGTTATCCACTGGAAACAAAAAGGAGGTTAAATGAAAAGCAAAGTGAGACAATTGAAAAGGAATGAAAAGAGGAAAAAGTCTCAGGATATATTTATTGTTATTACAATTATAATAACCAATTGGTTTATTGTTATCTTCCAAAGGCAATGCAATTAAGGTTAGATTCAAGGTATTTCTTGTTACCTTGTTTTTCGAGGAATTTGCAGATTCTTTTTAGGGTTAATTGTATATTAGATATTATATTGACTTTGAAATAATAATGGAAAGTTTCGTTTGGAAATGTAATCAATTATCAAGATGATTTACAGAGCATTATTGCATGTTGTATCATTAGTTGATTGAGAAGTTAATAAAGTGAAATAAATTGCCAACATTTATTTATTTGTCTCCAAGTTTGTATTATTTGAGAAGAGAATCAAATTTGCTTTTTTCCTATTCCAACAGATTCGAAGGTTTTCATTGAAAAGGTGGGAAATTGTCAGTTAAAATTATAACCCTTCAAGTGTAGCATTTGAAATGAGACTCAATGTTTTGAGTGATAATTTAATTTGAGAAGCAAAATTAAATTGTACTTGTTAGCTAACATCTTGAGGTGTATAATAATGAAAATTAATAGTTGCAATTACTTTTGACTTTCCAATTCTATCATGATATTAGAAGCAAATTTTCGATGCGAGCTTATTCTTAAATTCATCTTCATCAGTAGCAATCCATTAAGTTTGAGCATAAAGCTCATTACGAACATTCTGCAAAGTTAATGTTATTGCATTCATTTTACTTCGCTTCAGAAGATATTGTATGCAGTGAGCAACAATCAGGCGAAGAAAACACGTTTGCGAAACAGAAACAGTGTTTTACAAATGCGACGATTTACTTTGCATTCGTAAAACTTATATTGCATTGTGAAAGATCTTATTTGCTTAAAATATTTGTGAAAGGAATTATACTTTCAAATGAAATGTCTTTTTAGCAGCTAATATCAATGTTTAAGTTTAACTTCGTGAGTCCTTCAGTTTTCATGTATTGTCATGTTACGATGAGTGCATCCATTTTCAACGATAATTTCTTTTCATTATAACATCCATTCTTCATTCTTTATACGAGTATCAATATGTTTTGTTTCCTGCTTTAGACTTTTAATTCGGTTCTAAATCAGATCCACACGAATGCAAAGTTGATATTAATCATTCAAATTAACTCTTTGATCAATTCTTTTGTTTTTAAACATTAAATGTTCATTAAATTTTGGCTAATCACGCAAAGAGTTACACGAATTTCGAATAAATTTCACTTGGTTTGCAATAAAGTTTAAATAACAGTAGCAATCAACTTTGCAGTTCATTTGGAAGTCAAAATAGTGTCTTCTAAGATATTCAATGGAATATCTTTGCAAACTTCTCTTTTCTCAGTTCTACAATGAACATTTCCATATAATCAATGACAAGGAATCAATGGATCAAGAGGATAAGCTTTGATATTTAAACATTGAGCATTTGTTTCTTCTGGTTCAGATGAAAATAAATATAAATGACGTTTTGCATTTAATAGAGGGACTATTTTCAGGCAAAATATAATTCAAATATTAGATTCAAAGACATGTTTAGCTGCATTATAGCTACAATGTACAATGTTATGATCTACAAATTGCAACGAATGGAAACAAAAAGTGCAGAAAAGGCATTTTTTATCGAATCAATAGAACACAAAGTCAACGAAGACAATCAAGTCATTCTGCTGACACTCAAGTCTAAATTAAATAATGAAAATTGCAAATGAAAGCTACAACGAAATAATATTTCATTAAACAGAGTTGAGATCAAGATTGATTGACATTGAAAGCAATCTGGTAAACTCGAGAAAAATTCATTACTCTTTATCTGAACTGGACAGCATTCCAGTTACATGTCACAGCGTTGTTTCAATCATTCAAATGGATCTGTAACAACTTTCGATAAAACAATATCCAATTTCCATTGATTTAAATAAATGGAAAAACTTGAAATAAGTCCAACAAAAACATTATATTTCGATATAAAGAGGACATTCCAAGTCGAGTGCTCAAGGAATGATCGAATTGCAAAGGTTCAGCTAAAGGTTCAGTTGGATCCCAGATTGGACCATTCATCAAACTTCGTTATTATTAATGGTTCACTTTACACTGTAATTTAAAAAAGGTTGAAGCAATTTAAAGTGTTAAGCTTTTCATCTTAAATAATACAAACTCAACACTTTCATCTCAACATTAATGCGTTTACGTTGAAAGATTTACTTTTCAATGGAATCGCATTAAGAATTGTTAAACTCACGTTTGTCAGTAAAATTAGTGAATTAAAGTTAAATGATTAATTGAGCTTTCATGATTAACAGGAATTGAATGATTGAAGAAGAGCTGAGAAGCGAGTTTTAAAACTGTAATCAATAACAAAGAAACAAAAGGAAACTAAAGTAAACCTTTAAATGGTAAAAGCGTCAACAATTTATTTCGATTTGTTCAAGATTCTCTCGTTAATTAACCAGCTCAACACTCATTTGTATTCATTAGTTAATTGTTCTTCTCAATTGCATAATGAATAATGAATATCAGTTGATAAGCCAAGCAAATTGGAGAAACAAATCTCAACCAAATTGCCCTTCGAATTACAAGGTAAATTGAGTTTGCTCGACTAAAAAGGTAAAAACTCGTTATAATAAAGTGTAATTATTATCTTGATTCACAAGGAATTATAATTGCATTTAAAATTAATGTTTAACCGAACAACAAAATCCAATCTAATGGAGTAATTATGTTATGAATATGATCAGTTTAATGATCATTTTTATCCTCAAATCTTTACCCAAAGTTTAACCATTAAGAATGAATGAAATTTAATGAAAGCCCAAAAAAAGGTCAGAAAAGGTTTCCTTTCAATTATGTATTTATCATGGATTTTTATTGTTGAAATATTGAAACGATAAAAGGTTTTGAGTTAAAAAGGCAAACATCAATCATTAAACTGATTAAAATTGTTTCAACTTTATGTTCAATTGTTGTTCATTGAATTAAATGAATAACCATGAAAATGGTTTGAAAAGGGAAGGAGTGAGAAAAGAGAAGGAAAATTGTTATTCTTTTGCCAAGAAAAAAGTCAAAATTTATCTTCCTCTTTGGCTTTTCTCTCTTCATGTTATTCAGTTTGATTCATTTCCATTCAGTATTTATCCTCTTTCGCCAGTCTCATGACTTGTTTCGCGTTGAAAGGAAACATTAGTCTGGATGAAGAAAGAAAAAGAATCAATGATGAAAAGAAGAGGAAGATAAAGTAACCACGGTTACAAGCAGTTTTATTACCAATTCAATTCCATTTCATTCCTTATATCACCCAATATCATCATTATCATTGATATTGTTGGAAGAAGAGAGGAAAAGAGAGAGAGAAAAGAGAGAAAAGAAGAAAGTAATTGAAATGACCATTTCTTGGTAAAACTGGGTCAATAGAAGAGATTTACTCATGATAATCATGATAAGGAATGAGTAAACTTCAATCAATATCGTCATCATTTTTAAATCAGTTGACAATCATTGAATATCAAACTTTCATCTTCACCTTGAATCTCATGTTTACTTGGAAAAGTCACAATTTTTGTCGATCTTTCCTTTCTTTTCTCTCTCTTTCCAATTTCTTTCAATTTAACTCACTTTCAAATCAAATATACTGATACAAGTCTTGGAATTACTGGGAGTTGAATTAGTAGCAAGTTGCACTGGGAGTTAAGGATGAGAAGATGAGGAATGAAAGAGACGAAAAGGGTAAAAGAAGAGAAATCAAGTTGAAAAGATTCATGAGCATGCTCATGGTTCAACCGGAAACAACATGAGGGAAAAGAAGAGAGAAGTTAACGAGTCCAAGTGTTGAGAGAAAAGTGTAAAGTGAATGAAAAAATAATCAAAAAATGGTAAAAATGTACAATTCTGTAGAGAAAAGAAAAAGTGTCAAAAATTTCTTTTTTCCAATAATTATTTTCATCTCTTCTCAAACATGAACCTTGAAAGGTGTAAAATAGATTAAACCATTTTACTCATTAAATTGATATGAGCAATTTGAGGGTAAAAAAACTGAACAAAGTTGCCTGAATAAATGATGAAAGCAAATGCAGCTTGTATTCACTGGGAGTGATGGCTGGGAGTGAATTTTGAGTTTATAATTGTACGATTTGTTTTTGTTTTTCACTTTCAGTTGAAAAATTTTTACCTCGTTTGTCAACATTTTGTCATCAAATGCTGTGAACATTTTCACCAAATCAAATGTCAAAGCTGATAAAAGACAATGACTGATCACGCTCATTTCCCTGCAAAAACAGAAGAGTATAGAAGATGAATGTGAATGGATTAAAGTATATTTATATCAAAATATATCGACCCACTTGTCTCTCATCTTGTTTCATTTTCATCATTTTTCTCTCTGAAAGTTGCTTCCATTCTTCTTCTTTTTCTTTTTCTTTTTCTTCTTTTTTTCGGTTGAAAAAGTTGTTCTTTTCTGGGTTGAGAAAAAACTTATCTCGAATTATCCAGACACTATTCTCTTTAGATTTATAATAAGATATTGATAAAAGACAGGAATACAAAGTAGAAGCAAATTTTGCTAACATCATCTTTATAAAAATCATCTTCTTCTCCTCGTCATCAGCATCAATTTAAAAGATAAAAACTGATGATTATGTATAAGAGTGGAAGAGGTAAGAAGAGGTGAAGAGCGATTGAAAAGTGGAAAGGCGAAGGAAAAAGAAAATCACTCCCAGTTTTCGTGAAAGAATTTTGAAAATTGATATTCTCTACTTTTTTTATCTTCTTTTCCTTTTTTCATGAAGGAATTTGAAAGGCAAAACTCGAATAGACTTTTGATTGATGAATCTTTTATGGAATGTTACCTGGAGAAGTTAGGTCAAATATGAGAAGATATCCATGAGCACTTCTTAGAGCACAGCCACGGTAATCTGTCCACTCGAAGAAAGAATTGGTCGGAAAATAATTAATCATTGGCATGTCAATGATTTTAATCTGATAAACTGAACCGTTCATGATAATGGTAAATGTATAACTATTATCAGCTGGATTAAGGGTTGTCGCACTGCGAACCTCGGTAAAGGTTGACTCTAGAAACTGTTGGATTATTGAACTTTTACCAGTTCCAGTTGCTCCAAGAACTACAAGTTTAACAAGATGCATACCAATCCAAGAGGATCACAGAATTTCCAGAGTCTAGGTTTGTGTGGAACACGAAGAAGATGATAAAGGGCAGTGAGTTGAATACTGAATACGAAGAGTGTGTAAAGATGATTATTAACTGAAGTAAATGGCGATTCCAACAAGTCAAGTCTGATAAGGTAACAATCTTTAATCACATTAAACTGATTCATTGGCATCTTTGACCTTCCAGTTTATATGGCAACCTGAGTAACACTTTACACAAACCAAGATAATCTCATAATAATGGTAATAATGATGATCCAGATGATAATGGTGATAATAATAATTTACTAGATTCTTTATTATATTACATGAAACTTGTTTCAACAATTTATCTCTTTTACGATTTCGACGTCGACTAAATAACGATCTTTCATTTGAACCTTTTCTCCTGTTTATCTGACGGTTCAAACAATGGCAAGGTAAAGAGCAGAGAGAAACACTTTTATTGCAATAATTTAATGGGAAAATTTGATTAACCTGATGATAACGAGTTAACCAAGTTGCGATTAGTTTTGCTGATGAAAGTTTCTCATGGAAACGACTTTTCACAAGAAATTGCTGATTCTCCAGTTGATGATGTAAATTATTTTTCTGTTGATTAATTTGTTGAGCAAACCAATAAACACATTTGAGCAATAAGGATTGACAATGGATTGGTAAATTATTTAATGGAATCAATGGAAACCTCAATTTAACAGAACTTATTGCCAATGTTGATATCATAATATTTTCATATTAAATTATCATCATTATTATTAACACTTTCATTGTTATCCTGCGATAATCAAATGGTCACTTGAGGATGTTATTATTCATGGAATGAAGAAAATTTCTATCTTCTCTACTTTTCCATGTTGAACACTTTTCACTTAAGCACATTCAATGTCTTTTTACGAACTATTGAAACTACTGAAATTCACTGAAAAAAAGAATTTTCTTTTCGTTTAAAGAAAAAGATTTACAGATTTTCTCCTTTTTCTGGTCAAAAATTGATTAAAACGTTTGAAGCTTTAGTTAATGGTTGCCTTGATGGTGATGAAATTGTTGGATTGATCATCATTGTTCACCATTGATCATCCAACTCTTGATGATGGGGATGAGTTGGAATAGGAAAAGGTGATCAATACTGTTGGACGATTAAAGCACAAAAGAATGGTTTAAATATCATGGAATTTTAGTTCTCTCGAGTTCACTTTTCATTTCCAGTTGATAAAGATGAACAAATGATGAGCACAATTGGTAAATTTATTCATAAAATTGGTGAAAAAAGTAAATGTCCAGAAAGAAGGAAAAACTTGTCCAACATGAAGAAGAAGAAGAATATTTTCTGTTTTTTGTTTATACCAAATGGATTACTTAATTTTGTGTCTCATCTGTACTTATACACTTTTTGTACACTCTTTTACAGTCTTCTTTATCATCATCACCATCACCCTCAACCTCATCATCATCATGATTCTCTTCACTCTCTCTCTCTCTCTCTCTCTCTCTACTTGTTCCTCAATACTTTTGGGTTAATCTGAAGAGAAACGTAAGCTGAACACTGCAATGGCGGATGAATGGAAGGCAGAATTGATGAAGAGTAAAGCATGGAAAGAGAGGATGCAAAAGTGAGAAGGAAGATCAGTGATGAGGATATAGATCGATACAACATTTCAGAGTCATCTCATCCTCTTCAACTAAACTTGCTCTTGCTTTCAACCATTCCTTTAAACTGTCTTCATCCGCATCCAAATATTCACTTTTTTACCTTTTCCATCAACATTTCCTTCTCTTCATCTTTCCCTCATCTTTTCAGTCTACAAACAATTAAACGCAAAAAGCAACACTAAAGATGCCTTTTAGAGACGAAATATCGCCAGGTAAAAGCCAAAAAGAAAAAAAAGATTTTTCTCTTTTCCAAAATTATTAGTCTCTCAATATTATTGATAAACTCTGCTCACAATTGACTCAATTAACTATCATCCGCTTTGATAATCAAATGAAATCGGATAATTTCTTTTTACCTTTTGTTTAATTCATTTGCTGAATCACTTCTTTCTCCTCATTATCATTCTTCTCCCTGTGATAATCATCATTTACCACACAAAAAGCCAAAAAGTTCTGGATCGAAGGGAAGAAAATTTTTCATTTTTCCAAATGAAATTAATATTAATATCAAATTGATTTTGTATAAACTTCTTTTTTTTACATTTTTATTGTTCACCGGTAAAACCAACAAGACAACTTTATTATGATTATTATTGGGTTCATCATAATGTATTATCAAGTAAATTGAGTTATAGATCTAACATGGTGAAAGATGTGGAAACAGATTCAGAATATGTGAGTAAATAAAATGAAATTTGATACAAAAAAAGAGGTTTTTTTCTTATCATCGCCTTGAGGTAGTTGAATTAAAAAAAGAAGTAGAAACATGTTATATGAATTTTTGTTCATGGTAAAACAAGGAGAGAACAAAAAGGGAAACCAGAATGGAAAATAATGCCAATTTGAATGAGTTTCTTGCAATTGTTGGAGTCATTTAAATGTTGGTAAATAAAGGGCTGCAAGTTGTACATTCAATGATTAAAAGTGTTGCAAGTTGGTTACATTAGCAAACAGACTGCACTTGGAATATCTTTAATTAGAGAATCATATTTATCGGAATCATCATCAACAGGTTTATCATCTGGTTCATCAACTGATTGTCGATAATGTTCAACAATCGGATGCTCTGAACCTCGCTTCTTTAATCCTTCCAAGTAAATCTCTCTGTTGAATAAACCTGCATTCAATGGAGCATCATCTCGACCTGGTTTAACCTTAATCTCCATTAATGCATAGACAGGCCTGTGATCTGATGTTTTAATTGATGTAACACAATCATAGGTAAGACAATCAACTTGATCCTTTCTTTTCGACCGATACAAAATTCTGTCAGTGTAGGAAGGAACTCGCTCACTGAGCAGATCAAAGCCATCCGAGCCAATCCGATACTTGTAGGTTGGAGCAAAATCAATGGTTGAAGCTTCATTAAATCCATGGAAAATGTCACCTTTGTTCAGTGCTTTTCGAAGTTGATCCTCATTAAGAAGAAGTTCAAATGATGTTAAACTGGCTCTAGGAGAGGATAAAAGATGAATACTTGTAAGAAAGGAATAAAAACAGAAGAATAAAAATAAGATGATAAACAGAAAGAAAATGAAATAATAATAAAAACCTGAACACCAGGAAAATAACCTAAAAAGACAATCTTGTCAACAATTGGAATATTTTGCAATTCCAATTTTACACGATTAGATGGATTCTTGTACCATTACAATGCATTCAATTCTTACCAATCATTCATCAATTGGATGAAATGATTCAAAAGCAAGTAACGCAAAGAAGAATGTTAAAGAAGAAGAAGAAGAAGAAAAAAACAAAATCTTTCTGAGTAACGAAGAGAAAAAAAGAAAGAAGAAAAATGAAGAGAAACATTTTGTTGAGATGAAATTTGTTCTTGTTATTGATGGATTTGCAAGGGAAGAAGATTCAGAGTAAGAAGATGATGAAGATGAAGTATAATAAGGAAAAGACAAGAAAATGGTTAAAGGAATCAAGATTTTGATCCAAAATCACTGGAAGAGTAAAAAAAATCAATACTGATGTATAAAGTATAATATTGTTAACTTGGATGAACAACAACATTTCGTTGGCTTATAATTAAAGTTAAGCTAATTAACTGAAGAAATGAAAGTAAAATGTGATCATCAGATTTTATCGACTATCGTTTTCATATTAATGTCATTCTCAACTGATTAAATAATCGAGAGAAAAGTTGACCTCAAACTTGTTCGATCACCTTTTTTCATTTACTTTTTCCTTCTTCTTCTATTTCTTTCAAAGAAACGTTAAATTTTCAGCGATAAACTTGAAATGAACTCCAATGAATAATGGTAAAGTTTCATCATGATGACATTAAAACAGGTGAACATAAATATTAACGTTTCTTTACAACCAATAATGCAACATTTTATTGACTGTAAACTTAATAATTCAATGTTGTTAAAGTTGAGTATTCAAAGTAAATTAATTGTCAATTGCTTTTATGGAAGGAAACTGGTAAAATCAAAATCTTAATCTTTATTTTGTTACATTTTTGATCTTTTTCGTTGCTCTTTTTGGTTGTGTGTTTCAAAATGAAAGTGAAAAACAGATTCAAGGATAAAAAGTTCAACACAGGAACAGAAAAAAAGTAAGTACATCATGAAGGGAAAAGGTATGAAACAGAACATAAAATAACATTTATATTAAAGATAAATAGGAAAAAGGATGAGATAAATAGCATGGAAAAAAAATTTCAAGAGAATTGAAGAGAAAAAAGAAAAGGTAAGTTATGAACAAAAGAAATGAGAGAAAAAATAATATTACTTATTAAAGGGGAAACAGGGAGTGAAGAAGGAAATTCAGTTGAAAAAAAAAGAATAATCTTGAAGAGAAAAAAAAGGGAATGAAAAAGAGTGAAGGGAATAAGGTAAAGATGACATGGAATTGCCTCTGAATCGTTCAACATGAAATCTAACATGAAATTATTTCGCCTCCTTCAACTGTTGTTTTTACTTTTGGCAGAACTTTTTTTTTCTTCTTCTTCTTTCATCATTGGTACTTCGGATACATGTGTGTGTGTGCTCATTGCTCTACGCCTTAAAGTTAGTCAACAATTTGGAAGCTGAAATTTTGTTCACTGCAATGATTAGCTTTGATGATTCTTTTGACAGTTGATTTTCTCATTTGTTTTTCCTTCCATTTATTGTAATGACAAGTTTGCAGTTGACTGAATCTTGTTCAGTTCACCTTCAAACCATTCACTCGCAATCATTGAGTTAACCTAAAAGGGACTTGACTTGCAATCCTTATACTTATCCTTACACCATTTACAACAATCATTGTTTTTTCTGGTTTCAAGTATTTTACAATAAAAGATTAACTTTCAATTTTAGACTATTTTCAACTTCATTTAATCGCAATGCTAACAATACTTTAATCGCATGATAATCATTCAAGTTTCATCTTTTTTACATTAACTTTATTCACAATTTTTAAAAGATTTCGCTTTTATTTCCAGAATTTCAGGAGCCTTAATAAAAGAAGGCATTTAGTTGATAGCATTGATTTTATTTGTAACCTTTGAGCTTTTACAATCAGTATTCATAATAGTATTACAATTTTATGAGCCTTGGTGTGTTTGAGTTTATTTACTCAACATTTGGAATTTATCATAACTTTATCACTGATTTATTTCCAATTATGTGGTGTTTGTACACTCGTTCACTTCAAAGTCTGAAAATAAAACATTTTTTCATTGAAAAACTCCCAGCAACTGATCGAATTGGAAAATAAATCTTATTCATAAGGAATAAGATTTGAATGGATATTATTAAAGGTACTGAAGTTCATCAGAAAGACCAAGTTTAGATTGAAGAGAAAGGTCTGAGAAAACATTTCCCACTAATGACCACTATTTGGCATCAATATCTTGGTACAATTAGGAAAGTAGAAACTGATACAGACGCTTGGAATAAATTTTGGTGCAATTTTCAATTAACATCTCTAAATGATTATAATTTCATTACAGAGGTCTTGAACATCGATCAATCAATGTTGACAGATAACCTGGCACATCAGTATCAGTATTTTCAGTATTCAGTATCTTAACCTAGAAACAATAATTATTAACATGATGCGAATCCAGTAACAAAACATTGACAAAATATTATCGCACCATTTTACGATTTCTCATTGACAATCGATCTGTAATCAGATTAATTTTCATTTCTAAACTTTCATTACAAATATTATTGCTCATCAATACTTTTATCTTGAAATCTAACGAATAAAGCCAGTTGAAGAGTATTTCTGATTTTCCAGAATTGTAAATTATTGAAATTAATTTTTAACTAAAAATAATTTAAAAAACAACTAAAATCATTTGGTGAACATTGAAATGATAGTGGAACATTATTCAAACACATTTTCCAGTGAGATGAAATCATTGCGTTATCATAGAACTCGCAATAAATTCTTCCAGTGTTGATTGACGAAGTCTGAAAAGCGTGTCATGAAAATCTGTGAATAAACTTTTCTACTGAAAAGAAACGAAATGTTACAAATCACAAGTCTAATCCAACATTAATATGAAAACTTTACTTTGCCTATTATTGCATTAAACGTAATTTGAGCCTGTAAATGTTTATTTGAAATAACACATTGTGACTATTAACTTAACAGATTAGAGTTGAAAGACAACAATGAAAGATGAAAATAACATTGAAATTCAAAAATCAATAAGATGAATAGAGTGTTCATGGAAAAGAATTGAAATGATTTGGAAAGCAAAAAATTACTACTTTAGTATAATAATGTTCTGAAACTGAAAAGGCAAGAATAACAAATTTGTTTTCTTCCCAAAATATTGATTGAAAGAATCGCAAGAATTGGTAAAAGAAATAGATTTAAATGTCAATTTTGCAATTTTAACAAATTCAATTTCCATTGTAATTGATGAGGTAAAAATTTCTCGATATTCAGATTCTAGCAAATTATCGCAAAAAAAGGAAACAAACTGATTAAGTGATGAAAAAAAGTGAACAATTAAAGGTGAACAATCTTTGTGACATTGATCACAAGTTGATTGAAGCACAAAATTATATATTGAATAGGAAATAATAACAACAGAATCAATATCTAGATAAATGTTTCAAGTTTCATTTTGAATGGAAAGTCTTGAAAGCGAAAAGCAAAAATGAGATTCATCATTATTGCTCTTTCTTGTTCATCTTTTTTTACCAGATTTTTCATTTTATCCTGCAACAAGAAGAAGAAGAAAAAACTGTAATAAATGCTGAATGTTTTCAACTGCCACAGAATATAATGCATGATGGAAAAGGCTGAGAAGGGAAAGAAAAAGGTTGAAACAAAAATCGATAACAGGAAAAAGAAGGAAATGAAGAGCAAAAGAAGAAAACTTTGAATGATGAAAAGATCATGTTTACATTTGATATCATTTCATTTTTAATCATTACTCTTGTCTTGCAAACTCATTCTCACTGAATCTTCATCCTGCACACTTGATGCAATAATCACAACTTGAACTTTCAACTTTGCGTAAATGGCGAAGAAAATTTCTTTTCTCCTTTTTTCCTTCTTTCTTCTTCTTCTTTCATATCAATAACATTTTAATGTCAACAATATCCAATGAAGATGAGCCAAAATATCCATTGTCAGGTGAAATCAATTTTTATCTTGAAAGGAAAAGGTATATTACTTTGAGCAACACTGAAACAGTGGACATCAATTGGACAAATGACAAAGAAACTTGTCTCGAGTTAATAATGTTAAATTGAAATAACTTGAATAATGTTTCATTTATTGTTTGATTGCCAGGTCAAGAGTCGGTTCAGGTTTAATGAATCAACAAATGGTGAAACATTGTCAACATGAATTGCGAGTTTGCTTCTGTTGAAAATACAACATCCAACAATCTTCTGTTTAAATAACATCAATGACAATTATTTATCAATTGAAATGAGATTAATCTCGATCATCGATTAAATCATTGATTTACAATGGAATCCATCAGTTTACTGTAAAAATGGCAATATTTAATAATAAGGCAACAATGAGAATGGAAAGGAAAAGAGGCCAAAAAATTGAATAACAAACGGAAAATGAATATTATTAATAGATGAGGAAGAGGAAGCAATATTTGCTTTACATTGACTGATCAACATTCACTTGGTCACAGTATTGATTTGATAATGAACGATGGATTAGACAAAAAAAGGAGAAAAAATTGTCTTGTTTGTTTTGCAATAAATTGGTCAACTTTTGATTCTCAGTTACAGTTTTGTGATTGACCATTTTGATGAAAATTTATTGCAAAATAAACATTTAACTTTTAAACTGAGGTCAACTCGAGTTGGCAAATGTCTTTTTTTTTGTTCAATCAAAAAACTCTAACATTTACCTTGGTTTGAAATTGATTCTTGATTTTCTTTTCATTCATTTCCAAAGGAGGGTCTCCAGAATTTTTCACTTTTTTATTCTTGGGAGTTAAGAACTCAACTTTTTTTTCTGAATAGAATTCTACATTCTGAGTTCAAAAATAAAAACTATTCTCATTTTAGATCAGCGGTTTCTGAGTTATTTGAGGTCAAAGTGCGCAACTTTCGAGGCCATTTAAGACCGGACTATTAATCTAATTTCTTTCTTACTTCGGCAATCAATAGATCTTAAAGAAGCCTATCGAATGTTATATAAAACTTTTCTTTATCCATCATAGTTTACGGTTAAAACTTCACCGAAAAAATTCGGACAACTTGGGCGCTTGGCCTTAGGTTTGATCGCAGAGTCATGATATTCAGTTTTTAGCCACACTACATAGAGGCACAAAGATTAGATCGGAAACTTTTTCGATATCATTTATTTTTCATAGAAAAAAAGAGGCATGAAATCTGCAGTAATCCCATGTTAAAACCCATAGACAAAATTAAAACTTGATAAAAGAGCAAACCGAGCGCTGAAAACCATTAAACTGAGTACGATATTGAATGTGGACCACATTAGAAAAGATATCTGTCAACGGTTATCAGTATAGAGTGTTTTAACACTTTCACCTGTTTACAGTGATAACTTACAGACATTTAATGCTACAGACCCCAGATTTGAGGTATAAGCATCTTCATGACATGATAAAAAATAATGACAATTTCTCAAGGTCATTCAAGGTCATCCTGGTTTTTGACCTCTAAATGACCTTGCAAAGTGCGCTCTGGAATGAGTACATTTTTTTAGACCTGATTATCTTTGTTGCATATCGATTAGATGTGCAGGTTATGTCAGCAAGAGACTTCAATAGCAAAACAGGTGAAAGTGTTAAAACACTCTATACTGATAACCGTTGACAGATATCTTTTCTAATGTGGTCCACATTCAATATCGTACTCAGTTTAATGGTTTTCAGCGCTCGGTTTGCTCTTTTATCAAGTTTTAATTTTGTCTATGGGTTTTAACATGGGATTACTGCAGATTTCATGCCTCTTTTTTTCTATGAAAAATAAATGATATCGAAAAAGTTTCCGATCTAATCTTTGTGCCTCTATGTAGTGTGGCTAAAAACTGAATATCATGACTCTGCGATCAAACCTAAGGCCAAGCGCCCAAGTTGTCCGAATTTTTTCGGTGAAGTTTTAACCGTAAACTATGATGGATAAAGAAAAGTTTTATATAACATTCGATAGGCTTCTTTAAGATCTATTGATTGCCGAAGTAAGAAAGAAATTAGATTAATAGTCCGGTCTTAAATGGCCTCGAAAGTTGCGCACTTTGACCTCAAATAACTCAGAAACCGCTGATCTAAAATGAGAATAGTTTTTATTTTTGAACTCAGAATGTAGAATTCTATTCAGAAAAAAAAGTTGAGTTCTTAACTCCCAAGAATAAAAAAGTGAAAAATTCTGGAGACCCTCCTTTGATTCAAAACTTAGTTTGTTTCGCAATTTTTATCGCAAATTTTCTTGACCAACTTCATGGGATACTTCATCATCTTTCATGTTGTTTACCAATTGAAGTTTCTTTTCATCAGTTATTCAATTGAATTGGTCAAATTGAAAAGTTATCAAAGTCTGAAAGTTTCATTTAAATTTTACATTGCTTTCGATTTTAGAAGAATGAGTAAACTGGATTCAGGGAAAAACAGCATTCAAGTGCTTTTAGTTACATGATTACTTTGAAAGAGTGAAAATCAGAATAGAAAAGGAATCGATTAGGATTTGCTTTTAGATCTAATTTTTTCTGTCGTCTTAGAGATCGTAAAAGATTTTGTAAAAAACAATCGACAACAAAAGAGATTAATGTTTGTACACAAGGCGGAATCACATAAATTCTGGTTCTTCATTCTGAGTAAGATATCATCTGTTCATTCAATTTTTTACTCAATAGAATAATAAGTCTTACTTGGTTAGCATTCTCAATGCATCTGTGTATTTCTGTTCGATGCGAAAGTTGAGGTCACCAAACCAAAAGACGACATCAAAGCGAGAGGTAACATCGGTTGATTGATAGGAAGGCTTAAGAGGTCGAAGATTACGAGGTAGATCAATGGATCGACAAATTTTAACATAATCATCGAGACGATCTTGATTGCGATTGGCGTGAGCAGGCAAGTGGCAGTTGAGAAACAACATGCTGGTTCCAAAAAGAGTAAAACTAATGGCCAGAGCACCTTTAGTCTTGACCATGTTGGTTGCTTTGGGTCGAGAGTTGAAGACACAATCTTCAGGAATGGAAACGTACCAAATGAGTTCTCGCCGGATGAATATAAAGAGAGACAAAACACCGAGAGAAACAGAGTGAAGCAGCACATGAGATGGACCCAGAGTTGACTGTAAATTAACAGTTAAATCACGATTTCCATTTGATCCATTGGAGCTAAAACTAGTAGAAGGCGTTTCCTGTGTTCCAATGGCGTATATTTCAGCCAAATAGTCATTCCCAGATGGCAATAGAATTTCATTCCAATTATCAGGTCCACTTCGATTTCCCATGTTCCATGTAACCAAATGTACCGAAACGATTCCTCGAGGTAAAACATTCTTCAATTCATCTTCTCCTAAAAGTGAACCCTAAAAAAACGAAAAACAAACGAGAAAAGAAATTAAAAAGCAAATCAAATCAGATTCAATATCAACATTAGATCATTGAAAACAAACAACTTCGCGGCAATTTTGGCCTAAACTTGGAAAGATCAAGTCTCTATTGAGGTTGTTGAAGGAAAGCGAGACTTTGATGAACCAGTTTTGTCAATCCAAGTGGAAGTCATTTGTTGTTCAAAATTAGATTAAATGTAATTTTAAAAGAATCATCTTTTCATCAACTTTAGTTAATCACAATTTACGCCGAGTTTAGGCGAGAAACTTGAAACAAGCAAATTTCATTTATAATTTCATTAATTTCAATGTTGTTACAATGAAATACAATACTTTGACAGTTTTACAGCAAAAAAGGCTAAGATTTTGCAAATAACTTATTTTAACATTATATAATGCAATTATCTTTCAGTTTGATTGGCACATTTGAGTCATTTAAATCAAGTTAATGTATTGTTGATCAGAATAAATTTTCAATGCAATGAGTTGAAATTTAGATGGAAACATTAGAAATGATGAATCAATGAAGCATCCAATGATAAATGAATAGTGAATGGAAATGAGAAAAAAATTAATATTAATTAGTCTTTAAGACTAGATTTTTGTCAGTCAATCGTTAAATTGTTGAGGGAAACAAAAAAATGATTAATAAGAGTTTGGATGCAATTTGAAAATCATTAATAATCCAAAAATTTGTTAACAAAATCTTTTCAATCTTAATTTGGTAATAAAGATGAAAGTTTCAAGTTTAGTTTTCTTCAAACAATTTGAAGGAACAATTGTCTTCAACAAATATTGTCATTTCAATGTAAATTATCTCAAATTTTCAATGAAAAACATTCAATCGGTGTTTCGTGATTTCGTTGAAAGCAAACATTCGGGAAAAAATTAATGGACAGATTAATATAACCTGGATTCCTCAGAAACAGTGAATTCTGTGACTGAAAGAAATTGATTCTTTTCTCAGGAATTCACGTGAATTTGAAACGACTAAATGACTGACGGTGAAATTCAAGTTACCAATCGGTATGGATTGAGCTCAAATTGAATCTTTGTTAGTTGAGTGATCAATCAATGTTGATTAATATTGCTCGGACATTGATTATCAAATTAGCTTAACGCTTGGTCAGCTGAAATCCTCTTAATTCATTCACTTGTGATTAATGAAGAGAAGATGAAAGGCAAAAAATGATCAACTTTATAATCGCAATTGCCTTAATCTATTTTGTAAAAAGTGCCTAACATTGAAAAATACATTAATCTTGACCAGCTAAGCTTTTTTGCTTCATTGCTGTTGTTATCCTCATGACTTGCCTGTTATTGGTATTGAACAATTACTTTTAATGAAAAAATGAAGAAGTATTTAGACTTTAATTGTTTCAATGTTCAACTGGCAACATTGAAAGGTTTACTTACTTCATGTCCAATCGCTCCAAATATGAAGTTTCTTGATCTTGCTTTTGTAGCCTCAATCTTGTGAATTTTGTAAGATCCAGATGAAGAGGAGGAAGATGATGAAGATGCAGATTTTGCTCTTGATGAGGTAGAAGACGATGATTTAGAGGTTGTAGGTGTACCTGAGTAGGTTGGTGCTGTTGATGGTAAAGATGTAGATGAAGATTTTCTTGATTTTGCACTGCTTTCACTTGATTTGATAACATTTTGATTTTGAGTTTCGTCTACTTTTTGTTCACCAATCATCTAATATACCAGTAATGAGCACTTTAATGGTCTCATATTAAATCCATTTCAATGGTGAAACCATTTACATTTCAGGTTTCCAAAGCAAATTTTGTTTATCATGTCGAGACTTGTTTTATTTTTTGCTTGTTTTCAACTCTCTTAATCACCATGGATACCATGAATAAGTAGCATGATAATGGGCCGTTTTGATTCCTAATTGATTGAGATTGGCTTATAATCGAAAGAATGGCATTCCGTTTAAAGTGTTCGCTCATCTGGTTGTTAGATGACCAACTGTTAAATGGTATCCTTTGTGATTTGTCTTGAGATGTAATTGAATTGAAGACGATTGAGTGACTATTCACTTGGTAATAATGGGATGAAATTCAATGAGAACCTGATAATGTGAAGTTCAAGACTTGAAGATTGATTGATGTGGAATCAAGTAACTAATCGTTGACCAATTAACTAATTAACCAAAAAATCTCCAAATCTAGATAGATATTGTTGATTGAAGGTTATGGATGATTGAAAACCATTAAGCCCAGAGTGATCAATGAAAAGCAAACCTTTATACAATCTAGTTACTTCAATAGCATTTCGTCTCGATAAATTGAGCAGGTTAATGAATTGTGATGTGAGGGAGAAAATGGAAAAATATGATTTAGAAAATAAAAAAGAAATGAAATCTGGAAAATGTTAAAATAATTACAGACCGAAAGATAAATTCTGGACTTAAATCTAACAAATTTTTAATATAAATCTGCAAATTAGACAAAATTGCACCACAGTAGTCGCTCGATTTTTTGGCAAAAAAGAGTTGGAATAGTTGGTGATTATTTTATCATAACCGATCAGAATTTGATAATCAAAATCAACAAAGTGGTCATTAAAGATCAAGTTAACAACAGAAAAAAACAAATGTGAATCTGAGTGGAAAAGGCACATTTTATGAGCCGATTTTTGCAAAAAAATCGAAGATCTTCTGTAATTTGAAACACTTTCGTAGGAATAGCCTTCACCGAAATTTGCTCTATCAATAACTTAACCAGTACCAGAATCCGTAAGGTAGTCTTTGATCCGATACTTTTCTCACATGTCTTACATGCGCAATTACTTTTTTTTGTTAGATGAAATTATTTATTAAACATTTAAATTTAAATTCTCAACCTTTTACTAATTGCTCCGGCTTTCATCAAGAACAGTAATATTGTTACTTTTTTTGTTTAAACCCATACAAATTTTTGTGTGTTTTATTATTTCTGACCTTTAAATACTTCGACACCTTTTGGTTTTTGTGAAAAAATGGCTGAACCAATCAAAATAAGTAAGCATGGTTAATTTTTTTACAAAAGTTCATTCCTCATTTCATCTATGTTCATCTTATTTCATCCATCTAACATTCTTTCTCTTTTTTATGATTATTAGCCGATGACGATGATGCTTGGGATGATGAATTATTGATCCAAGAATACAATAGGACGGTTCGTCTGGTCGACCAAAGAATTTCCGAGATAGAATCAGGGGATTTAGGAAAAACTAACGAAATTAGAAAAGAAAAGAGGAAAAGCAAGAACAAGGATGACTCAAAAGAGCTCTTGTGGAAACCTGGTGACAATTGTGTAGCTGTCTTCAAAGAAGATGGGCTTGAATATGAAGCTAAAATAGTTAGTATCGATCAAAAATATGGTTGCTGTGTTGTTAAATATTTAGGATATGATAACGAGGAATGCCAATATCTTCAAGATTTAAAACCATCACGCGGATTGCAGTCACAATTAGAACAGATGCAGCTAGGCTTTGTAAATTGTGAATTAGAGGATGAAGAGTTATCCAGAGGCATCCAAAATATGAACACTCGACCTGAATTTATTCCTGAGAGTCCTCTTCAAAGTCAAGGAACAACACCTGAGTTTATTTTACCTCCACCTCCAACATTCCTAACTAGCAACTTAACTGAACCACTTGCCAAAGAAAATGATGCACTCGCATCCATGCTGATGTCTTGGTACATGTGCGGCTTCCAAACGGGTTATTATACAGCTTTAAAGCAAATGAAGGTCAAAGAGTGACCATCACATCATTCCATGTGTGCACACCTTGCAATGTTTTCCAAAAGTCATCACATTTATTTGTTGACCTTCCTTTTTCTTGTCCTTTTCTTTATTTAAATTAATAAGCACTTTGACAACCTGAATCTAAGTCAACCATGTAAAGAGTGCCTAAAAAATCAATCTAAACGCCTTGCTGTCCAATCTGAATAGACTCAAAACCATGTAAATAAACTTTCAAAGAGCTTAAAGTTCTTCGTTTCAAATATTATGATTGCAAATTCATTGTGGATGCTTGTATTTCGCGTTAATTTTGTTAATTTTCATCAACTTTGTTGCGTTTTATTTCGCAAAATTTGCAAAGCTCGATAACAAACTTTGTTGTTGGAAGATTTGATCAGTCATAAATTTAATATTTGAACGTTTACTAATGAAAACGAGTCTAGCATTTAAAAGATAAATCTGCAAATCTACTTAAATTTCCACATCCATGTGATGCTGGAATGTAAACAAAACGATAAGCAGCTTTCATTTAAACCGCCTTTTCTCAAGGAACCGGAAAACTTCCTAGATTAAATCGAATGCGCCATCTTTGATTCCCGCTTCCTCCCTACAGAGTGACAATAAAGTTTCTGCAAGTGGCAACACCCACTTGATGTGCGTAGAAACAATTTCTATTTGTTTACAATTCTGCTATTTTGTATTAGCCGCTCTTTCTGTGCGCATATTATCCCTCCCCTCGAGCAAAAAACTTTCATGACACTCTGTATAAGGTTGTGAGCTTGCTCTCATCTTCATCCATACTTCAAAGGTTTCTTTCATCTCTCCTCATCTTTTTAATTATCAAATCAGTCAATTTTCTTTGTGTTTCACCCCTCAAATCAAATTAACGATGTCACACCGGAGTAATAATGAGTGCCGCATATATGTTGGAAACTTGCCACCTGACATTCGTACTAAAGACATCGAGGACCTATTTTACAAATACGGCAAAATTACCTTCATCGATTTGAAAAACCGTCGTGGGCCTCCATTTGCATTTGTTGAATTTGAGGATTCCCGGTAAGTTTCACTTTCTTCGCAAATATTTTATTATTTGTTAACAACCTGTTTTTTTTACTTTCAGGGATGCTGAAGATGCTGTCCACTCCAGGGATGGTTACGACTATGATGGATACCGACTCCGCGTTGAATTTCCTCGTGGCCGTGAACGAGGTCCTGGCGGTGCTTTCATTTCTGGTTCTCGCTCTGGGTCCAGTCGTGCTCGAGGCCCACCTGCCAGACGCTCACAATACCGAGTTGTTGTTTCAGGTAAGTTGTGCTTTCGGCTCACCTCAGAGTTTCTGATCGATCTTTCATTTTTTCAGGACTCCCCCCAACTGGTAGCTGGCAAGATCTCAAAGATCACATGAGAGAAGCCGGTGATGTTTGTTATGCCGACGTTTACAAAGATGGTACAGGTGTGGTGGAGTTTCTCCGATATGAGGACATGAAATATGCGGTAAAAAAACTGGACGACTCTCGCTTCCGCTCTCATGAAGTAAGTTATTCATCATTTTGCATTGAAAGATTTTGAAATCTTATTCATTCTTTTACTATCATTTATCTTGTTTATTTATCAGGGTGAAGTAGCTTACATAAGGATTCGAGAGGATCACGGTGGCAGTGGTGGTCGGTCGAGATCAAGATCTCGTAGTTACACTCCAAGAAGGAGTCGTGGTTCACCTACTTATTCTCCTGCTCGTCGCTCGCGATCTAGATCTCCCTCGCGTTCAAGATCACGATCACGATCTCGATCAACTTCCAAATAATGGATGAGTTTGGATCGGATTTGCAAGGATCCATGCTCTGGCTGACGTTTCTCATCAATGTTTGAAGAATCCAACCTTCACGTTTCATACCTCTATGTATTTTTTCAATCCATCTTTCGGCCAATTAAAAAGGATTTCACAGTCGATTTCGGATATTCAAAATCTGTTTGAGGAGGATAGGAATACAAGTTTTCAGGATTGTATAAAGGATAAATAGTTGTGGTTGTTGAGTTTGATCTACTCAACTATGAAGCACCATCACTTGAAGATGTAGGGATATCTCGGCTCAGAGGAGTTTCTGGACTTTCTCAATCAGAAGACGAGGCCGAGGAATGTTTCAAGATGTGATCAAGATGTCAATATTAATAATTAACTAGGTTTTTTATTATATTACATGAATCTGAGTTTATTTTACCTCCACCTCCACTGATTACGAGGAATGCCAATATTTACAAGATTTAAAACCACTGCGGGATTGCAATCACAATTAGACCAAATGCAGCTAGGTTTTGTAAATGGTGAATAGGAGGATGAAGAGTTGCATCCATGAAGAATCCAAAATGTAGACATTCGATCTGAATTTGTTCCTGAGGCCCTCTGCAAATTCAAGGAACAACACCTGAGTTTATTTTACCTCCATCTCCACTGATAGCAAGGAATGCCAATATTTACAAGATTTGAAACCAACAAGAGGTTTGCAGTCACAATTAGAGCAAATGCAGCTAGGTTTTGTGAATGGCGAATTAGAGGAAGAAGAGTTGCACAGAGGAATCCAAAATTTAGACACTCGACCTGAATTTGATTAGAGTCCATTTCCAAGTCAAGGAACAACACCTGAGTTTATTTTACCTCCACCATCCATTATCCAAAGAAAACAATGCACTCGCATCCATGCTGATGACTTGGTACATGTGTGGATTCGAAACGGGTTATTACGGGTTAAATCTAATTTATTTTTGTCTACTTGAATTTAAGATTAGTATGGATAAAATTTGTTGAGACAATTTTATAAGATTGAATGCGCAATGTTCGCTGTATACATTTTTATTTGAGTTTATGCATAGACATGTTTTGAATTGTTAATTTACAATATTAAAAAAGATCCTAATTAAGTTACAATGTTTTCATTTACAAATATTAAAAAGGATGAAGAGATGAATGATGTGAGCTCGATAACATGTGTCAGTGAATGATGATAATGATGGTGAAGATTTAGATTTATTAGATTTAAATATTTAGCTTTAAAATGATATTCAAACTAATGATTATCAAGAGCGATTTTGTCTACGATCTTTATTTTTATTGCGACTTGAACTGGAATCCCGATCTAGATAAGGAGCGTGAAGTTCAACTTTCAACTTGGCCGTCGTAGTTACTTTGGTAGTCACTGTTTGAGGTGGATATGAATACAAGTTTCCAGGATTGTATAAAGGATAAATAGTTGTGGTTGTTGAGCTTGATCTACTCAATGATGAAGCACCGCTATCACTTGAAGATGTAGGGCTATCTCGGCTCAGAGGAGTTTCTGGACTTTCACGATCAGAAGACGAGGCTGATGAATGCATACCAGATTTCTGTTGAAGAATTAAAAAAGAAATTAAGTATTAAATAATATTTGTCAAAATATTTTAAAAGTAAAATGCTTACATCATCAGGTAAATGTGAGGTAGTTTGAGTTGGAATTTGATGTGGCCCAGTATTGGTCACAGTTGTTGTTTCCACCACCAACTCAGGCTGAACAACAATTTCGTGAGATGATTTGTAAGAAGGTGGTTCTTCTGAAATAGTTGACAAGGATATCTCGGATTGCACACGAGGATAAATACGTCGTGAATATGAAACTAAATTATGATGGTGTCGCTTCTTTGCCGGAGGTGAACAAGGAGGCGAGGGAGTTGAGATTCGATTCTCATATTCAATTGGAATGAGTTCGCCGGGTGGACCAAAGTAAAATAAGAGTAAAGGATATAAGATAAGACCATTCCAACTGGAGATGGCAACCGCTCCAGAAAAAATGTAAAAAAAGTCTCTGTAAAAAGATTAAAATCAATTGATTAATATGTGATATTATTTCAAATGTAAATACAAATATAACTTACCTATTGACGAAGTCAAATTCAGAAAATGCTAACATGCCAATTGGTATGAAAGTTGATATCTCACTACGAACTAAAGATGGGAACATGTGATGAAGAGCGGCTGAGATCCGATAATCTCGTTTACCCATACTGGTCAGGAAACTCTGAAGTGTCAAAGAAACACAAGTTCAGGTTAATTGAAATATTTTTATAATAAGCATGATAAATCTATTAAAATTAGAAAAAGGAAAAGTAAACTTACCATGAGCATATGAATAAGTATATGAATGCTTTTGCCAACGGCAATAATAAGAATAACGGCTGGAATAGCACTCAGCCTGATTTTTAGTAAGCCCATAAATCCAAAAATTTGGACACTAGTTAGAGCTAGAACAAATATTAACAACGAGGAGGCCCAACAATTGACCAAGAGAGCACAAAAGGCAACAAAAATAGCTGCAAAAGCGACGATCAAAGATGCACCTAATGAAAGTCTCAAACGAATATACTGTTCCCAATATTTGAATGGAAGTCCTGTTGGGAAGTTCGGCAGGCCTTTTTCCTCATAAACTTTACAAATTGTCCTAATTTCTTGAATTGTTGAGGTAATTTCCTCGGTTGAGTTCATATCATGCAAGTAAAAAGGTATTTCAGCATAAGTTAAAGGCTGAGATTTTGGTATTTTTAAATCATAGTCAGATGCTACATGAATCCATTGACGAGGTTCTGGATGAAAATTTGCTTGGGATGCTGAATAAGCAATCGCATCATTGGTGACCCAGGCAGTCAAATAATTATAAAATGCTTTAGGATTGATGATACCTCGACTATCAACGAGTTTCGTCTTCGTAACCTAAAGAATAAATTAAACAAAGATAGTTAATATTATGCAACTAAGAAATGTTGTAAAGTATAAACAACATGTACTTACAAGACTTTTGTCGACAGGATTGTCTACCCTACCAGTTTGAACGAGCAACTTGTAACCTAAAATTCCTTCTGCCGAAGCATTATCGTACCATCTTTCTTGACTGATCGCCCCGTTTTTCCAATCTTTATCAAAAGAATTTTGCAAACCGATCAGCCAATCTCTGAACATGGTTAACCAGAACTCGGGTAATCCACCATCATCATTTTTAATGATTCTTGGAACTCGAGTGAATGCGTTGTGGTAATCAATAAGAAGAGCTTGGTGGGTGGGATACTCAAAATTACCTTGAGTTATCGCATGCATATTATATACACTAAAATATTGTTTTTGGTTATGGAGGAATCGATATTCACTTGTGTCACGAGGAACAATATCGGTAAGATCAAGTCCGTCTTTCACTTGAGGCACACCTGACAGGCAAATCAGATAAATTACACAGCTAACAATCATCACCAAAAATTTAAAAAATCTTCCATGGAATAAAGGTAAATAAATATTTTCTACGAAGTAGTCCAATGTTAATTTGTAGTACAAAGGAGTTTCAGTTGAAATATTCCGACTAAAATCATTCTTGCTTTTTGATGATATCGAAAAATTTCTCCTCAGTAAATCCAAGCTCATAATGGCGGGAAAAATTGTCAACAGAGAAATGGTGATGAATGTGAGTAAAATGGCATTTTGAGCAGCAAAATATCTTAATGCAGGAATAGGAATTATGGTAGCAGCGCCAAGTGCACATAAAAGGGAAAATGAATTGAGTAAAATGCTAAATCCAGCTTGCTGAAGTGTATCCGCAATTGGATTCTAGAATAAAAAAATACAGAAATCATTAATTAATCTAACAAGTTTATCTTATTTCAACTAATTCTTAAAATTTAACTTACCTTTGAATGAGTATCTTTACAAATAATTTCTTCGTAGGCGTCCATCAAAAAAAATAATGGCGCTGACCCCAACGCTAGGGCTAAAAATGGAATAATCTAAAAAGGACAAAATAAATAGAGACATTGTAATTAATACATTTGATGAATCGAGTTAATGTTAGAGTTGAAAATTTTACCTGAGTTGTTGATGCATTAAATGTAAAGCCAAGGAGACAGCAAAATCCTAAGCCAGAAGCAATGGAGAGCACAATAAGAAGAACACCACAAATGCCAAGAGCACTCAATGAGTAACTTGGATTACCGATATTAATACGAGATATAGCGGTAAATATCAAAAATAAAAAGTATCCAATAAGTAAATGGGTTGCGTTAGGAATAGAAAAATTTTTCATAATATCCAGCAAGGCCACATTGGTAAATTTTTCAATTTTGTAATCAACAATTGAGTTTTCTTTGATGAAGCGATCAACTTCAGACACAAATTTACGTTGCCATGCTTCCAACACTTGACGAGCTTTCTCGATGGTCCAATCAATATGAAGAACACGAGCATTATCCTGCCAGTAAGCAAACATATCTTGTTCCGCCATTAATTGGATGATAGATTGAAGAGCATGGGCTTTCACAATACGACCATTCTTGTTTTTCTTAATTCCTCCAATAATAAGTTGTTCCGGCCAGTGCATCCATTTGGTGGCGAAACCATAACATCCTCCGGACAGTTCATAACTAACATCCGGCTCACGGTTTGTATGTTTATTTGGAGCACTTTCCGGACATTCTTCGTCTGCTGGATTCAAACAAGGACGTCCTTGGTAAGCTGTTGATATACCAGCCTAAAAGATGTTTCAAAGTGTAAAAAAATTGAATTATAGTTACAGTAATTCAAGTTCAAAAAGCATAAAACCAATGAAGTAATCATACCCTGCTCATAAGATTTTCAAATGTTTCAAATGGATAGCGATTATGTGATCCATGACCTGAGTGGGTACGATTTTTGGCCAACTCTATCAAAGATTGAGGATTAAAAGTGGTCCACGCAAAATTCAAATTGATGACACTGGGAAAGGAAGAACAATCAACATTAGATTAGCCGTAATTATGAGTTTGTCTTGATAAGTTTGAAAGAAGTAGATTGCGTTGATGAAGCTGAGATAATATGATAAAACTCACGGTATAGTAATCTCGGGTCCTAATAATTTAGAACCTTCCCAGAAACAATCCAAGGGTGTTATTATTGCGCAAGGTATTAATTTATCCAAAGCGGCATCTATAAGTTGCTCTTCAAAGGCTGGAATACTCAAAGTGTAGCATATATCTTTTAAACGCCATGTCGTTGAAAACATATCCACACTGACTTGAGTACCAACTTTCAAAACTTCTAAATGTGAAAGTAAGGCACTTGGATGGAGAATGTTTTGATTGTCATTGTTTGGTGTTTGAATTAACATTTGGTTCGTGTTTTCAAAACCATCTCCCAATGTTTCTTTGACATAATCAATTTCTTTTTCTAGTCTACCGCCAGCTAAAAACATGTATAAAAAATAAATCCAATGATTGAAAGAAATGAAAAAAAAGATGAACACAAAAAAGGTGTAAATAAATAATAATATGGTTAACTGAATAAAACTAGCTAAAAACTAATAGATGATAAAGTTGTAACAACTTTAACTTACCTTCAACCAATAACTCATCAATGTTGGTTTCAATTTTAGCAGATTTTAATCCAACTAGTGCACTTAAAAGGGCTAAAAGCCCAATAAATAAAACAGTTCCTGGATTTCGTTGAGTTACACATCCAATATCATAAAGATGTTTCTGAAATTTACTTCTTATTACCAAGGCAGCTTTGTTTCCCGAAGCTCTACCCTAAAAAGAAGAAGAGAGTAGAGAAAGAAGGGAGAAAACAAAATTATGAAAAAACAAAGTAAAACAAAAATGAAAAAACTATAACATTATCAAAGATTGACAATCAACTCTTACCTTTTTAATTTGGCGTAATGCAATTGATGCATTAACCAAAGAAGTCCTAAAAAGTAAAATATTCATTTACACAAAACATTACAGAAAAAATTAAACAAAAAGTAAATATAAACTGAATAAAAGAACATGTTGGCTGGCTATTGTAACTAACCAAGCTGTTGTAACTTGCATTTGGGTAAAAGTGCTATGAGTGGCGCCACCGTTAATCTCTCTCTCTCTCTTTCTCTCTCTTTCTTTGCTAACAATTCGGTAAAAATAAGCAAGAAAGAGATAAAGAGAGGGAAGAGCGAAAGAGGAAAGGCAAGAAGAAGAGAGAAAAAGAAGAGCAAAGAAAGAAGAGCGAGAGAAAAGAAAGTTGCAGAGCAAGTTAATTAAGTTGTTTTGGGTTATGTCTTGATTAGGACCAAATGATGATGAAGACATCATCTTCATTCCTATCCTCTTTCTTTCTCTCTTTCTTCTCTTTCTTTCCTCTTTCTCCTTCACTTCCTCAGTTATTTCTTTATTTCAACATCTTGTGTGGCCCAAGAAGTTTGACATGTTTTATTTACAAAAGAAGAGAAAATTTCTCCGTAGATTTTATTCCTTTACCGGTCGCTCCTTTCTTCTTCATCTTCATCTTTACTCTTCAATGAAATTTTCAGTTCAGATTATTTCCTTTCTCATTTCTCAACATTTAGCTGTGAAATCAATTTCAATCATTGAATCATTTCAAGACTTTTGTTTTATCCAAAATGAAAATAAACAACACTTGAACCAGATAAAGCGACATCAACCCAAAATATTGCTATTTTACCAGAAATTCAATTTTCGTCTTTAGCTTAACCCAAACTGTGATTAAACCAGATCAAGTCATAAAGATATCGCTGCAATTAGGTTGTCGTATGTTGGCCAACATAATAATGGTAAATAACTGATGTCCACTGAATAGATTAAAGATTATTTCAATCATTTCCAGGAAAATAATGTTGATCAAATGTTCCTGTCCAAACAAATGGACATTGAAAAGTGAAAAAAAATTTTCACAAATGAAATATTTTAAAAATTTTAGGCTCAATTTAACCCGAAAAAGATTTAATCTTTTAACTTATGTCAATTTTGGCTTACCATTTTAATGGTATTATATTGTCAATATCAATGTAATCTTTAAAAGCTTTTGCCATGAATCAAATTAACTTTAAATATACAATTTTGGCAGAGTAAAGATGATAAAGATGATAATCGTCGAGGTGGTCTTGATGGACATCTCATCATTTTACTCCTTAAAATGTCGTCCTTTTTTTAATGTAAAAGATGAAAGATGGGAGAAGCACAATGGACTTGGAGCAACACAAGAAACAACAATTTAGTTTCTCACACACACAGAATGTGCGTTTCAATGTACCAAGGCTCAACCGATGTTTATTCAGTCTTAGATTTGACCTCAAGATTATTGGTCTCAACAATTTTTCTCATCTCTTTGACCCTCATATGCATACAAGTAGCTGAAAGTTGTTTTTATATAAAAAATGTCATTCTCAACAAGAGCACATCAACAATAGACTGAACCCAAAAACCTCGACTAACCTAGAAAAGGGAGAAAAAATGAAAAATTTGGAGAAGAAAAATGTTGATCTTACATGATGGTTTACATGGATATTAACAGTTGAACCTTTTGTACTCTACTTAACCTTAATGCGATATTATAATAATAGCATTAGGATCAATAAATTTTCATTATTTGCTAATCCAAAGAAAAGGTAAAAATGGAGTTTAAATTTTGAGCAAAAACTTTGACCTTTTTGGTCCTTTTTTTTCATTGATTGATAGATGGATCATGAATAGTATCAATAGAGTTGATTGGTCAAAATCGGCCAATAATCTGTTTACATCACAAACACGCACATCAATTTATCATTTAGTGATCTTTCCTTTTCTCTGTACCAAACGATTGCGCTCATTGGCTTCTCTCTGTGAGATCTTTTACTTTGTCCAAGTTACGTTAAAAGATGATCAACAAGAATGGTTTGTGTAAAGATATTTTGAAAGATTGCAAACGCCTCAGTTTATAAGGCCACACGGGAATAGATGAAGATGATGAAGATGAAGACCGCACTGGTGAAGATGGTGAGTCTTTTGAGAAGAGAGAGAGGAAGAAAGAGAAGAAGAAGAAAAAACGAAAAGAAATGATTCGCCCTTGGGCAAGTGGATATTCAGTTGTTTCCATCTTCATCCCTTTTCCTTGGCTATTAACCTTCTTCTCATGCTCATCATCATCTTTCACGATTATTTATTTTTATCATTATGTATTATTGGAAAACAATGAACAAAAATTAAAAGTATAACAAACCCATAAATCGATTGAAAATATTTCAAGTTCAAGACTTGAACAGCCCTTCAACTTGACCAGTAACATTTCACCATTTTTACGGTAAAAAGGTTTTCTCTTTTCAGAACTTTGGCCTTAGAAGAGACTGAAAGGGTTAACCTGTCACTTTATCGCACCGAAAAGGCATCATTTATCATCTTTACTTGGCACCAATCTTTACCTGTCCAGAGATGAAAATGTTTGGTTCCTTTTGCATGGACAAGATGTAAAGCCAAGAAGCTCAATTTAAAGCAATCAATGTTATTGATTCATCTTGTGTGGTCTTTAACTTTATTGCAACAAACACACAAACGGGAGAGAAGAAGAGAGAAGAAGAGAGAGAGAGTGAGCCAATAACATCTTCATCATCAACAACTGCAACTACAAAACGAGGGTGGTAAAGCGGTGAGGGAATGAGGCAAGGAAAAGGGTGGAAGAAAAGTAAATGAAGAGAAAAGTGAAAAGTTGAAATTGATTTGAATCTCTGGTCAAATGAAGTCAACAAGATGGACAAGTAAATAAATGTAAATTATTCTGACAGACAAAGGGAGAAGCCAAAAGGTAGTCATCCTTTGACCTCCCACACAGTTAATTAGGATGAAGAGAGAGAGAGAGAGAGAGAGAGAGAGAGAGAGAGAGAGAGAGAGAGAGATGATAAGCAAACAATGAGCAACAAGTGCCTTGAAAATGAAACGCAAGACACGCTTATACACTAACGATAATGATAATCCTAATAAAATGATCACGATTTTGTTTCCATTTAATGATAATCAAGGCAACAATAGAAGAGACATTTGCCAATTGTTCAATCGCAAGTTACTGTTGATAATTTTAATGTTTTCAAGTTATTCCAAGATTCCCAAGTTATCGTCTTTGGACGAGGAAAAAGGTTCAGTGTAAAAGGTTAGAGAAAAAGTTGGTTTAACTTTTCACTGAACAATAAAAGAACTACTTTTTCACTTTTTACCTTCTCTTCTTGCGAAAAGGTAAAGTAACGATTTCCCTCTGTGTATTTATCTATGTGATCATGGTGAGACTCTTATTTGAACGGCTACTGGTTTGACAGGCTTTACTCTCTTCTTATCTTAAATGCAAGTAAAAATGGTTTTTACTTTTGTTGAGGCCAAAAATAACACTTTCCTGTTGAAACCGCTTTTGACTCGATACCTTATTACTCTTGCTACCTGTATTATTTTACTCTACTTACGAAGGAGAAGATAAAGGTAAGGGAAGAAGAAGAAGAGAAGAAGAAGAGAAAAGGTAGAAAAGTAAATGTACAGTAATGATGCTTGTTACAATAATACTTGACCCGAATCTGTACTGGTTAAGATGAAAACAAACAAACAAACATGTACATTGCCCATGTATGTTTGTCCGTCAATATGATTAAAGCCATTTTTATGTTCACTTATTATCTTGTTTCAAACACTTTAACTTTAACTTGTAATTTTAATTATATTTTTTCCCGCTAATCTCAACATTGTGCTAACCAAAAGGAAAGGTAAACTTGCAAGTTTTAAGCTTTTGGACACTTTTGTTTGAACAAAAGTGTTGAAACTGACACTTTCAGATTGTTTGTGTTTTACTAAGAATTTGTTCTGGTTTGGAGAAGGTCAAGTCAAGAAACAAGGCTAGATCAATGGGAATGATTCATCTCTTTAAATATCGCCAAATTATGAATATTCTCATCAACAATTGGTGTTACTTTTCTGTTTTGAGTCCAACCCAGAATTCAGGCAATTTCAAAGCTAATATGGGATAACTAAACGAATCAAACTTCTTTTACCGGACTGTCATTAGCTCATCTAATGAAAAAAACTCGACTTTTATCAAACTAGAATTTACAAGATAGACTTTTTGTGCAAAACTTTATGATCAACGCGATACATCAAGTTGATTGAACAAAAATAGTAAATGCAAAACTTTGACTTTCGAGTTAAGAGTTGAGATTTAGCGAGTTTGCAGTGGCAGAAGTTCATTTGTGCAGTTGGAAAAATTATAAGTCAACAGTTTTTGGTAAAATCATGACCAAGGTTCAAACTTGGTTTGCTTTGCCCAGTTATGTCATCTGCAACAGTTAACCAGAAAATGCACTCCTTTTTTACACCGTTTTCTTAAATCATGTTCTCGTGAAAATACTGGTTATGATTAATTTATGAATATTTCTTGCAATAAAATCAGATGCATTTTTTTCAGTTACATTTCTTTGCATTTCCTCACGATAATGTGTATCTTTCATTCGATTGTGATTCGACACTTTCCGTTCATATAAAATCGTTCATATATGTACGTATTGACTGGAGTCGAAGCGCTTTGGAATAGTTATTCTACTCAATAAAAAGAATCAGAAAAATGAGATTTCAATTTTTCTCTTCCATTCAGTGAGATTTTAATTTACAAAAATACAGATGTAAAAATAGTTGCAATTGTTATGAATATTATTTTTCATTTACAGTCGATACAAAAGATAAGATATGATTTTAAGTCACTTGCAACTCGATCAATATTGCAAATTGGTTTTAATTTAATTTCCATATTTAAATGAATCGACGATAGAAACGTTTTCCGTTATCGATAGCTTTCAAGTTTTGTTGATGAACCTGGAAAATTGGGAAATGAGAAAGTAAATAATATTATAATTTGGAATCGAAATGAAATGAAAATACAATGTAAAATTACCTCAAAGAATCTCGTCCGTTTCTTCCTCTGGAACTGTGGTCAAAGAATATTCTCCGTCAATAATATTAACTCGAGGTATTCGTCGTAAAGTGGCCAATGTATGAATATCATTACAGTCGTCAGTCAATTTACAGTCACCATCACAACAGATTGCATGATCAACGAACTGATCCTGAAAATGAAATTAAAACATTTATCACAATTTTGCTCAAAGAAACTTCAATCCCAGATGAATCGCCATCATTTTCATATCAATCAATTTATCCATTAAGTGTTGTATTAAGGTGCAAAAAAGGCTCAAAAGCTCAACTAAACTCAATGGAATCACGTAAATATATAATCACATGACTGAGATAATCTTCTCTCTATCAATGTCTTAATGTTTTACTTGACCCTCGAGCTATTCAAATTGAATTTAATGATAACTATCATTATGACTGAAAGTCGATCTTGTCTCGATTATCAATCACACAATTTAATTGATTAGTTTAATGAAGTTTTTTCTCAGTTTTACCTTTATTTGATTCATCAATATATCAGGTTGTTGTCCTCCTTCAACAATGGAAGCCATCAATTTAGATTCATAATCTTTGTTGTCTGAATCAATTTGAGTAAAGAACAAAAAAATGTTGAAATTTTCAATTAGAATCGACAATTAAAATTAAAATTTTCCCTCGAAATAAAAAAAGTTTAGTTTTTGGGAAACATTCAAATGAAAAGAAATCTAAAGAAAAATCTTTACAGTATCAAAACGCCAACCAAATAAGCTCTGAATAAATGTTGAGATTTCATTTTCTCATGACTTTTGGTACAACGAATAAAGAATTTAAAATTTTTTTCAAATTGCATTTGAATTGATCTAATCAAAGTTCTCATGAACACATAAAATAATCTAAAAGCACAGATTTAATCTAGATAATTGTTGATTAAACTCAATGAAACTTACAAAGTGGACAAAAAGCTTGTTTGATTCCGGAATGTTTCTAATCAGAAGCAACTTGAACAACTATTTTACAACGAAATCAACTAATTTGGAAGCTTCTGAAAGTCTTATAAATCTTAATGATCAATTTATTTCGTTTAGACAAATAACGAAAAGCCGAATTAAATATTCTAATGAATTAACCCGGTGAAAGAAAGCTTACTTGTAAATGAATAACATTTATCTTGATTATCGGTTAAATCTGAAAGTTGAAGTTTCTCTTCAATGACCATCAAAGGTATTGTCGTATCACATTTACAGAGTCCAACTGTGTTTGACGAAATGACGAATGGAATTTCAGTGGAACAATTGGAGACGAAATCAACATTCATATTTCCATTGCCATTGCCACCATTGCATCCTCCACCTGAACTGATTGTACTGATTATGAGACCATTGGTCAGTTCGGAAGGATATTTCATTCCTTGAAGTGTCGAATCATTTGGATTGCTATTGTTGTGATGATGATAAGCATTTGAATGTTGCTGTTGTGACTGTACTTGATGAGCACATTTCTTATTGCTTGTAACCATTTGATCGGGAGGCGATGATTGACTTGAATTGTTGACACAATACACTACATGATTCGAGGCCGAAACGGAACGTTGAATGAAAGGCGAGTTTCTCTTGTAATAGACTAGAAGTGCCCATGAAAAGGTTAAGCATCCAATTGAACCAGCAACCAGTATAATGATTACTACCAAAGTCGTTCCCATTCCAGCGATCAGTTTAATGTCTGACTTTCTTTCACCGACAGTGGCCATTCCACCGACACTGTTGTCCAAGTTGTCACGATCAATCACAATTGGAACTGACAATGTTCGAGTTCGAATGAATTCACGGGAAATTAAACTTTCACCCAACTTGTTGCGACTAGAAATTGTAATGATGTATTCACTCGCTGGTTCAAGTGCCGTTAAAGTAAACACTGTTGACCCATTTGTCGGATAACCATAGAAATACTCGGAATTTGATTTGACTTCATTCGAACGAATTGAGTTTGTTGATGAACTTGAACCAGTCGACGGTAATAACGAAGAAAAATAATCGCTTTTAATAATTTTATATCGAATTCGAAATGACTGCTCATGACCGCCATCGAAACTCGGAATCCAAGATAAAGTAATGCTATTGTCAGTTACATTAACTAAAGTCAAATTGGTTGGCGCTTCAGGAATACCTGGGAATGGCAAAAACAGAATAAGAAAAAGAACAATTAAAAAGAAGAAATCGAGAAAAGTCCAAATTCATTTACGATTAAGACAAACACAAACACGAATTTGTTGTTCAATTTGCAAATCTGAGTTCGATTCGAAACAATAATTCGATTAAATAGCCAAATTTGACTAAAGTTTAAAGTTGACTTTCAAGAGCTAAACAAGTTTCAGTGATTTATTGTGATTTAATTATCTAATCAACTTGATTTATGTCAACAAAAGTTGTTTATTTGTGTAACAACGAATGATGAACGGCAAAACTTTGGCTTATTGTTAACAAATGATTGAACAAATGAGATAAATGAAAGCTTCAGTCCAAATCATGACTAAACTGACTTGATACTTCAGGTAAAAGTAAAAAATGTTGCTTTGATTGGGCAACGAAACTACGAAGATTGAGATTTTTCGCCCTTTTGTTGTTCATTTTGAGATTGAAATGTTAAGATGAAGTCACGATATGTTGAAAGGTTCATGTTTCATCCTTTTAATTTGTACAATTGAATCTAAATTAAATGATATTGATAATAAAAGCGGTTCAACAATTTAATATCAAATTACTATATTTACAATTTTAATCATTTCCAACTGTCATTTCATTGATATTCATTTGCCTTTTCATGCTTTAATAATTGCAAGTTTACAGAAAATGAAAAAAAATGTATCAATAAAAACATGAAATCGTATTGATTAGCAAAGGAAAAGCAGACAAAAATGAAGCAAAATTTCAATCAACTTTACCAATGATACTTTGAGCAGTAAACATGATAATATTTACTTGTTTCTGATTATCATGCAATCACGAAGTTGGTCAGATTTAATAGCAAATAAGAGTATCATTATTACAAATTGTTCACAGTGAAAGCAATCCAACAATTTAAGCAACATATAATTTACCATTCAATATTTTGCTTCATTTTCACCAACAATTTTCATTTGCTTTTTGCTGACAAAGAACGAAACGAAAATGTGAAAAAAATCCTTTGACATGTAACGGTGTTTCACGATGGAAATGATTAAAACTGATTGATCCATGTAAATGTTGAAAAAGGTTGAACCCAAAGAGCCACCTTAAGAAGGGTTGAAGAAGAAGAGGAAAAGAGGTTTGGTTGGCGTTAAGTGACCAATGTCCTGCTTAACTCAATGTAAAAATGTCTCAATTGAATGAGAAAAGCAAGAAAACCGTTTATACTACAAACATAGCTGCAGGCCGTAGAGACAGGGTGGTCTACGCTGTGCCCAATCTTAATCCATATAAAGACATTATCTATTTTGCGCAGAGAAAATCTTCTCTTCTTCTTCTTCTGCTTAAAGTTGAAGCTAAAAAAGTTGAGTATTGCTTTAAATAATGATATGTAGTTAATTTATTACCTTAAGATTGTTAAGAAGCGAAAAAAAGGAGAACAAAAAAGGAAAAGGTTTATGCGTTGTTTACCATGGTTGGTCATAAAAAAGCATCAATTGAAATTGAGAAGAGAGAAGAAGAAGAAGAAGGAGAAGATGAAGGAGAGCGGAACCCACCAACTGTTTGACAAAACTCTGTTGGAACGAAAGAAAAGCTCTATCCAAGCCTCAAACCTTCCAAGTTGTGCCCTGTAACTGAACACCCTTGAAGCGAACAGAGAAACTTTGACATCTTCATCTTCTCATTTTTGACGTTTTGGCAAGTTAAAACAAACTGACCACAGTTTAATTTAACATGCGAACCTTTTCCTCTCAGTGACCATTACACTGACTCTTTCTCCTTTTCTTTGCCTTCTTTTCATAATCATTGCATTCTATTTTTTTACAGTCACACCAGACAAAATAATATACACTATTGAACCATTTAAAGCGTCTATTTAGCTTGCACTTTCTGTTTGTTTATTTCAATCAAACACCAACTTTAAGGGTAACTTTTATTTGCTTAACTTTCCCTAACATATCATTCAACTTGTTATCACATTATACTCATTAAAATAAATTAACCAAAACTTATCGCTATCAGTTACAATCGACTGTTGGTCTGTTTTGCAAACACTGAATTTCAATAAAAAAATGTTCATTTTTTGTTGCTGTTTAAGAATCTCAATTAGAATCGACTTTTCATTCTCAGCCTCGTAAATCATTTTCAACTCAGCTCTTGCTGTAAATCAAATTGACTCAAATGTTAATCAAAACTAATCAACTTTGGTTATTGGCTATAAATCATAATAATGATGAATGAAGGAAAAGAAATGATTTTTTTCCATAAAATTTAAATTGACTCGAGATTAAAGTTGCATTAATTGGTCAAAGTATGAACTTGAAAAGAAGAAAAGAAACAATTTTTCATTTGAAAACTCTAGCTTTCATTTTATCGCACCAATTACCTAAAGCATTTTGACTTGAGGCGGTCAATGAAGCCTTTTGCGCAGTCAAAGCGGCAACAACATGAATAATGTGAAAAGAAAAGGTTCAATTGTCAATTCTCTTTACTCGAAACTCTCTTTGCCGTTAACCGTAAAGTTTATTCAAATTGCAAGTTAATTGGCAACTTTTCACTGTTAATTTTGTAATTTGGTACGCTTTGCTTTTCGTTGGTTCATTGTTAATATTTGCGTTTCAACCATTGTAACTCTAATGTGTTTAATGTCGCGAAACTGTTTCGCATCAAACACAAAACTCAACCTTAATTGAACTTGACGAGTTTCAAAAGGTTAAACATTTGTTCAACTTTTTATTGAAAAGCCTTTCTGACCAAAGGTTTGACACTTACTTTTACGAACAAGTTGAATATCCAAAATATCTTGACCTAAATAGTTGAAGGCAGTGCATCGATAAGAACCAAAATCAGTCTCAACTACATTGTTAATGATAAGGTTACTTTGAAACAAGATTGTGTTTGAAGTTGAATTAAAGTGTTGACTGGCATTGACAGGGGTCAACCTGGTCTCAACAGTTTCATTGGTTATCTTGTACTTTAATGAATTTTCCCCTCCAATGGACCAGTTAAAGTTTACCATTGGATAACCTTCGGCCTGACAGGTTAACCTTACTGAGTCACTGTTTAAATCGGCAGCCACTTTACGATGTGCTCGTCTTATGCTTGGAGCATATTCAACCAAGACAACAATTGATTGGACGGAGGCAATGTTGTTCAATGAATTGTGTGCTGAGCAAGTGTACAACCCGGCATCACTTCGAGTCACATTATATACAGTGAGTATGGACACATGATGGTTTGGCCTTGAATCCAAGTTATACTTTACTCGAAACCAGTCCATGGGTGGTCCAATATCCTCTCTAAACCATTTTACTCGAGGCTCAGGATTGGAGCTAATTAGACAGAGAAGTTGAAAATTGTCATCGCCTTCGGCCGGCCATCGGTCAGTCTTGCCAAATGCTCGTCTCACCTTGATAGGTTCACTTATATTGGCGGCATCTGACAAGCAAACAAATTGTGGAAACCAAAAATTAGTAAAATGCCCATTAACGTCAATAAAAAACAATAAATCAATAAACACACAGAAACCATTTCGAACCAGAAAACATTTACTTCTCAATTTTCAATCACATTTCAAAGACAAAGACTTGAGACGTCTTAAAACAGTGTGATCAAGTCATTAAATTGTCGATTAAAATTATCATAAATTGCTTAAAAGTCGTCTTTTGATAAAAGATTAAAACGATTAAAATTTTGAGATTGTCTGAAAAAATCCGCTTGTGACGCCATCTAGTGCCTCTCATTGCAAATACTTCGAGACTTGAATATCAGTAATTATAAGATTGTAATGTAAAGATTAACTTTTCGTGTTTAGAAGAGAAAATAATGAGTTTGTTCATGGCGAACCTTGGGAATTGAGTTTCTGTCCATAATTGACGTTGATCAGGTTAAGATGAATTAGTTTTCTGTTCAATTTGTTTGAGTGCCAATGATTGTTATAAGATGAGGCTGATAATGAAGAGACTTTTGGTTAGACTGAGTAAAAGTTTTCGAGTCAAGAGTCTCAGGTAAGAAGGTAAAGACAATGAGAGGGAAAAGACAAAAGGATTGCTTGTTGTACAGTTTTCCCTTTAATTGAAAATAAGAAGATGAAGAAGAAGAAGAGGAAAAGAGGAAAGATTTTCATGATATCATCACCAACATGATCATGTTCAATTCTGGGTAAATATTGATATAATAGCAATGATCATGGTCAATATAAGCGAATCAAATAAATTCAGAAAACTATTCAGGTAAATGAAAGTGAAAGAGTGAAAACATAGTAACCTTTGGTCAAGAATTTTCTGCCTTATTTTCTCTCATCATGTATTCGATAAATAAAAGTAATGTTTGTTCATTTGTCGATAAAAGCAAAAACCAAAGTCGAATGTGGAAAAAGAAGAGTCTCATGAAAATGGAAAAGAATATTTTGGCAAAACATTTTTTTTCTTCTTCTCTTTACTTTGTCTACGATTCATCAGCAGATATTTTCTTGCCGATAAATGATTCGTTTTTGGAACTACAAACAATTTAAATTTCGAGGTTTGATCAGCTTTATTCTCATTAAATTAAACTCTTTTTTTCAAAGCAAAGGAATGAAAATTTTCTTGCCTTTATCATCATGAATATTGCATTACATTCATGATAATTCAGAATGAAAAAGTTAATAAAGTTTGGAATAAAAAAATAACAATAAACTAAATTGGAATAAATTTGACTTTTATTGTCAATTACAATAAAACATCGCAATTTATAACTCGCAATTATATTTCAATCAATTGTATTTTTATTATTCACCAAGGAATTGAGAAACTCATCAAAAAATGTAAATTCATATTCTCTTGAAACACTTTCAATAAACAATGAAAATTTCGTAATAGTTTTCAAATGAATATCTCGATTCAGGTAATTCAGGGAAAGAAGCAAAAGAAGGCGATCAATCATTGCAGAGTCCAAAAAGTTACTTGGATTTCAAGTTGCAATACTTTTGCAGATAAGTGAGAAAATTGTATTTAAAGTGAAATAAGTAATCGAAATGTTGGTTTTTCAAATAATCTTGCAGTTGCAGGTCTGTAAGGGAAAACGATTCTTACTTCAAACCAAGGATTCGAAAAGTTCAGATTAGATTTGTCTTAAAACTTCTCCAATGCTAAAGCTCTTCTAAATGTTTCACGAAGCACTGACACTTTTTCACCCACCTAGTGACTCCATTCCAGTGGTGTTTTTATTGTAATAAGATGCTGTTGACTTAAAAGGCAACCTTACTGCGGTGTTAATACACGTATAACGTTAACTTTTATTTTTGATCAAAGATGAGTTTCTTAATGCTTTTACTGGTGTGGCAAAAGTTATGTTCAGATTTTCTCACTCACTTTGAAAGATAGCGACACCGAATTTTTAGGTTTTTTTCCTCAAGTCGGTTTGTTTAGTTTAATTTTTGGTTAAAAATTCGAATTTTGAAAAATGATAGAAAATGTTCATTTTTTCATTTTTCGTTGCAGAATGATTGCAAGTAAAGATGAACACTTCGCGCATCAGTCAAATAAAAACCGAAGCAAAGTTATGATGAAAAGATCTGTTTTGCAATATTTCTTTCGGTTCAAAAGTTAACGATTTGATTGAATCTATTGATTCAAGGTACTTCAACTAAAACAACTGAACAAAACCTTACAATGTGTCATAAAATTGGCTCTAAGCAATACAGCCAAAAGACTGGCTAAATATCCAAATTGCTAGTGCGCTACCGACAAGACATATTCTTGCGAACAGAATGCTGATGGTATCAATTCATTAAAAGTTTAAAACAAACACTGGGCCATCCAAATGCTTAAACAATTAATATACTGAAACAGCTCGGTCTGTTCCTTTTTCATGAGCTTCTGCAGCTAGATTGAACAATGAGAATTTCGAAATGTCACTAACATTAAAGTTAACCGAAGTCCATTAATCGAACTTGTTACAGCGACTAAAGAGTCCAATTAAAAAATAAACTGAAATTCAACTCAACATGAGAAAAGTGACTTATCCTGAAAACGCCAAAATCCAATAAAGAGCTGTTATTCAACGAGAAAAGTGATAAAGGTAAAACGAATTACCTGATCCTATAACAAGATAAAAACATTGACATTCCTTGAATCATAAAAAAATTGTTTTTCGAAATTTCAATCCTTCGATTTCAAAATGAAAAGTTCTAAACTAGCTTTTGTTGTTGTTTAGTTGCGCAATAAAATGATCCTTTAAAACCTCGAATGATAAATTTTGGTTCTTTCAAGATTATTGCTGTTCATTTCAGTAAACAAATCAAATTGATTTGAAAGGAAAAAATAACAACACAAAACTTTGATTAAATTGGAAGCAACAATGATAATAACTATGAATTACAGAGTGAAATGCAATGGCAAGAAACATCAACAGTTGAACCCAAAACCAATAACACAAGCTTGGTTAACCTTAACTCATACCTTGTACCTTGAAGCACGTTGTTTGATTTGTTGATAGCCTCAGGTACTTGCATCTCCTTCAACCTGACAATATTATTCCAACATTCAAGATTTGCCAATTCCAATTTTCTGTTTGTCAAATGAACCGCACATCTTCATCAATATTGAATCAAAAGTCTAACGATAATTATATTACAACGTTCAAAGAACAGAAAAAAAGTGAATCATCACTAATTAATTAACCAAAATAAAAGTCGATCAAAGTAATTAACCATTTAAAATTGAGTTTCAACCAAAACTCGACAATTGCCTGAACAAAAAACTGAACCAAATTGCTATTTCGGAAAAGATGAAAAGTCAATCAAAGAAACGGAAAAATTGGATAAAAGTTGAAAAGAAATATTAATAAACCATTTTTTTCCCTTTCCATTCAATACCGTTTCCAAACTAAATCGTATAATTAATTCAGATTAATTTCTGGTTCAACAGGAATGATCAAAGAGGAAACTCTGAGTTTTTTTCTCTCTTCTTACAAATCTATTTCCATCAAAATACAACGGGAATGAAGAGAAAATCAGAAGAAAAAAAAGAGTTACAAAGAAGAAAAAAGTTCAATGTTGATATTAGTTCAACTCATTAACGTGTTTCCATCAAGAACCTTTCAATGTTAAGATGAAGATTTGAAGAGAAGAGAAGAAGAAAAAATGGATAAATGGCATTTTTTCACTTTCTGAATTCATTTTGTTATTAATTTTATTGTAAGATGAAAGAGTTGAGTAAATGAATGGAGAAACGAAGGGAAGGGAAAAAAAGTTTCGAGATTCTCGATTAATTCTGCGATTCTAATCCAATATAATCTCTACCCAATGAAAAGCTAATCAACTTTTCAATTTCTCCTTTTTTTCATCATTATTTTCATTCTTCTCAACATTATCACTTTATCATGATTGTTGTGATTTTTTTTTCTTTGCCTTTACATTTTTTTATTGCGTGAATCTTTTAATTCAATCAAAGTGATTAACGTCAAAATCAATTACCGTTTTGACCCATTTTTTACTGGGTTAATTTCATCATTTTTTTCATCTCATATTTTCTCGCCAGTTTTGCTGTTCATTTTTCAAATTATCACAACTTGCATTAACCTCGTTTTTGTCTTCATCTTTCAGCTCATCTCATTATTGTTACATTGTTAATTACTTTTCAATTTATTCATACAATGTCAAGATAGTTTAATGTTTCCAATCAAAATGTTATTCTAAAACAAAAATCTGTTATAATCCAAGTTGTTGCTCAAAAAGTGTTCAGATTTAGGTCACATTGTCATCAATCTATAGTCTATAGTTAGGCCTGAATTTGGTCAACCAGTTCAATCAACTTATAGATTAACTGTGAAACTGGGTTCAAATATGAAAATATCAATTTGGAGAATTTTAGACATTGGAATTCCTTCTTTACAATTTTCATTGCCTTTTTCGTTCAGACGAATACCAAAACTTTCCAAATTCAGTCAAAATTTTGAAAATTATATTCAACTTGTTTTTAAACTGTGGAAGTATCTGTTTGCTACAAACAGTTTTTCACCTCGAAAACACCTTTTTCACTCCTTCTCCAAACTCTGATTTTGACCTTGCTTTGGACCCAAGAGGGGAAATCATGATAATAGCATTTTCTCTGACCGTCTAAAGGCCCAATGGCACTTTCTTTGCTCTCAAACTCAGATGTTTAAACAATAGCTTTTCATTAAAATCATTTTGAAATTAACTTTAAACTTCTTCACTTCTTTAAATCTCTAATTACCTTTGGCGGAATCAGTCTATCCAGACTGAACCCTAAAGTGTGATCTCAACAAATCAGCTCCAGTTTAGCTGATCCTGCTTCTCCAGTCACAGAATCAATTTCGAAAATCTTTCGACCTGGCAATTTTTTGCTTACTAAACAGTTCTAATTAAATTTTTGGCATTTTTTAACGAACAAGAAAACTTTCCGAATTCAGTCTGAATTTTTTCTATATTTGCATTT